CCGAATGCCTGCTCGAACATCCAGTTTTTTAGTCTTTTCCGAACACCATCAGAGAGGGGGCTGATCTTACCTCCATGGGGAAGGGCGTTCCATAGCCAGGGGCCACCACAGAAAAGGCCCTGTCTCTCGTCCCCGCCAGCCGCACCTGTGAAGCAGGCGGGATAGAGAGCAGGGCCCCCCAGAAGATCTTAGGGTCCTGGTGGGCTGATAGGCCGAGATACGTTTGGATAGGTAAGTTGGGCCAGAACCATTTAGGGCTTTAAAGGCCAATGCCAGCACTTTGAATTGAGCCCGGTAGCAGATCGGCAGCCAGTGGAGCTGGTGCAGCAGAGGAGTTGTATGCTCCCTGCGCTCCGCTCCTGTTAGTATCATGGCTGCCGAGCGTTGGACTAATTGGAGCTTCTGGGCCGTCTTCAAAGGCAACCCCACGTAGAGAGCGTTGCAGTAGTCTAAACGGGATGTAACCAGAGCGTGGACTACCGTGGCCAAGTCAGACTTCCCAAGGTACGGGCGCAGTTGGCGCACGAGTTTTAACTGTGCGAATGCTCCCCTGGTCACCGCCGAAACCTGGGGTTCCAGGCTCAACGATGAGTCCAGGATCACACCCAAACTGATCACACCTGTCCAACAGGTTTTTATTTAAAGTACCAGCTCTCTTGCCATACAAAAATGTAACAAATTCCCCTCTACGTGATCAAGGTAGATCACCACTTCTTCTTTTTTCCATAGGCATTTCAATGTGATACTTGGACCATGATGCTTTGGGCTAGTCTGAAATTTCAGTGTTGTTATTTATTTAGTTTAAGAACTTGGCATCATACTAAATGTCCTTTGACCAGAAGCTGGTCACATGGAGTGCCTCTGGTGTTGCTATAAGAAGGTCCTCCATTGTGCATGTGGCAGGGCTCAGACTGCATTGTAATAGGTGTTCTGTGGTTTGCTCTTCTCCACACTCGCATGTCGTAGACTCCACTTTGTGGCCCCATTTCTTAAGGTTGGCTCTGCATCTTGTGCTGCCAGAGCACAGTCTGTTCAGCACCTTCCAAGTCACCCAGTCATTTCTGTGTGCACAGGAGGGAGTCTTTCATTCGGTATCAGCTATGGCTTGAGGTTCTGGACAGAGTTTCATCTATGCTGATGATTGTGCCATCACCACCCAAGCAGGAAGCTTGGAAATGGTTGAACGGAAGTTCTCCAAAGCTCTAGGTCAGGAGTCCTCAAACTAAGGCCCTGGGGCCAGATACGGCCCTCCAAGGTCATTAAACCGGCCCTCGCTCAGGGTCAACCTAAGTCTGAAATGACTTGAAAGCACACAACAACAACAATCCTATCTCATCAGCCAAAAGCAGGCCCACACTTCCCATTGAAATACTAATAAGTTTATATTTGTTAAAATTGTTTTTCATTTTAATTATTGTATTGCTTTTAAGTGTATTTTGCACTACAAATAAGATATGTGCAGTGTGGATTGGAGTTCATGTTTTTTTTCCAATTATAATCCAGCCCTCCAACAGTTTGAGGGACTGTGACCTTGCCCTCTGTTTAAAAAGTTTGAGGACCCCTGCTCTAGATGCTCTTACTGCCTATTACATGGGAAACCAGCTGATTCCTAATCCATCTAAAACAGAGATGTGTGCTTTTCATCTTAAGACCAGACAAGCATCTCAAGCTCTGAGGATTAACTAGGAAGGAATCCCACTGGAGCATTGCAGCACACCAAAACATGTGGGAGTTACCCTGGATCATTCTCTGACCTATAAGAAGCACTGCTTGAATATCAAGCAAAAAGTGGGTGCTAGAAACATATAGTATGAAAGCTGCCTGGCACAACCTTGGGATCACAACCAGATACAGTGAAGACATCTGTCGTTGTCCTTTGCTACTCTGCTGCTAAGTACACATGCCCAGTGTGGAACACATCTCACTACGCTAAAACAGTGTTTGTTTCTCATAATGAGACATGCCACATTATCGCAGGATGTCTACACTCTACACCACTGGGGAAATTATTGCACCACCTGACATCCACTGGGAAGTAGCAGCCAATAATGAAAGGACCAAGGCACAGACATCTCCGACCCATCCCCTGTTCAAATGTCAGCCAGCACGGCAATGCCTTAAATCAAGAAATAGTTTTCTAAGATCTACAGAGATACTCACGTGAACACCTCAGCAAGTGAGAGTCCAAAAGTGGCAGGCTAAAAGCCGGATCCTCAGTGTTGTTCATGTGGTGGGTAAGATAATGAAATCATGCTTGAGCTCCAACAATATTTGATCTTTGCCTCCTTTCTTTATTTCAGATGAAGGAAATTGCCTTTTAAGACGATCAGACTTGCCAATGCTGGGTCTTCATGCTGGGGAAGCCTTTTCTTGTTGATATTATGCAACTGGCATAGCGACAGAGGCCCCTTCTATACTGCCCTATATCCCAGGACCTAATCTCAGGTTGTCTGCTTTGAACTGGATTATATGAGTCTCCACTGCCAAATAATCTGAGATAAGCAGATAATCTGGGATAAGATCCTGGGATATAGGGCAGTGTGGAAGGGGGCAGAGTCTCCTTCCAAAAACATCCATATTAGTCAAACACCAGGTATAATAAGAGAAAGAAAGCTTGGCAGAAATTGTTACAACAGTTAATGCTGGTGATTGTAATTTTGCTGGCTAAATATAATAATGTTCCTTTTGCAAATGTTGTGATGAATAACATTATGAGTTTCTTGGTTTTTTGGAGAGAGAGGTCGTTTTTGGAGGCCTTCTGAAGGAATTTCAAACATTTAAAATGGTTTAGATATACTTTTAAAACCCCAGGAATGATAGTTTTAAAAACCATGGATTTATCAAGGTGTTATTTTTCCTACAAGGTTCTCAAATTGTGGTGAGGTATGTGTAGTGTTTTTGCAATGTTATGCTAATGAAATCCTTTTAAAACAATATCCTAAACTCTGCTTCGGATATTACATATATGTGCAACCGCAAACAAAAATACAGGAACTCTTTTCATTTTATTTCATGCTAAATTATTTGTTTTGCAGCCATGGCAAGAATGAGGATGCTACACGTTTTGGCTGGCTTAATACTACTAATGAGTGAGTAAACTGAGATGGAAGATGTTTCAACTCCCCCTTTACTCTTTAGGATGACTGTCTAGTATACACATTAGAAAAGGAACTAAAATATGATTCTGCCACTTAATTCTGAGGTCCCCCCTAATATTGGGCCAAAGGACCAAGTGTCTCTGGCCCCATCTACACTGCCATATAAAATCCAGATTATCTGCTTTGAACTGGATTGCACAGTAGTGTACACTGTGGTCCCTTCTATACAGCCATATAAAATCCAGATTACCTGCTTTGAACTGGATTGCATAGTAGTGTACACTGTGACCCCTTCTACCAGGCCCGTAGCCAGGATTTCGATTCGGGGGGGGGGGGGGAGTTTGTTTTGGGGGGGGGGGGCTGAGCCTGAGTGAAAGAGGGTCTACCCTAGCAAACCTTTTGTATCGTTACCCCAATACCCCCATGCATATGGGATATATTGAGTATGGTGATCAGATCATGATATGAATAAACATAACAGTTCAAATAATGCACCAGTAAGGCCTTTTCGCGAACCACCATGAGAATTTCGGGGGGGGGGGGGGGAAGCCCCTCAAGCCCCCCCCCCCCCCCCGGCTACATGCCTGCCTTCTACGCTTCCACATAAAATCCAGATTATCTGTTTTGAAATGGATTATATGGCAGTGTAGACTCATATAATCTAGTTCAAAGCAAATAATGTGGATTATCCAATTTGATAATCTGGATTATATGGCAGTGTAGAAGGAGCCTCAGGCTCAATTACACTGCAATAATAGAGAATTCAGACGTTGCTCTTCCGATCTTATCTGCTTTGAACTGGATTATATATTATCCAGTTCAAAGCAGATAATCTGTATTTTATGTAGCAGTGTAGATCCAGCTTCATATAATCCATTTCAAAGCAGATAATCTAGATTAATTGATATGATAATCTTAATCTGGATTATGTGGCAGTGTAAATCGAGCCTGAGGCCCCCTCTACATATAAATTCCATATAAAATATATGCTGCTATATAAAATCCAGATTATCTGCTTTGAACTGGATCATATGGCAGTGTAGATCCTGAGTGTAGGAGCATCTGCGACACACATGCACACTGCAACACCCACTGGTGGCTACCACCTCTTGCAGCAGTTGGGAGTGCATATTTTGTATTATGCTGACCACTCACATTTTTTGGGGAACAGTATGGAAAGGAGAACCACAATGACAAATCCAGGCTCTCACTTCCTTCTTTTTCCCAAAAGAGGAAGCCTGTTGTTCTTTCTTATTTGTTTTGGTTTCTCTATTGCTGCAAGAATTGTTCTCTATTGCTGCAAGAAGAGGGAAGACTAGCACACAAAACTTCAGCAACTGGATGGGTTTTGTCAGCTTAGACAGCTGACTATGCAGCTCCTCCTTGGATTGACACATTTATTGATCCCTTCGTTTGTAAATAGGAATTGTGCTGGTACGTCTGTACCAGGAGCTCCAACTTTATTTTCTTTCTATTAAGTGTTTGCATGCATTCCAAAGTTTCAAGGATTCTGCAAAAAGGTGGCTTCCTTTGGTTTGCAGTCATAGGGCAAGGCACCTGTCTATCATTGTTAAGTTTGGATCCGCCCCTTCTCCCAGAGAGTTGGGAAGGGAAGAGGGGGTCATTTTTAGTTAGTCTTAGTGAGGAAAGCTAAGTTAGAGGACGTGGACAAGCATCAACTGCACAAAAGCTTCATTTCTTAAGACCATCCAGGGAAACTGAAGTCCAGGGAATTCCAGGGACATTCCAGGGGAAAACAGTCCCAAAGCTCTGGCAGAGAGCTCACAGCCTCTCAGCTTTACAGCATCTGAGGGAAACAGCCCTAAAGTCTCTAAGAAATTCCAGAGGGAAAACAGCTTTACAGACCCAGAGAACTCCAGCTGGAGAATCTGCAAGCCTTTACTGGTAGGTCTACTTGATGCTCAAGACGCAGTTTGAATCCGGTAGTAGAACCCACATCAGTAGGGATTAGATTACAGTCAGCCTGGGAGAGGTTAAAAAAGGGTTTTCCTCTAAAGTAAAGGAACAGTTAATGAAGACAGTTGCCTGTCCCTTGTGGACAAGATTAAGGAAGCCACCAGTTGATTCAAAGCCTTGAAGCATTTGTTTGACTCATTGAAGATTTGAGAAATATCTGTTTAATTTGTTCAATAATAAAGGACTTTGTTACATCATTGAAGACTCTAAAGACCATCTCTACAGGAAAATCCTTAAGGGCCTCTTTTGAGGCACCCTGGCTTCCCGCTGGGCACAAGGTGCACGTCCTATTTCAAAGGTCAATTATTACCGGCCCAGTGCGTAACAGAACAGGAATACATGATAACTATGTTATTCAGTCCTTCAAAATATCAGAAGATAGTTTAGCGAGTTTCATTTCTTCTGTATCTTTTTGTGTACGTGCTTTGAAGTCATGATATGACTTATGGCGACCCTTCCTCTTAATATATAATCCTATGTTTACTACTTCTTAAATGTCCTGCTTCTTAAACTGTGAGTCCCGACCCCAAATGAGATCCTCTTAGCTTAGAAGTTCCTTAATGCCATTCATTTACACAAATCTGTTAGCAACAACACGCAGTGTTGACTGGGGACTCTGTAGAAGATGTGTCAGCTGTACTCCACCAGAAAGGAAAGTCATTATGTTTAGCAGGTCTTCCAAATGTTGATTTATTATCAGTAAATATATGGTTTTATACCTATTTTATAGATGGTTTTATACCTATATACCTGGGGTCACGTAAAAACCTTTCAGATGGAAAGTGGTTGTTGGTGCAAAAAGTTTAAGGAGGCCTGGCCTAGAGCACCTCATATTCTTGGGTAGTTTCCAGTTCAAGTACCAATTCTGCTTAGTTTCCAGGAAAATATAATATCTGGTGCTTTAATAATAATAATAATAATAATAATAATAATAATAATAATACTTTATTTATACCCCGTCACCATCTCCCCAAGGGGACTCGGGGCGGCTTACATGAGGCCAAGCCCAACAACACATCAGTAAAAACAAACTGATAGGGTATGTAAGCCTCTGTGGCTTAACATATATATCTTTTATTTGATAAATGTAATCTGGTTTAGGAAATGATCGCATTGAAGATTATTTCATTTAGTAAATGATCGCACTTAAGCAGCTGAGGGAGAAAAGGAAAGGGCCTGAGGTGGTTAGGAATTATTAATTTTTTGTCGTGTCAGGAATGACTTGAGAAACTGCAAGTCACTTCTGGTGTGAGAGAATTGGCCGTCTGCAAGGACGTTGCCCAGGGGACGTCCAGATGATATGATGTTTTATCCTTGTGGGAGGCTTCTCTCATGTCCCCGCATGAGGAGCTGGAGCTGATACAGGGAGCTCATCTGCCTCTCCCCAGATTCGAACCTGCAACCTGTCGGTCTTCAGTCCTGCCGGCACAGGGGTTTAACCCACTGCGCCACCAGGGGCTCCATGGTTAGGAATTGTGGGAGTTGAAGTCCAAAACATCTGAAGGGCCAAAGTTTGCCCATACCTGTTTTAGACCACATATGTCAAACTAAAGGCCCATGGACCAAATCAGGCCTGCCATGTCATTTTAGGTGGTCCTCCAGATGCTGGACCACAATTCCTATATTCCTTATCATTAGACATCGTGATTAGAGCTGATGGGAATTGTGATACAATAAAATTTGTAAGGCTTCAGTTTGTTCTGTTTAGTCAAGATAGTGGGCTTTGAAATTAGATACAAGGCTTATGGATATGATGTCTGACATTAAAATATGCCTTAACCATTCCCCTACCTCAGAGCCACAAGTTGGGTGTTGGGTTGCAATTTCCATTATTTCCAGACCACATGGTGGAGAATCAAAAGTGATGGGAGTTGTCACTCAGTACCATCTGTGGACTCAAACTGGGTGAAAACTAAAAAGCACTGACCATTAAGTTAAAAAAAACAATTGGTCCTCTGTATCCATGGATTCTCTGTCTATGAATTCAATGGCCTGTTGAAGGAAACCATAAGGCTTATGCGGTCTTGATGAAATTGAATTTGACACTCCTGCTCCAGATGATCTCAACTAACAACAGAAATAGTATCCAAAATACTCTTCTTCATTTCTGTGGTTTTTAACATATTTTCCTGATGAAGACTCCAGTGAAGCTACATAAGGCTGACTACACTTTGCAGCAGTGGTTCTTGACCTGTGGGTCCCCAGGTGTTTTGACCTACAACTCCCAGAAATCCCAGTTTACCAGTTGTTAGGATGTCTGGGAGCTGAAGGCCAAAACATCTGGGGACCCAGAAGTTGAGAACCACTGTGTTGGAGGATATATATTGGAGGATGTGGGGTCAGTGTATTGATCAGGCATCGGGCATCTCCAAAAGATAGAAGAGTGTCCTAGTCTGGACCTTTAAGTCACAGGTAGGGAAAAGGTAGCTTGCAGGTTGCACACAGCCCCCACCCTTTCTCAGACCCCAATATCCCCTCTCCTTACTTAAATGAAGATTATTGTGATGATTACATTTTCAGAAATTAATATCAAAACCATATGAGCTGTGGGGTAACTTTAACCACTACTCAGTCCCTCCAAAACAGCCGTAAACCCAGATTTTTTTGTTGGTTTTTGCTAAAGTTGATTGGCACAATTTCCAGTATGTGGCTAATAGTGAACTTTTGACATGTAGAATCGCCTGTTATGTGCCTTCACATTGACTGTGACATATGATGACTGCATACAGGATATTTTTTTAAAAAAGATTTTGTCGGAAGAGATTTGCCACTGACTTCCTCTGAGGCTGAAAGTGTGACTTCACCAAGGTCACTAGTGGGTTTTCATGATCAAGCAAGGATTCAGACACTGGTCTCCCAAACTCCAAGGCCAACACTGAAACTTCACAGTCAACACTTTCATGCTTATTGGTTTCCCTTTTGTATACAATATTGAAAAAAGAAAACTAGAATAGAGAGAAATTGTAAATTGGGAGAGGGGAGAAAGACAAGAAGCAAAATGGGGGGGGGGGGGTATTGATGATGCTATATATAAAGTATGATAATGGTAAAGGTTTCCCCTGACATTAAGTCTAGTAACATTCGACTCCGGCGGGTGGTACTCATCTCCATTTCTAAGCTGAAGAGCTGGCGTTGTCCGTAGACGCCTCCAAGGTCATGTGGCTGGCATGACTGCATGAAGCACTGTTCCCACCAGAATGATACCTTTTGATCTATTTACATTTGCATGTTTTCAAAGTGCTAGGTTGGCAGAAGCTGGGCCTAACAGCGGGAGCTCACCCTGTTCCCCACATTTGAACACCCAACATTTTGGTCAGCAAGTTCAGCTCAGCAGATTAACCTGCAGCACTCCCAGGGGAATATAAGGGGAAAACAGTTCTTCTACTTTTAAATCCATATAGATATCTGACAAAAAAAAAAGATTCCCATATGTTGGTTTTTTCACATCCCTTTTCTTTCCTTCAGATTCTGGCAGAGCAGTATTCCAGGGGAAACAATTCATCACAGCTTTCATGGAAAATTTTGAGACAAGATGGCCCTCTGAAACAAAATTGCAGCTGTTCCTCACGGGTTACAGCAGTTCCACCATAGTAACTATTACATTGACCAAAAGTGCTACACGGAAAAGTTACTTGATTGAAGAAGGCCAGACTGTGCCCATAGAAATCCCAGTGACGGAAGAGATGATAGGCAGTGGCACATTTGATAATTCTGTTCTGATCCAGGCTGAGAAGGACATTTCTGTTGTCTCGATGGACAGAAAGTTATTTTCGGTTGCCACTACAACTGTATACCCAGTCCACCAACTTGGCACAGATTATTATATCATTACTCCAGCTGGAACCCGATCAACAGGCTACTTAAAAGAATTTGCTGTCATAGCTTGGCAGATTCCAACAAGAGTTGATATTCATCTGAAAGGGAACGTGGTCTTTGATGGAAAGACCTACAGTGCAGGCAGCAAGCTCACAGTTAACCTTGGCGCTTTCCAGGCTATCCAGCTGCAAAGCTCCGATGATCTGTCTGGTGTCAGGATTGAGTCATCGGCACCTGTGGCAGTCCTGAGTGGGCATGTTTGTGTGCAGCAAAACTATTATTGTGACCATGTCTCTGAACAGCTCCTGCCAGTCCCTAGCTGGGGCACCACCTTCATTGTTCCTCCTGTGTTTTTCCAAGGCAGTGTTGATCTTGTATACGTGGTTGCGTCCCAAGCCACCCGTATACATTATCAATCAGGAAATCTGAAAAGCTTTCAAGACATGGTGGCTGGGGAGGTAAGCCAGTTTGAAATCCAATACCCACAAGCCTTTTATGTGTCTGCTAATGCTGGAATCCAAGTCTTTTTCTTCTTCACTGGCATCAAGTCGGGAAATAGAGGCTACGATCCATTCCTCATCAACATCCCACCCATAAAAAGCTATGGCCTGTCCTACTATGTTGATGGAATGTCCAAGTTTGAGAACTATATCGCCATCATAGCTAAAAGCTCTGAAATCAGTCGCATTACTAGGGATAACTCAGCTATTTCGGACATTCAATGGAGAGAGATTCCTGGTGTACAGTATTCATGGGGAGAAAGCAGGTGGCCCACCACCAGCAGATCTGCCTTGCTAAAGCATCCTGAAGCTCCCTTTGCTGTCTTTCTCTTTGGTACCAGAAACTATGAAGGATTTGGATTTGCACCACCACCTTTTGGCTCAGTTGGTAAATATTCTCACACTGTGCATAAATCTAGACAGTAACCTTACACATTTAATTATCTTGACTTCTTGGCCTGGTAGAATTTGCAGATCAAAATATTATTTATTTTAAGGAATTGCAGTATCAGTGCAATTTGCTGGTCAACTTGCTTCTTATCAACCAATTAACTGACTTCAGACATAGTTGTTTCTACTTCAGTAGCGGCTCTTATCTTTATTTACATTTCATTCATTGCAATAGCAGTTACTAACACAAAGTGAGATCTGAAGTGGTTAAACCTGGGGATTACATGATGCAACCATGAACTTAATAGGTCTATTGCACAACAGTCAAAATATGTAAATGGCCTTCGCATGTAAATAACACCAACATGATTCTGATTCACATTGAGTTAAGTAGAGTGAGTGTTGGATCTTGCATCTATTTTGGTGATAGGACATTGTCTGTCCCCCAGTGCACTCAAGGACAGCACACTGGTGGCATAGAAGAGATCACCTAGGGCAGTGGTTCTCAACCTGTGGTTCCCCAGGTGTTTTGGCCTACAACTCCCAGAAATCCCAGCCAGTTTACCAGCTGTTAGGATTTCTTGGAGCTGAAGCCCAAAACATTTGCGGTTGAGAACCACTGACCTATGACATAAAGCTCTGTCGGCTCCCCTGTCCCACATACTTCGCTGCATAAGGCTGGGCCTTAATCTGCATTGACAAATTCTTGAGCAGTGTATTCTAAATTAAGATTTGGTGCATCTCAATTGGGAAAGCTGACTAATGAGAGTGCTTCTGACTTTTTAATTATGATTAATGTTTCTTTCAGTTCCATCCGCCTCACCAGTTCCAGTCCCATTATCCTGCCCTGAGAACAGCCACTATGAGGCCTGTGGAAATGCCTGCCCGGCTACTTGTTCTAACCGAACTGATCCTTCCAAGTGCAATCTGCCCTGTGAAGAAAGCTGCCAGTGTGATGAGGGCTATGTCCGCAGTGATGAGGCATGTGTCCCAGTGATGAGCTGTAGCTGCACTTACCAAGGCGTGAAATATGGTCCGTTGGAAGAGTTTTGGGGAGATGACTGTCATACCCGCTGCAGATGTGAGCCCCGATTAGGTCGGGCTGCATGCATAAGGTCTTCATGCAAGAGGAATGAAAAGTGTGTCATGGTCAATGGGGTTCTGGGCTGTCATGAAGTCACCTACACCTCTTGTACCGCATCTGGGGACCCTCATTACACAACCTTTGATGGAAAGAAATTTGATTTCATGGGGACCTGTGTTTATCAAATGGCAGGACTTTGCACTAACAATCCCAGGCACACCCCATTTTTGGTCACAGTGGAGAATAACAACCGAGGAAGCAAGGCCGTGTCCTTCACCAAAGTGGTGACTCTGGAGGTCTACAACATGACAATCAGCCTGAGCCAAGAGGATCCGCAAAAGGTTCAGGTAGAGATGCTTGAGTCAGATTCACTGCACTGGACTGTTTTCTTTTATGGGGGTGGGGAGTAGTGGAAACAGTTTGTTCCGGTATATTTTTCGACCTGAAGCATAATAGTTCCCCTCCCCGCATCTGTCATGCTACCTACAAAGCTGACCACAATGGTTGCAGATTTATACCCCAACTTTGCTATGAATATAGCATCTACCACCTTGCCTAAGAGTAGCAGATTAACTTTCACAGGTGGCAAGGCTGGTATCTGAGAATACACTTCTCTACCCTCCAAAGGAATACAATAGTCAATGATCTTTCCTCACCAGTGAATATGGAGCGCCCAGTGGCACAATGGGTTAAACCCTTGTGCTGGCAGGACTGAAGACTTGACAGGTCGGATGTTCAAATCTGGGGAGAGTGTGGATGAGCTCCCTCTGTCAGCTCCAGCTCCCCATGTGGGGACATGAAAGATGCCTCCCACAAGGATGGTGAAACATCAAACATACGGGCATCCCATGGGCAACCTCCTTACAGATGGTGAATTCTCTCACACCCGAAGCGACTTGCAGTTTCTTAAGTCGCTCCTGACATCGGGAAAAAAAAAACGAACAATGAATATTTGCCACTCAACATGACTTCCTTAGCTTGCCACAGGAATGGAGAAAGTGTAGCTTCTAGTATTCCATACCATTAAATGTGGAATTGGGTTAATGAGATTTTCAATCCAAAGCATCAGGGAGGCTATGCTTTACCCACCTCATAACACTAATGATACAGCTAGCCCTGTTTGTAAAGCATAAAATGGAATGTGAGGGCTAGCGAGAATGCAGTAGAAAATATTGGAAGAGAAGCAGCCAAATTCTTCATAATTTTTCTGTAATGAAGATGATGATGATGATGATGATGATGCAAAGACTCTGGCACAAGCTAGTCAAGGTGGTCCCAGTGGTGATCGGCACACTGGGTGCAGTGCCTAAAGACCTTGGCCTGTACTTAAACACAATCGGTGCTGACAAAATTACCATCTGCCAGCTGCAAAAGGCCACCTTACTGGGATCTGCACGCATTATTCGCTGATACACCACACAGTCCTAGACACTTGGGAAGTGTTCAACATGTGATCCAATACAACAGCCAGCAGAGTGGACTCATCTTGTGTTTCTAATAATAATAATAATAATAATAATAATAATAATAATAATAATAACAACAACAACAACATACTTTATTTATATTCTTCTCTATCTTTTGACTCAGAGCGGATTACAGAATACATATTTGGCAAACATTCAATGCCATTATACAATTAACAAAGACACACAATACATAGACAAAGGCAAGGCTTCCCTCTTTGTCATTTCCGGCATCTGGAGGCTGTGCTCGACGTGGCCATAGGGAGGTGCTGTTGTTCCATTTTTCGATGCCAAAGAGTCTGTTGTCCATAGATGCCTTCCTGATCGAATTGCCGGCATGTCTTCAAGGGCGCCTTTTACCTCCCTGCCAAAGCAAAACCTATTTATCTACTCACATTGCTAGTTTTGAACTGCTAGGAAAGCAAAAACTAGGGCTGATGGCAGGAGCTTACCCCAATTCACGGCTTGACCTGCCAACCTTCCAGTTGGCAAGATTTTCTGTAGCTGGTGGTTTAACCCGCTGTATTAACTGTGGCTCATTAAGACTAAGATTGCATTCTCATTTCTAGTTTAGGCCAGCAGAGGTTAATTGTTTTTATGGGGGAACACATATATTTCTCATTTGTCATGCAACCAATTGTAATTGAACCATATGCTTGTTTTCTGGATTCCCTAAAAAACCCCCTTGGCGGTATTTCTTATGTTTCCTAGGTCAACGGGGTTTCTGTGAACCTACCATTCTCTTATGAAAATAAACTGAAGATCTACATCAGTGGCGTCCATGGTTTCATCAAAACAGACTTTGATCTCAGAGTTAGCTTTGACTGGTATAGCTACGCCAGGGTCATTATTCCCAACAGTTATGCTGAATCTATCTGCGGACTCTGTGGTAATGCTGATCGAGATCCCAGTGATGATTTCACTATGAAGGATGGTACTCAAGCAAGCGATGCAATCCAATTTGCAAATAGCTGGAAGCTGAAAGGGTCCCCTCAGTGCTCAGAAGGCTGCTCCAATAACTGCCCAGTGTGCAGTGAAGCTCAGAAACAAATTTACGGGAGTGAACATTACTGTGGTCTCCTCATCAGAAAGGACGGACCATTCAAGCAGTGTAATGCCTTCATTTCCCCAACCTACTACTTTGAGGACTGTGTCTATGATACTTGCCTTCACAAAGGTTTTCGCAATGTTTTCTGTAGTGCCATCAGTACCTACGCAATAGATTGCCAAACTCAGGGCATTCAGATTGGAGAGTGGAGATCAGCTTCTACTTGCAGTAAGTGTTGCTTTCAAGGGGTCAGCATGGGGTGTCAGAGGGGTCACCTAAGACCATCAGAAAACACATTATTTTCTGTTGGTCATGGGGGTTCTGTGTGGGAATTTTGGCCCAATTCTATCATTGGTGGGGTTCAGAATGCTCTTTGGTTGTAGGTGAACTATAAATCCCAGCAGCTACAACTCCCAAATGTCAAGGTCTATTTTCCTTGAACTCCACTAGTGTTCACATTTGGGCATATTGAGTACTCATGCTAAGTTTGATCCATCAGATCCATCATTGTTTGAGTCCACAGTGCTCTACCTGGATGTAGGTGAACTACAACTCCAAAACTCAAGGTCAATGCCCACCAGACCCTTCCAGTATTTTCTGTTGGTCATGGGAGTTCTGTGTGCCAAGTTTGGTTCAATTCCATCATTGGTGGAGTTCAGAATGCTCTTTGTTTGTAGGTGAACTATAAATCTCAGCAACAACTCCCAAATGACAAAATCAATCCCCAAACCCCACCAGTATTCAAATTAGGGCGTATTGGGTTTTTTGTGCCCAGTTTGGTCCAGTAAATGAAAATACACCCTGCATATCAGATATGCAAAATTACAGCTGTAAAGTAGCAACAAACAGAATTTTATGATTGTGGGGTCACCACAACATGAGGAACTGTATTAAGGGGTCGCGGCATTAGGAAGGTTGAGAAACATTGTTCTAATGAATGTCATACACATGCTTTAACAAAATAACATGAATCTCCTGGAGTTCAGTACAAGAATATTCAATGGTGGACACTTTTTCCTGAAAAATGAATGAATATTAAGGCTATTTCGGCCCCATCTATACATCAATATTTCTTTCTTTCTTTTCATGTCAAGAGCGACTTGAGAAACTGCAAGTTGCTTCTGGTGTGACCGTCTGCAAGGATGTTGCCCTGAGGACGCCCAGATGTTTTGATGTTTTACTATCATTGTAGGAGGCTTCTTCCAGGTCTCCGCATGGGGAGCTGGAGCTGACAGAGGGAGCTCATCTGTGCTCTCCCCGCATTCAAACCCCACTTGTCAGTCTTCAGTCCTGCTGGCACAAGGGTTTAACCCATTGCACCACTTCAATATAATGCAGTTTCATAATGCAGTTTAACTGCATTGGACTTTGGATACCTGTGAGATTCCAACTTTGCAGGAGCTTAAAGTCCTTGTAAAATACCTTCCTCTTGCAAGACACATTGAAGGCTCTATATATGTTATTTTTTCATGTCAGGAGTGACTTGAGAAACTGCGAGTCACTTCTGGTGTTAGAGAACTGACTGTCTGCAAGGAAGTTGCCCTAGGGATGCCCGGATATTTTTATGTTTTACCATCCTTGTGGGAGGCACCACAATTGAAGAGATGTTCACAAGATGGAATGTGTCCAGAGGAGCGCAACTAAAATGATCAAGGGTCTAGAGAACAAGCCCTATGAGGAGCGGCTTAAAAAGCTGGGCATGAAGAGAGGGCTGAGAAGAGATATGATAGCCATATATAAATATGTGAGGGGAAGTCATAGGATGGAGGGAGCAAGCTTATTTTGTGCTGCCCTGGAGACTAGGACACAGAGCAATGGCTTCAAAATACAGGAAAGGAGATTCCACCTGAACATTAGGAAGAACTTCCTGACTGTGAGAGCTGTTCAGCAGTGGAACTCTCTTCCCCGGAGTGTGGTGGAGGCTCCTTCTTTGGAAGCTTTTAAACTAAGGCTGGATGGCCATCTGTCGGGGGTGCTTTGAATGTGATTTTCCTGCTTCTTGGCAGAGGGTTGGACTAGATGGCCCACGAGGTCTCTTCCAACTCTATGATTCTATATATCAGACAGTTTTGGTATATGTTAATAGAGACGGTTATACCATACTATTGTTTTTAAAAAAAACTTTGTACCTCTAGGTGTGATTATGTTAGGTAGACTTTTTCTCCACTTGAGACCCTAATCTAATCTCATCTGCCCTGGTGAGGACATGTATTTTGTGTTCTCTGCAATGATCTGGAAAAATTATTTTCATTCTTTCTTCCCAGGCCTTTCCTGTCCTCCTCACTCCCATTATGAAATCTGTGGACCCGCCTGCCCTGCCACATGTCATAGCCGCTTCACTGGTAAAAGATGTGATGCTCCCTGTACAGAAGGATGCTTCTGTGATTCTGGATTCGTCCTCAGTGGTGATAACTGTGTCCCGCTTACAGAATGTGGCTGTGTCTACCAGGGCAGGTATTACAAGACTGGAGAGGAGTTCTATCCACACACTTCTTGCCAGGAGAAATGCCAGTGCAAGGACCATGGTGTCATTGACTGTCACCAGTTCTCCTGTAGAGATGATGAGGAGTGCAAGGTTGAGAATGGCATCCAGGATTGCTATCCTGTCGGGCATGGAACAACAACAACATATGGAGGCCTTCATTATATTTCTTTTGATGGAAGAAGTTTTGGGTTCCGTGGCACTGGAACCTTTGTCTTGTCCCAAATCTTTAGTGAGGAGGATCCCCGACTAGTGACATTCTCTGTCTTGGTGGAGTATGACGAAATTGATGCTGGTTCTTTAACACTAATAAAATCTGTTGTGATCTACATAAATGGTACTACTATTGTCTTAGAGAGGGGAATGAAATGGAGAGCTATGGTAAGTTATGTTGGATGAATCTGCCAAATTCATTTTCATTAATTTCCTCATTTTTTCAGCATTAAGTTGGAAACAACCACAGCTTGCATCATTAAAAGTGAATTACCATATATACTCAAGTGTAAGCCAAGTTTTTCAGCCCTTTTTTAGGCTGAAAAAGACACCCCCCCACCGGCTTATACTTGAGTCAAAGTCATTTATTATTTTACTCTGTTGTTGTTGTTATTTTACTCTATTTATTATTATTACATTTATTATTTTTCTCTATTATTGTTATTACATTTATTATTTTACTCTAATATTATCATTAAATTTATTATTTAACTCTATTATTACATTTATTATTTAACTATTTATTATTACATTTATTATTTTACTCTAATATTATCATTAAATTTATTATTTAACTCTATTTCTTATTATTTTACTCAATTTATTATTGTTATTATTACATTTACATTATTTTACTTAATTATTATTTTATTACACTTATGCATTTATTATCTTACTCTATTATTATTGTTATTATTACATTTACATTATTTTACTCTATTATTATTTTATTACATTTACTATTTTACTCTCTTTATTATTATTGGAAGGATAGGTAAGCACATTTACATTGAAGAAGGTTAGAATAATTGTTTATTCACAGTTGGACAGTTTTATCTTAAATTTCAGTTTTATGTAAATATTCAAAAACATTTAACCTACTGATGCCTTAATTAATGTAATATTATTAGTATCTATTTTTATTTTGAAATTTACCAGTAGCTGCTGCATTTCTCACCCTTGGCTTATATTTGAGTCAATATGTTTTCCCAGGTTTTTTTGTGGTAAAATTAGGTGCCTCGGTTTATATTCGGGTTGGTTTATACTCTAGTATATATGATATGCCCATGGCAATTGGAATTTAGCACTTACGTCTCTAAAAACATCCAATTTTGTAAATTTACACACAGGAATATTATGTTGTATAAAATATATTTGGGACTAAAATATTGTATTTGGAACATAATATAAGGTTTCCACAAAATATTGTATTTTGTGAAATATACACATTTTTGCCATAATAAAAAAGTTTTCAACAAAACTCCCAAAACATAAGAATTTAGTGGAAATGTGCAAATACTCTCATAACCTCATCCACTAGAGAGAAAACTTTGGATTTCTTTTTCATTCTCAGATGTGAGACCCAAGTAAACAAATATTTGCATCCAAAGTGATGCAAATTATTTCCCCATTGATATTATTTCTGTTGTTGTTAATTATGATTATTTTGTTTTGTTTTGTTTATGATCTAGGTGAACGGAGAGTTTCATAGTTTGCCAGTGAATATAAAAAATGAGAAAGTCTGGATCACGCAGGAAGGAAACAATATAATTGTCCAGTCCTCCGATGGATTCACTGTCATTTATGACACTGCCTCCTATGTCCATGTCTCAGTTCCCATCACCTACCAGAGAAAGGTGCATGGGCTGGCTGGCAACTTCAATGGTGATGAGAGTGATGATTTTATGATGCCCAACAGAACTCAGGCACAAAATGTGGCTACCTTTGGGGCATCCTGGAACATCCCTGTGGCTGGCATCAGTTGCTCTAATGACTGTATTAAAGAACGGCCTGACATGCATCCAGATGAAGCAAAGAGCTATGAGGACGCAAGTTCTTGTGGAATGATCAAGTCTGAGTCAGGCCCCTTTGCAGACTGTCACTCACTTGTGAGTCCCGAAGACTACTTTGCTAACTGCTTGTATGACATGTGGACAGCTGGGGCTCAAGAACACCTCTGTCAAAGCCTTCAAGCCTACACAACTGCATGTCAGACAGCGGGAGCTCAGATTGAAGCATGGAGAACAGACTCCTTCTGTTGTAAGTTGGCCATACAGTGCTCTCTCTTCTCATAATGAATGTACTTAAGGCTTAGTAGCAAAATTTTGCTATTACTTGAATTTCTACCAATCATCATACAAAAGTGTGGCTACAGTACAAATCCTGACTGTCGACATTTAATTTCTATGTCCTTTCTAATGAGATAGCAGCATTGTATGTGTGCATGTGTACATCTGTCTTATAATAGTTCCAACTGAAAGTGACTCTAAGGAAGTGGTTCCCAATATTTTTTGACCGGGGACCACTTTGACCAGGGACCACTCTGCTGGGAACCACTTTGACCGGGGACCACGCTTACTGGGGACCACTCTGACCTGGGACCACTCTGACCTGGGACCACTCTGACCGGGGACCACTCTGACCTGGGACCACTCTGACCTGGGACCACTCTGACCGGGGACCACTCTGGCCTGGGACCACTTGACGGGGATCCACTCTGCCGGGGACCACTCTGCCGGGGACCACTCTGCCGGGGACCACTCTGACCGGGGACCACTCTTACCGGGGCCTACTTTGACCAGGGACCACTCTGACCAGAGACCACTCTGACCAGGGACCACTCTGACCTGGGACCACTTTGACCAGGGACCACTTTGACCGGAGACCCCTTGACCAGGGACCACTCTGACCCGAGACTACTCTGACTTTGACCAGGGACCACTCTGACCGGGGACCACTCTGACCAGGGACCACTTTGACTAGGGACCACTCTCCAAAATGAGTACCAAACAGGTTACAAATCGGTTTTTGGCCAACTTTAGATTTGGTTTGGTTATTTGGGGTGCTGATTCAGAAAACTGCATTGGATAGACCACATCGACTCTAGTTTCTGATAGTTGGAAGCTGGAATGAGGGAAGGCTCTTGCTGTATTGTAATACTGTTCTATTTGGCATTCGTCAGACTAAGAAAATACCCTTTCTGCTTCCTTGGTCTGCAGCCATGACCTGTCCAAACAACAGCCATTACGTGACATGCACCTCCCATTGTGATAGCACCTGTGCCAACTTGTACATGCCACTCCGGTGCACAAGGCATTGCTTTGAAGGCTGTCAGTGCAATGAAGGTTATATATTTGATGGAGATATCTGTGTGCCTGTAGACAAGTGTGGCTGTGTGCGGGATGGATTCTACTTCAAGGTAAGTGGCTTAAATCCCACTATTAGTCCTGATTAAAGTAGACCTATTGGATCTACAATGTAGGTGCACCCTGAGAGAGCATATTTTCTGAAGGTCACCCAGCAAGTTTCACAGTTAGGTCAGAATTTGAAGCTTGGTCTTCCAAGTCCTCATCCTATGCTCAAAGTGCTACATCAATCTGGATCTCTATAGTTAGTACATTTCCCCCAGAAAGAAGTCTGCAAACCATGTATTAAATCTGTTATTCATTTCTCAGCATGGTGTCTCAAATATTGTGACATCCATTTTCCATTGAGGATGACAAAATTTACAGATATTCTTTATATTCCTAAGAGGAATCCTTGGAAAGCCACAGTACCTTGTTTTGCAAGACACTCTGTGGATAAAATCAGTCCTTTTTGGAGACTGGGTTTTTTCTCAGAGATAAAGTGAGTGGACTGCCATGCAAGACAATGTGTTATTTGTGGTGGCTTCCAAACATTGCAATTATCTTTCCAGGTTTTTTTAACTTATTTATTTAAATATTTTATCCACCCTTTACACTAAAAGTATAAGTAAAGGTAAAGGTTTCTCTTTGACTTTAAATCCAGTTGAGTCCAACTCTGTGGAGTGGTGCTTATCTCCATTTCTAAGCTGAAGAGCCGGCGTTGTCTGTAGACACCTCCAAGGTCATGTGGCCAGCATGACTGTATGGAGTGCTATTGCCTTCCAGAAGCGGTATCTATTGGTCTACTCACATTTGGATGTTTTTGAACTGCTAGGTTGGCAGGAGCTGGGCTAACAGCAGGAGCTCACCCTGCTCCCCAGTCGAACCACTGACCTTTCAGTCAGCAAATTCAGCAGCTCAGCAGTTTAACCCACTGCACCACTAAAAGTATAGCTCTTCAAAATTCATTCCTTAAAATCTAAACAATAATCAATAGATTGTTGTTGAGATCATGGATACAGGTTATAGCATGGCATTTTGTATCTGAGTGTAATATTTCTGTCAGATATGTTTCTTGAGCCAGGCAAGTTTGTTAGGATCTTGTGGAGTAAGTATAGAATATCTCATTTTGGAGTATTCCCACAGTATATATGAAGGCTAGATCATTTGGCTGTAGCACTGGATGTTGATGGAATAATAATTTCTAAAGTGAATACAAGTGATTTTTTTTTAATTCTGAGATTTTAAGGCTTGTAAGCACACACAGAGAAGAACTAATTGCTTACTAAGTTTTTTATTTATGTCTTTTTTTAAAAAAAATCTATAGATGTCAAGTTTGTAAGTTGTTTTTATATGTTGGGTTATGTTGGGCTATTATGTTTGTATTTGTTGTTATATTTAAGCATTGAATGTTTGCCTTTTTTGTATTGTCGAAGGCTTTCATGGCTGGAATCACTAGGTTCTTGTGGGTTTTTTTCGGGCTATAGGGCCATGTTCTTGAGGCATTCTCTCCTGACGTTTCGCCTGCATCTGATGGCAAGCATCCTCCGAGGTAGTGACTACCTCTGAGGATACTTGCCATAGATGCAGGCGAAATCAGGAGAAATGCCTCTAGAACATGGCCCTATAGCCCGAAAAAACCCACAAGAACCTTTGCCTTTTTTGTTTTGTTGTATTGTGCCCTGAGTCCCCTCGGAGAGATTGGGTGGAATATAAATAAAGTCGTCGTCGTCTTCTTCTTCTTCTTCTTTTTCTTCTTCTTCTTACTACTACTACTACTACTACTACTACTATTACTACTAATTCATTGTTAGATCTGATTTTAAAAAAAATTACAGTTGCATATTTTGATTTTATGTAAGTTGCTCTTGTCGATATTTTATAATAGTGTATGCCCAGGTATGCATTTTCTTTGAAGTTTTTTCTTTCCTTTCTTTGTTTCCTTCATATACCTTCTCTCTCTCTCTGTCTTTCTGTCTGTCTGTCTGTCTGTCTTCCCTTGCTTTCCCTCATACTTCTCCCCTTCTTTTTTTCTTCCCTCCCATCCTTTGTCCATTTTCCCTTTTCTTTCTTTCTCTTTCCTTCTTTCTTTTCTCCCCTCCTCTCAAACCTTTTCCTTTCTATTCCTTTTCTTTCTTCCCCCTCTCTACCTTCCCCTTCCTTTGTTTCCCTTCTTTTTCTCCTTCCTTCCTTCCTTCCTTCCTTCCTTCCTTCCTTTCCTTTCCTTTCCTTTCCTTTCCTTTCCTTTCCTTTCCTTCCTTTCCTTCCCAACCCCATCTTGCAAATGTCACCTAGCAGCAGCCAATCTACTTCACTCCCTTTCATTTCTAGTCACAGGACAGAGGGCCGCTTTACCTAGTATGAGCCAATTCACTTTTTTCCTTTTCTTTCTCTCAGCTCTGGGCCCAAACCCCTTGTTTATTTTAAGTGAGATAATGAAGGGTAGGTGGGCCAAGTTTGGTCCAGATCCATCAAGCCATGTAGGAGTCTTTGTGGTACAACCAACTAACAAAAAAAACATGCATAAAAGGTAAAGGTAAAGGTTTGCCGCTTGACATTAAGTCCAGTTGTGTCCGACTCTGAGGGATGATGCACATCTCCGTTTCTAAGCTGAACATCCAGCATTGTCCATAGACACCTCCAAGGTCATGTGGCCGGCATGACTGCATGGAGCGCCATTACCTTCCCGCTGGAGCGGTACCTATTGATCTCACATTTTGCATGTTTTCTCCCCCCCCCCCTCTCTTTTTGTAAAATTATCTTTATTAAGTATTTTCCACATGAAATAAAAACACAGAGAGAAAAAGCAAAGGTTAAGAAGAAGACAGAACATTAAAAAGCGCTAATAATAGTAATATATTTATATTTTTATATTCTATCATCTGGCCCCAGTCCGTCTCTTTCATTGGGTTTCCCTTATTTTTGGAGATAAACTTTTTGCATGTTTTTGAACTTCTAGGTTGGCAGAAGCTGGGGCTAACAGCGGGGGCTCACTCCACTCCTTGGATTCGAACCTCTGACCTTATGGTCATGCACACATACTTTAATTTAAAGAGAGAGAGAGAGAGAGAGAATAGCAGCATGCACTATATTGAAATTGAAAATAAAGAAAGCATTTTTGGAATGTTTATGACCTTTTGCAATTGTCATAATGCTTCTCCTTACCTGGGAATTTCTCCACAGGCTGAAGAGACTGTCCTCTCAAGTAACTGCACGGAAAAATACACCTGCCATGCCCCAGGCCAACTCACCCATGAAAAAACGACCTGCCCTCCTGATGAGATTTGCACACTTAGAGATGGCGTGTGGGGCTGTGAGGCCAGAGAAGGCCAGTGCAAAGTTACACCGGAAGCCAAGTTTACCTCCTTTGATGGAGCCTCGGGGAAGTACTTTAGCAGTGGTGTTTATGACCTGGCCTCTGTTTGTGATCAAAACGATGCCTCCTGGTTCAGGGTGTTAGTGAACATTGGAAAGGATGTAGAAGGCGACTTGGCAGTTGGGAAAGCTGTCTACTTCTACTTCCAGAATGCATCCATCACTCTGAAGACAAAGAGTAAGATATGGGTAAGAACACCAGATGTATAAATAGGAATAAAGGGTCGATCCAGGGAAGTAATGCTACCCCTCTATTCTGCCTTGATCAGACCACACCTGGAATACTGTGTTCAATTCCGGGCACCGCTGACTCTAAGCTGGAATGTGTCCAGAGAAGGTCAACTAAAATGATCAAGGGTCTGGAGAACAAGCCCTATGAGGAGTGGCTTAAAGAGCTCAGCATGTTTAACCCACGGAAGAAAAGGCTGAGAGGAGAAATGATGAGAGCCATGTATAAATATATGAAGGGAATTATAGGGAGGAGGGAGCAAGCTTGTTTTCTGCAGCCCTGGAGACTACGATGCGGAACAATGGCTTCAAACTACAGGAAAGGAGATTCCATCTGAACATTAGGAAGAACTTCTTAACTGTGAGAGCTGTTCAGCATTGGAACTCTCTGCCCCAGAGTGTGGTGGAAACTTTTTAAACAGAAGCTGGGTGACCATCTGTCAGGGGTGCTCTGAATGTGATTTTACTGCTTCTTGGAAAGGGTTGGAATGGATGGCCCACGAGGTTTCTTCCAATTCTATGATTCAATGATTTATGGGTTGGTTGCATGCATGCAAGTTAGAGGTTAATCAGACACCTCTGCAAACTGAAAACAAAGAGGAAGGGTTTCTGTATGTTAAAAATAAGATGACAGAAATAAGCATAGAATGTCCCTGTGCTAACTTATATGTGTAGATGCAAATTGGGAAAATATTGCTGTTATTTTAGGCACAAATACATATATCTCCTTGTTATAGTGCATTTCAGTAGCTAAACTAGACATTAAGACGAATGGTTATTTCATGCAATTAATTATTTTCCTCCCAACATATAACTCATAAATCAGAAATGCAAAGTAAGCATGTGCTATGAGAGCAGACACCTTTTACCATTTGAAAGAGTCCCTCTTTCAATTACAGGTGATGTATAGTTATACCTGAATAGAGTCTAGAGTACATAATAGTTGATAAACACACCATGATAAGGAAGATTGTAACACCATAAATCTCTTACTTTTGCTCAGTTTCCCCTTATTCTTCCGAGTTAAAAAATAACCACTTTTGAACATGAAGCACAAATGCAGCCCACTCTCTTATTTTCAATTCATAGCAGGATGGCCTTTAACTTTATTTACAAAATATATACAGGGCAGACATAAACATGTCCAAATGTTCTTCCACGGTGAGGGCATTGGTTTCCATGTGAAAGGAGGTTCCGGTCAGGGTTGGCTTGATGCACCTTCCTCTTGGCACATTTCTCCCTTTTGCCTTTCTGCCATTCTGCAGCACTGCTGCTAACAGCGGACCTCCAGTTACAGTGCTAAAGGGCCAGGGCTTCCATGTTCTAATTATCTATGCCACAGTTTAATGTTGGCTTTGAAACCAACTTTAAATCTCTTTTCCTGTCCACCAACATTCCATTTCCCATTCTTGAGTTGGGAGTAAAGTAACTGCTTTGGGAGACGGTTATTGGGCATTTGGATAACGTGGCCAGTCCAGCGTAGTTGATGGCATAGGAGCTAGTGCTAGTGGTCTTTGCTTCTTCCACTATGCTGACATTTGTTTGCCTGTTTTTCCAAAAGATTTACAGGTTTTTTCAGATTCAACACTTATGGAATCTTTCCAAGAGTTGAGTATGACATCTGTAGACAGTCCATGTTTTGCAGGCGTATACTAATAGGATTGGGAGGACAATCGCTTTATAAAAAAGAATTTTGATATCCCTACATGTCCAAATCCTCAAACACTCTTGTACATTCCATATGTCAGTGTTTAGCCTGCCCTCCCTACTATAGCTCAACCTGGATCAGCTACTCCACATTTGAACCTCAAGGTTATTCTAGTTTCTTAGTCTTCACCCCAAAGAGCATCTCATAACTGCAACTTTGTTTCTTCCAGGTAAACGGGCGCTTTGTGAAGTTACCATACAAAGTCTCCAAAGCAGTAACTGTGAGCCAAGTTCAAGATGGGATACTGATTAATCAAGCCTCTCAGGTTCAGGTTCTTCTTCATTTTGATGGGAAGGTGACAGTGAAAGTCAGGGAGACCTTATCTGAGAAGCTCTGTGGCCCATGTGGAAACTTCAATGGGAACAGATCTGATGACCTGAAGCTGCCCAATGGGGAATCTGAGATGGATGTTGTTGAAGTCCTCCATGCCTGGAGGTCTAAGGACTACTGACACTAGTAAGTTGCAAACTATATCATTACTTTGAAAAAAGGGAGGGGGTTGTGTCAGGAGAAACTGCAAATCACTTGAGAAACTGCAAGTCACTTGAGAAACTTGAGAAACTGCAAGTCACTTCTGGTATGAGAAAATTGGTTGTCTGCAAGGACATTGCCCAGGAGATGCCCAGATGTTTGATGTTTTACCATCCTTGTGGAAGGCTTCTCTCATGCCCCCACATGGGGAGCTGAAGCTGACAGAAGGAGCTCAACCCGCTCTCCCCGGATTTGAATGGCTGACCTGTCAGTCACAAGGGGGCTCCAAGAAGTGATGTGTTCCCAATCCAGGTCCATGCCTTGCCCTAGTTTCTTACCAAAATTTACCCGACCACATTGTCTCATTGCCACAATATGTGCTAATTGCAGTAAATTGCATCATTGGAGGACAACTGTAGTCAAGAGGTAAGGTCCAGAGGGGAATCAAGGCGTTGTTGCTGATTTTCCTGCAAAACAAGGAAAGGGCCAATTCAAAGAACACTCTGTAAAGAATGTGGGAAGCAGCAGTTGGTGCTCCCCAAGTCAGTGGTGGGCATCCACCCCAGGCAGTGGTCTGAACTTTAAAGTTTATCCAGTGTGCTCAACCCTTTTCCTCAAATAGCTTTAGAAACTTGGGTTACTCCTTAGAACAGTGGTTCTCAACCTGGGGTCCCCAGATGTTTCTGGCATACAACTCCCAGAAATCCTAGCCAGTTTACCAGCTGTCAGGATTTCTGAGAGTTGAAGGCCAAAAACATCTGGGGACCCCAGGTTGAGAACCACCACCTTAGAATCATAGAGTTGGAGGAGACCTCGTGGGCCATCCAGTCCAACCCCCTGCCAAGAAGCAGGAAAATCACATTCAAAGCACCCCCGACAGATGGCCACCCAGCCTCTGTTTAAAAGCCTCCAAAGAAGGAGCCTCCACCACATGGAAGATCACGAGTTGGTTTTAGATTCATACCAGAAGAAAGGAAAATGATAAGGAACATGTAGCCTTTGTGGAAATGCCATTGATCATTTATTATGTAGCTTCATTATCCCCCTCTCACCCATTTCATACACAGAGCAGTATAATGAGGATGATTTCTTATTACTAGGAAAAACTTTTCTTTTGTCATCTCATGTCCCTTGATTGATGTCCCAGCTATTTGAAGGATGACTTGACAGATTTTCCATATAGGAAAGGCTGCTTTCAGTGTAGAAAATTCTGTTTTCTGTGCAAAATAGCTACATTCGTGTTGTGTGGAATGTTCCAAACTGCAGAGATTTTTGTCATTTCAGCATTTCTCAGCACTAAAATACGATTTAAAACTATTTTTGGAATGTTCTGGATTTTAAAAAATATTTTCTCCATCTCTGAAAGATGCAACACCATTGTACCCCACAATGTTATGGCTAAGCAGATGGAAAGGTTGTCCAATGACACTCTCTGGAACCAGGGAGCAAAATGAAGATGCTACATATCAAATAAAAATGTGCCCCAAATGAAATTTTCTTCCACTCCCCAAATTTCTAGCATAACGTTAACCTTTAATAGAATATTTTAAAAAACTGTTTTGACCTCCGCAGAAAAACAGAAAGCAAGGGAATGCACACATAGCAAGTATTATAGATGTGAATGGTTTTCAAAATTCAGCTTAATGGTGTAATGTTAGAAAATGTTGACCATTTCCACTACCTTGGCAGCCACCCCTCAACAAAAGTCAACATTGACACTGAAATACAACACTGTCTGAGCTCTGCGAGTGCAGCATTTTTCTGAATGAAGCAGAGAGTGTTTGAGGATCAGGATATTCATAAGAAGACCAAGGTGCTTGTTTATAAAGCTGTCATCCTCCCGACCCCGTTATATGCCTGCGAACCATGGACTGTCTACGGACGTCACACTCAACTCTTGGAACAATTTCATCAGCGTTGCCTCTGGAAAATCCTGCAAATCTCTTAGGAAGACAGGCGTACAAATGTCAGCATGCAAAGACCAGCACTGAAGTGATGCTCCTATGCCATCAAGTCCAGTGGACTGGCCATGTTGTCCAAATGCCCAATCACTGTCTCTCAAAGCAGTTACTATACTCCCAACTCAAGAACAAAAAATGGAATGTTGGTGGACAGGAAAAGAGGTTGAAAGATAGGCTTAAAGCTAATCTTAAAAACTTCTGGCATAGACACCAAGAACCGGGAAGCCCTGTTCCTTGAGCACTTCAGTTGGAGGTCAGCTGTGACCAGCAGTGCTGTGGAATTTGAAGAGGCATGAATGGAGGGCAAAAGGGAGAAACATCCCAAGAGAAAGGTACATCAAGCTAACCTTGACTGGAACCACCTTTCACCTGGAAACCGATGCCCTCACTGTGGGTCAAGAATAGGGCCCTACCGTCACCCACGAATCCACAGCCCAGACCCTACACTTGGAAGCCCATCATACTCAGACAACAAGGGATCATAGAATCATAGAATCAAAGAGTTGGAAGAGACCTCATGGGCCATTCAGTCCAACCCCCTGCCAAGAAGCAGGACAATCGCATTCAAAGTACCCCTGACAGATGGCCATCCAGCCTCTGCTTAAAAGCTTCCAAAGAAGGAGCCTCCACCACACTCTGGGGCAGAGAGTTCCACTGCTGAACGGCTCTCACAGTCAGGAAGTTCTTCCTCATGTTCAGATGGAATCTCCTTTCACCCAAAGTAAAGGGTTTTCAATAGCTCACTCTTTCCCAGATTAGAAATCTTAGTTCAGAAAGGAATTCTTATTAGGTGGCAATGTCCTCCTTCCTTTCCTCCCTCCCCAAGTCTGGAACCATTCTTAGAGAAAAAACATAGGACCCCTGTAAGACAGTGCCTACAGGAGTGCAATGGATACAAGCCATGCCTATTGTTTCCTTCAAATCGTTCAGATATATTCATTTGCATCCACAGTTGTGCATCAATGATCCACCATATTGAGACAGAGGCATATGCATAAATGTGTCCCTATTCCTATCTGAGAAATTCCAGCACTGATTTTTGTTGCAATATGCTACTTTCTTCCTCTCTTGCGCTTCATGGCTGTTTTTTTCCCCCATGTCAGGAGCGACTTGAGAAACTGCAAGTTGCTTCTGGCATCTGCAAGGATGTTGGCCAGGGGACGCCCAGATGTTTCTGATGTTTTGCCATCCTTGTGGGAGGCTCTCATGTCCCCACATGCAGAGCTAGAGCTGACAGAGGGAGCTCATCCGTGCTCTCCCCAGATTCGAACCTCTGACCTGTTGTTCTTCAGTCCTGCTGGCACAAGGGTTTAGCCCATTGCACCACTGGGGGATCCTTCATGGTTGTTGGGAGGAGAGAACATAGATGGCCCAGCTATTGTCAGTCTTGGCTAAAGAAAGATCACCAGAGGCAATTTAGTGGAAGGACCCTGAATCAATGCACTTTCAAAAATGGGGAAATCAACCTCTTTTTCAATTTGTTCTTCTTTGCAGTAACTCTTTGGGAAATCCCACCACCACAACCACATCCGAAGGCGCCAAGCAACTTGCAGATTCAGAGAAGAAACCATACAATGCTCAAAATGTTAACTGTTAAACCACCCAGTAGCTATTTTGTTAGTGTGCACCATCTCTGCAGCATTCTGCGTCTGCAAGTGCAGCAACATTTCTACAATCCAATGTAATAAGAAGACAAGTTTAACTTCAAAATCACAATGCCCAGCATTATTCAGATTTGTTATTGCTGGGAGTTTCCCAGAGCTAGAAGGGAACTTTGCTTATTATGCTTGACCTATAGCAAAATTACTGCTGTTTTACATAAGCAATATTTGCTTCTTAGGCCCCTTCCACACAGATGAATAAAATCCCACATTTTCTTCTTTGAACTGGAAAATATGGCAGTGTGGACTCAGATATTCCAGTTCAAGGCAGATATTGTGGGATTTTCTGCCTTGATATTCTGGGTTATATGGCTGTGTGGAAGGGCCCATTGAAATAGGACTGTCACTCAATTAAATAAAATGTTTTCCATCATGACTTTTAGCTGTTTCATTCATTCATTCCAAAGGTTGCAGATGCCTCAGTAAACTACAACTCCCATGATCCCAGAGCAGTTAAAGTGGTATCAAACTCCATTGATTTTACTATGTGGATGCACTCACAGAGTCACGGGTGTATTCTGTTGTCGGTTAGGATAGTGTTGAGGGAGTTCGATGCAGGTGGGGTTCATTCTTTGCCATATCAGGATGTGGGATAGAGGACAATGAGAGTCAGATTATAACATTTGAGCTCCATGGGTAACAGAAAAGTGTCCTTACTTAAGATTCAACAATTTCTGTTTTATGAGAAGCTATCTGGTCCTGGCTAAATCAGGGCCAGCTAACACCTCCCAACAAAGGATTCCCCCAGGCAGGAAGCAGCCAAGCTTTGAAGCTGTAAGGCTATTCAACACTAATCAAGCTGGCCAATTGCAACATTCACACTTGCTTCAAACAGAGATGGGTTTTTCTGTGGACATTACACAGATATATAAACCCCACTTGCCTAGTTTCCAACAGACCTCACAACTGAGAATGCCTGCCATAGATGTGGGCAAAACATCAGGAGAGAATGCTTCTGAAACATGGCTATACAGCCCGGAAAACTCACAGCGACTCAAGTATCTAGTCCTTTATTGACCAATAACATTAAATTTCTCAAGGAGTCTCTGCACCGTTCATTATATCAGGAAACAGTACTATAGCGAATGGCCAACTATTACACATTGAAAAAATTGGTAAAAAATACACCCCATAGTTGCTATTATGCAAGAAACAGTAAAGACAACAATTTTGCCACCCCCAAAAGGGTCTTATATGCAGTGGTGACCATTATGCAATGAAATACAGTATTCACTGTTTTAAAAACTCCAATGAATTTCATCCTTTACTGAAATTTCATCCTCAATCGAGGCCATATGGATTTGATATTTTATAGTGGGCCTGAGCTAAGATCGGAAGAGAGGCCTGAGCTGTTTGAGCAAGGTTCACAAGGCCACATTCCTGAGAGAGGCCTCTCACCTCTTTTCTCAGAGCAGCTGTCTGAAAATTATACTGAGATTGATTTGCCAGGTGCGGGAGTTAATGAGGGTGAGGATAGTGAAACCTTGGACAGAAAGTCAAGTTTTAGTAAACAGAGGCAGAGCTTTCAGAGACTGAGGCGATAAGTCCGGCTATAGCAGAAGAGAGATAACAAATCGTTATCTGGTGGGAAGGTCAAGAAAAAATGCTTTCCTTTCAGTTTTGGAATCTGGAAAAGGTTTATAATTATTCATGCCTCAGTCGAGTCAGTGTTGTTATTTCATCACAGTCTTGCGTTCAAATGCTCTGTTTCATGTATCAAGTTTTTGCCAAGCTGAAGTTCTGCTTATGGGATTTTCCTGCTGTTTTGTTTCATGGTTTCAAGTGCCATGTCTCATGGATTTCTATGTACTCATGGACATTGCCTTCCTTTGAAGCTTATGGACTATCTTGGATTTTGGACTTTTACTGTTTTACTATTTTTTACTGCTTTGCCTACATATATTCTACAATAAACTGCTTGCTTATTTTACCAGGCTGGTGTCGTGTTTGAGGTCAGAGGTGTTCCTGCTCTGGTGTATAACAATTTTACCCACTTATATGGTTTCCTCCTTTCAACAGAAAATGAACAAAATCTGGCTACCAGTATGCTTTTTTTTAATCCCTCTAAAATAAGGATAGTAAACAAAGAGGAACACTCTGAAAATGGGGGGATTCCATACATGAAACAATCAGGGTCTGGTAACACCTCCCAACAAAGGATTACCCCAGGCAGGAAGCTTTGAATCTGCAAGGCTATTCAATTCTAATCAAGCTGGCCAATTGCAACATTCACACCTGCCTCAAACAGACAAGAGTTCTTTCTCCCACACTGGGCATTCCACAGATGCATAAGCCTTATTTGCCTAGTTTCCAACAGACCTCACAACCTCTGAGGATGTCTGCCATAGATGCAGGTGAAACATCAGGAGAGAATGCTTCTGGAACATGGCCATACAACCCAGAAAACTCACAGCTACCCAGTGATTCTGGCCAGGAAAGCCTTCAAAAATACAATACTATGTTTGTTCAATTCATGCCACATTTTGATGAATTTTGTTGTTTCCAGCTATTTCAAATGCTGAATTATATTTGGGAACATTAGAAATAATTGCCAGTTTAGCAAACAGATTCAAGCCAATCTACGACAGCTAGCTGTATTCCCTGGGGCCGGACATGTCTCTGCTATGTGACTCATGCATTGGTCCTTCCCATTTGAACTACTGGAGCTTCCTGTAATGTTGATTGGGCAATAGGTTTTTGACTCATTACCCTTATAAAAGTGCAAGAAGCAGCAGAATTATAAGAGGAATGGAAAGAGCTCTTCTTCATCAAGCCAAGACAGCTTTGCAGAAGGTAAAGGAATGGGGAAGGGACATAGCTCAGTGGCAGAGCACATGCTCCTTTGGACACAAATGAGTCAGGTTTAATGCTTTGCACCTTAGATAGTACTGGAAAGGATGAAACCTGTGACTATCTGCTAATCACTTGACTGGATACTGTGCTAGAGGTACCAGAGTTTAGTCTCGGCCTCATCACACTAGAGAAAAAATCCACTTTAAATCTGGTTGTTGTCTCCTGCAGAATTCTGGGGTTTATAGTTAAGGGAGGAGCGCTTAAAAGCCTCACTAAACTACAAATCCCATAATTTTGAAGGAGGCAGAAACCGTATTTCAAGTGGATTTTTTCTCTAGTGTGATGAAGTGCCGAAAGATGACATTGTATGTTCCTAGTAATGGGAGTATAGAGAGAGAAGGATGCCTTGTATTGATCGGTTACAGCTGCTAAACTTAGTTAATCAACTGCAAGTCAACTATGACTTAACAAGAATCTATCTTTTTTAAATATATATTTTATTGATATTATATTTTTTGCTTTGTGAGTGGATTTTTAAAATTTTATTTATTTTAAATATTTGTACCCCGCCCTTCTCTACCCCTGAAGGGGGACTCAGAGCATCTTACAGCCGGCAACAATTCAATGTCCTCCATATACAAACAGGTAAAACAACAGTTACATAATAAGTAAAACATTAAAATTAGATTAAAACCGTTTTAAATAGTGCAAATTGAATTAGTTGGCCATGTCTAAGTCTGAGTTCTACAATCAGCAACTTAATCCGAAGCCTGTCCATAGTCCATTTTCCATAGCGTTGTCATCATTTTATTGTCAGCCTGCTATCCGAATGCCTATCCAAATGCCTGGTCCCATAGCTACATCTTCAACTTTTTCCTGAAGGAAAGGAAAGAAGTTGTTGACCTAATTTTTCATGGGGAGCAAGTTCCACATGTGGAAGGCCACCACCAAGAAGGCCCTGTCTCTCGTCCCCACCAAGCGTGTTTGCGACGAAGGTGGGATTGAGAGCTGGGCCTTCCTGGAAGATCGTAAGTTTCGAGGTGGGATGTAGGGGGAGATACGTTCAGATAAGTAAGCTGGGCCAGAACCATATAGGGCTTTATAAGTCAAGATCAGCGCAATTAATACATGCATGTCATCTATAACCACATTTCTCTACTCTCTTCCATTATCTTCCACCTCACCCATTCAATATTATTCACTCACTTATCTATTATGTCTTAGAGTTCATTCACTCTTGTTTTTCCCCCTCCCTCCGACCTCCCTCACCCTCAGATTCATAACCACAGTTTCCATTAGAACTTTAACTCCATCCATGAGCTCAGCTTTTCCCACCTCTGTACAATATTTGCATTGGCTTCACCTCGTTTCATCCATTCCGAATATATCAACCATTTCTCTTTAATTTTCCTCATTTTATCTTCCTTCATATCCTCGCAGGTTACATTTACAATAATTTCTGATTGGCTCTGGTCAAACAAATAATTATTCCAATTGGAATTGGAATTGGAACAAGAATCTATCCATCCATGTTGTGGATGGTGCCTTCAGGATCCCAGAAGCCCCTGCAAAGTATAGCAAATGGTCAAGGATAATGTTAATTGTTGTATTATTTATTTATTTATTTACGATATTTATAGCCCGCCTTTCTCAGCCTTATGGCGACTCAAGGCGGGTTACAGGTTGGCACAATCCGATGCCACATATCCATAAAAGTGTAATTAAAAACCATCAACATAACAGTATAAAAACATATATAAAACCATTTTAAAAAGAAGAAAAAGCAAGCGTATCCAGTAACGTCATCTAGCCATTCCATGTTCATCAGTTTATAGTTCCAACCTTCCCAATGCCGTGACCCCTTAACACAGTTCCTCATGCTGTGGTGACCCCCTTCCATAAAATTATGGATCAAACATAAGAAAGTAGGAACAGTCATCTACCATTGCCCACTCACAGGCTAGTTCAAGATCAATGCCTCTGATGAAAGACTGTTATTTAGGTTTGGAAAAGTTATAATATGAAGAAAAGTAGAAGTTTGGTTGTGCTATGTTCAGGTGGATTTTTAAAGAAACTATTTATTATTATAATTATAATAAATAAATAAATAAATAAATAATAAACTAAAAAAAACCCAACACTTCATTGTTTTCTTTCATTATATCATTCTTTTTCAGCCATGGCTATGAAGAGAATTGTATTCCTCTTGATTGGTTTGGCACTTTTGGCTGGTAAGTAAAAAGGAACTTGAAAATGTATTGTCAAAAGCTTTCATGGCTGGAATCCCTGGGTTGTTGTGAGTTTTCCAGGATGTATGGCCATATTCCAGAAGCATTCTCTTCTGACGTTTTGCCTGCATCTATGGCAGGCATCCTCAGAGGTTGTGAGGTCTGTTGGAAACGAGGAAAATGGGGTTTATATGTCTGTGGAATAATGTCCAGGATAGGAGAAAGAACTCTTGTCTATTTGGGGGAGGTCTGAATGTTGCAATTGACCGCCTTGATTAGCATTTAATGACCTAGCAGTTTCAAGCTCTGGCTGCTTCCTGCCTGGGGGAATCCTTTGTTGGGAGGAGATTAGCTGACTTTGATTGTTTCTTGTCTGGAATTCCCCTGTTTTTGAGTGTTGTTCTTCATTTACTATCCTGATTTTAGATTTTTTTAAAATACTGGTAGCCAGATTTTGTTCTTTTTCATGGTTTCTTCCTTTCTGTTGAAATTGTCCACATGCTTCTTGTGGATTTCAATGGCTTCTCTGTGTAGTCTGACATGGTAGTTGTTGTCCACCATTTCTTTGTTCTTAAATAATATGCCATGCCCATATTATTTCCTCCTGTCGCAGGAAGCAGCCAGACCTTGAAAATGATAGGCCATTGAAATTCTATAATCTCCCTTATTCACCTGACCTCGCACCAATGGACTTCCACCTCTTTCCAACAATGAAGTTATTTTTGAAGTGCAAGCATTTTTCAGATGATGAGACTTTGGTTTCCGAAGTGGCTTTTGGAGCAATCTGTCATCTTCGACAAGTGAGATGTTTACAGTTGCTTAAAAAGATGGGAGAAGTTTGTGTCCCTCGGTGGCACCTATGGAGAGAAGGACTCATAACTGTGCCAAGTTTCATTGCTCTCAGTCCACAGGAAGTGGGTCAGGGGAAATCTTTAATGAACGCCCCTCATAGCCAACATATTGCATTTCTCTAAAGTTCACACTGAAACCCAAAGTGGATTCATTGCTTCATTGACATCAGCCTCCTCTGTATTTTAAGATTGTTTTGTTGATGTTATTTCTCCCTTCCTTTCTTTTGTCTTTCCTTTTAGGACCATGTTTATCAAGTTCCCTTGGAAAGAAATTTGTCACAGCCTTCCTAACCAATTTAAATCAAAACCAACGCAATCCCAAGTTTGTGCTGCTCATCACTGGATATCACCCTGAAACCAACGTCACAGTGACAGCAAACAAAATGGTACAAAAAACCATTTTTATCACCAAAGGACAAACATTTCCCATTGAATTTCCAGAATCCCTGGAGATCTTGCAAAGCGACATCTCTGACAAGACAATTTGGATCGAAGCAGACAAAGAGATCTCTGTGTTCTCCCACAATAATAAGGATTACACAACTGGTGCCACAGTGGTGTACCCATTGCATCAATTAGGAACCCTGTATTACGTGGTAACTCCAGAGGGCAACATGCAGAATACATTCAAGGAATTTGCAGTTGTTGCCCATGGAGTTCCTACTAGAGTTGATATTCGACTGCAAGGGACAGTGAAATTTAAAGAAAAGGTTTACTTTGCAGGGGACAGACTGACAGTTGATCTTCAAGCCTTTCAAACCATCCAGATTCAAAGCTCAGATTATTTATCAGGCACCCAGGTTGAATCCAATGCAACGGTGGCTGTCTTGAGTGGGCATAGCTGTGCTATGAAGCACACACATTGCGACCATGTCATTGAACAGCTCTTGCCTGTTTCCAGCTGGGGAACAATGTTCCTCGTCCCTCCTCTATCCTTCCAGAGGCGTTTTGACATTGTGTATGTAACTGCTTCTCAGCGTACTTCCATGTCTTCCCAATCTGGGCCAAACAAAGCCTCTTACCAAATGGAAACTGGGGAGGTTATCGAGCTAAATGTTTGGCCCTCTCGGCCACTTTATATATTGGCTGACCATGGGGTCCAGGTCCTTTTTTATTTCACTGGGTCTGTAAGAGGAAGTCGATTGTATGACCCATTCCTCCTCAACATCCCCCCTGTTACAAGCTATTGCAACTCATATCATATCGTTGGAATGAGTTCGTTTGATAATTATGCTGTCATCCTAGCCAAAACCCAAGAGTCCAGTGAAGTCACGCTAAACCAAAAGGTCACCAAGAACATCCATTGGAAACCAATTCCTGGCACAGAATATTCTTGGGCTGAGCACAACTTGGGCAGAAGAGCAGCCTCCGCCTCCCTAGAGCACCCAAGCACTCCTTTTGGACTCTTCCTCATTGGACTATCAGAACGAGATGGTTATGGAACTGTGGCACTTTGTTCCTCCCCCTGTAAGTATTCTCGTTTGTATTTCAAAATTCAGTTTAAGGGTTAAGGAATACTAATCTAAAATAACGCAAAAGAATTTACTCAAATCAACTTTTTTCCCGTTTTGATCAGAACTGCATAGTGTAGCGATTTGAGCATTGGATTACAACTAGAGTTTGAATCCATCCCTGGCTATGAAATCTACTAGGTTAGGCTGGGCAAGTCAGAGACTCCCTTAACTTTTTCAGAATTGGCCAAAAATCCTGTGATATGCTGACCTTCAGGCTGTGATAGATCAGAAATGACTGGAAGTTCATTGTTTACTTTCTAACATGTATGCCATCTACTAATTTAGCCCCCAGCTGTCCAGCTAATAGTCACCATGAAGACTGTGCCAATCTCTGCTCCAGCAGATGTGCCGGATACACAGATCCATGCCCACAATCCTGCTCTGCAGGCTGCCAGTGCGATGATGGCTTCCTCTTTGATGGCGTTAGCTGTGTTCCTCCTGAGAACTGTGGGTGCTTTGTGAATGCAGGCCAACTCAAGGTAGGCTGGTATTCTTGGAACCCAACTTCTGTTTTTTTTACCCCATATTTTCATGATTTCCTAGGGGTCAAATAATCTATTTCTTCTTCTGAGCACCCCTGTGTGACTTTGCTACATTCATTCCAATGGCTACCACAAGCAATTGTGATCTACATTTCTGTCTTTCAATACATATTCAGTTTTGTTTTATTTATATCCCACCTTTGCCCTTGTGCAGAATCCAGGCCTAAGTTTTTTGTTTTTGTGCTTTTTTTGTGTGTGTCAGGAGCGACTTGAGAAACTGCAAGTAGTTTTTGGTGTGAGAGAATTGGCCACCTGCAAGGATGTTGCCCAGGGATGTTTTACCATCCTGTGGGAGGATTCTGTCATGTCCCCACATGGGAAGCTGGAGCTGACAGATGGGAGCTCACCCTGCCAGTCAGCAGTCCTGCCACTGGGGGCTCCCAAGCTTAAGTAGGAGCCTAACTCTACTGCCAGTATTTTTAAGATTAGAAGATTAAGTGCTGTATTATATGTTTGATACTCAAAATGATCATCCTTGGATCTGTGTCAGCATTCGCCGATACATTATACAGCCCTAGATGCTTGGGAAGTGTCCAACATGTAATCCAATACAATAGCGAGCAGAGTGATCTTGTGTTTCTTGTGTTTCAAATAACAACAACAACAAATTTATTTTTATATTCCACCACCATCTCCCTGAAAGGGCCCAGAGTGGCTTAGAGACAGCACAAAGTGCCGAAAAACATACATAAAAGTAAACCCAATATAAAATACAATAAAATAAAATTGAACCATTGACCTATTGGTCAACAGTCCTGCCGGCATAAGGGTTTAACCCATTGTACCAGGGGCTCCTGTCATGAACCAGATACCTTAAACGAGCCAGACACAAAATAAAGGTCCAAACAATGTTTATTAACACAACAAAAATAGCTTAGAAACACTTAACTCAGTGTTACTAGCAATAACTAAAAAGACTACAGCAACTGCTGTGCAAAAAACAAAATGTAGCGGATAATCCGAATTATACTGGAATATAATCCAGGATAACAAAAAGTTCTAGCAAACTGCTTCAAAAATCACAGAGTTCTATAAGTATGAGGAAACAAGGTGGAAGCAAGCAAAATCATTGTCAAGAAACAGTCCCAAGTCAAAACACGTCCAAAAGCAGAAGATAAAGTCCAGGAAGCGATGTCATCATCCAAAAACAATCCGGAGTCAAAACAGGAGTTGAAGTCAGCACTTACGAGATTCCAGTCTGTAGAAGCATGGTAACACAGCAATCTGCAGTCCCAGGACCCAAGTCAAGAGTAATGGCAGCAACAAAGTCCCAAGCACGAATACAACACTTTGCCTACTACAAAGTCCCCAATGTTTGATACCTTCTTTTATCCTATAACTCATTATCGGATAATGAACTGCTCTCCACCCTGTCTTCATCACTCTCAGCTGCCTTAGCTTCCACAGCTGCTCGCCACCACCCGTCCCTCCAACTTTTCCAGCGTCTATCATGACTTAGATCACCCCATGTATTACCAGGTTGCCAGTCTCCCGAAAACCCTTCAAACTCATCACTAGATGTTGGTTGTGTACATATGTCCCTGATCTCTTGCACACGGGTCCAATCCAGCCCATCCTCCTCTCCGTTATCACTCCCAGTCCCATCACTACCCGTTAATCCCATAAAGTCTTCCTCCTCAGTTGGAGCATTAAGTATTTCATGGATCCACTTCCTTTCCCGTTCTTCATCTGACTCTTTCTCCCGAGTAACCTGCTTCAAACCTCTACTCCTGTCTCCCTCCTCCTCCATTTCAGAATCTGAGAAACCTTCGAATGAATCAGTATCTGTAGGTGTCATGAATATCTCCCTAATTCGTTTCCTCTGCTGCTCTTGTTCCAACACCTGAGCAGCCCTCTTACCCCTTCTACTACCAGTTGTAGCTTGACCAGCACACTCTACTACAACAGCTCCAATCTCACAAATTTCTTTAGGGTTTAGATGTAAACAACTTGATATTTTAAGAATTCAACTGCTAAAGAAAGTGAAACTTTTGTTCTTCCTGTTCTTATTTAGAAGTAGTTTTACATCCAGTAGCAAGAGATAATCTGAACATTAGCGTGGGTTCTTTTGTCATCCAGACCTACATGTTTTCATGAGATCTTAGTGATTTAGATTTGGAGTCTGCTATAATTCTATTGCTTTAACGACTTGTTTTCTAAACCTTATACCAGCCTAATGAAACATTTCTGCTGAATGAGTGCCAGGAGATTTGCATCTGCATCCCAGAACAGGGTCTGATATGTGAGACTCACAGCTGTGGTGCCAATGAGACTTGTGATTTGCAAAAAGGAGCCCAAAGTTGTGTTTCCAATGGTAAGAAGAAATTTGCATTGCCTAGAATATATGTTTGTGTGTGTATATTGTCTGAGAGTATACCAGCTCAAATTCAAATACCACTTCTGTGGACCTTCTGCAAAAAAAATAATCTTCCTTTTTACAATATTGTTTACCTTTCATGTATAGTAATCACCTTCTTCCTGTTAGGGACAACTACCCTAAAATAAAGCAGAGCCTCCAAAAACAAACAGTGTTCCGTCTTCCAGGACCATGGTTTCATTTGCCTTTTAGTTGTATGGGATAGCATTCTTTTGCATCTCCCCAGGGTTACTACAATCTTAGCTGCACTCTGAAAGTTAACATTATCAGAAGCTGGAAAGCCAGCCTGCGGGCCTTTTTTTGCAGCTTATTGGTTTAGAAAGTATCTCTTTGGGTCTAGGGACCGCCTTTTTTCCTAGGGTTGAGATCTCCATTTTGGCATCTTCTCTGCCTCCTTTTAGTTTTAAAGAAAAGCCTCAGATGTGCTGCTAGGCCAGCCAGATAGCTCTGAAAAAAACATTGTAAGTACGATTGAGTTATTTAGATAGAGAAGCTGATTGAATTATATAGATAAAGAAGCTAATTGAGATAGATAGACAGATAGATAGATAGATAGATAGATAGATAGATAGATAGATAGATAGATAGATAGAATAGCAATTGAGTAATATTGGGTCCAATTGAGTTTTAATTGAGCTATTTAGTATAGAGGACTATTGAGATAGTTAATGAGCTCTTTTTGCTTCCTCTCCAAACTAACCTTGGGCTGGAATAGGGAAGGAAGGCCTATGCTTTCTAAAAGATAGTAGCTCAGGGTTGGGCTAAAAAGATCTCAGGATTTCTTCCTCCATTTGGAGGAGGGCAACTCAGCGACTAGAGGAAAGAAGGAAAGAAAGAACATTTCTATGGTTTCACCAATTGACTGTTTTGTTTGTAACTTTGCCAAGCTGTGCCAAGTCTGCAAGGATTTTGAGAAATAAATATTCTGTTTTGGTATTCAAAACCTGTAGTAGCCTCAGTTGCTGGGAATCTCAAGCTTCTAAAGAAAGACCCTCGCGGTCCACCCAGACAAAGAAAGAAGCACATCTTAGTTTTATTTTTATAGGGTCTGGGTGTGACGGCACAAACAGCATACAAAAGTTGAGCATTAGCTCATTAGGGAGCAGAGCGTGAAGTACCGTGTAATCTGGCTGTAACGAATTAAGAGCCTAGGCAGGCAAAGAGACAGAGTCCAATCTTAAAAATCTCAAATGGTTTAATTCCAATAATAATAATAATAATAATAATAATAATAATAATAATAATAAACCTTTATTTATACCCCGCTAACATCTCCCAAAGGACTCGGTGCGGCTTACAAGAGGCCAAGGCCCAACACATCAATAAAACAACAGCATAACAATACAATAAATAAACTCAAAAAACAAGCAATAAACATTAAAACAATAGCAATAAAACCTAGACAATAACACAATAATAAATAATAACTGCATTTCTTAATGGTAAAGAACTGGGTCTGAGCTACTCTAACATCCATTTCTTCTAAGATTTCAAAGAGAGGGAAAAACACCAAACACTACATCTCTCTGACATACACGCAGAGAGAGATCTCAAAGCACACAGCACATACTAAGCTGTAAGAAAACTGAAGTCAGATTTTGAAAGGCTTGCCGTAGAAAAGTATCCATTTTAAACAATCAATCAGAATGAGAGCAGAAACAGAGAGGACAGAAGAAACTGATAGATCCCCAAATGTCATACAGGAGACATGGGGGAAGGAAAACCCATAAACTATTGTAAGTTAACTAAACTGTTCCTCATTGAGGACTTGGGCAGTGTGGGGTTGAATCCCAACACTTCCTGCACTCCTATAATTAGGTTCTTGTGGGTTTTTTCGGGCTATAGGGCCATGTTCTAGAGGCATTTCTCCTGACGTTTCGCCTGCATCTATGGCAAGCATCCTCAGAGGTAGTGAGGATGCACTACCTCTGAGGATGCTTGCCATAGATGCAGGCGAAACATCAGGAGAAATGCCCCTAGAACATGGCCCTATAGCCCGAAAAAACCCACAAGAACCTAGTGATTCCAGCCATGAAAGCCTTCGACAATACTGTAATTCTTCAACTTTGCTTCTCCCAGAGTCCTGTTGCCAGGTTCTTTGTTGGGAATAAAACTCTACCTTTCTGCAGTTTCATAGCTCCAAAAATTACACACACACTTCATAGTCTCTTTTTTATCTGTGGAAAGGAGCGGAGGAGAGCGTACGAGCAGGATAATCCTGTTCCCTGACATCACTTCTGTGCCGGCATGCCAGCACAGAAGTACTGTGAGATCATTGCATCAGAACATCCCACAATCCTGATATGATCAGGGGCTATTGATGGGTTTGTCCCATCAATAGCAGGGGTGAATTTATTGAGAGGTGATGGCAGACCAGCAATGAGTAGCACACAAGGTCATGTGATTGGGACCAAAATGAAAAGTAACCTTGCTGCTACTATGCCCTTTCCCCCACTTCTGTGTGATAAAGTTTCCAGTGAGTTTCCATTACTGTTGCACTCCAGGCCTTGGAACCCCTATGACCACAGCACCACGCAAGAGTACAGAATGAGTACACATTAAAAGTATAGGTAAAAAAGCAGGAATAGAGAAGGTAAATTTATAAACTAAAAAGATTTAGCAATAGATGATAATCCAAACAGTAATCCAAATGTCTCATGCAGATCCCCCCAAAGTAACACAGTCCAGGAATAGCCTAAAGGTCACAAGTACAGCATAAGTCCACAAGCAAAAGGTATACTTACTAAAACTTGAGCAGGAATATAAAAACAAGAATATAGAATACTTCCAGGAAACGGAAATCCAAAACCAAAGGCTTGACTTGAAGCAAGAACCAGAGAACTCAAGCCTAGCTTCTGACTTGAGTGCTATGTTGCCTGAACTAACTCTAATTATTGTAATTAATAGGCACCCCTGAAGTCATGTTTTTTGCCCATGAAATCTCTCCTCAACCTTCCCACATAAGCGCTCAGATGATGCCTGTTTTCTGCTCTGATCTATAAAACAAAGACCTTTTTGATCTCCATAACTCCAGGTGTTTTCTCCTGAAAGCCTCTGTATCTCTTCGGCCAACTCCTTAGCTAATGTTGCAGTTTCTGGCTCCTCTGACTGACCTTGAAGGCCTGTACTTTCCGAGTCAGATTTCTCAGAGAGAAAAACATCACTTTGAGCTCCAGGAAATCCCGCAGACAATCCCACAATCCTCTCTAAATCATCAGTGAATCCATGAGCCTCAGGAGTCTCAGGCTGATCTCCAACAATGGCCAAATTAGGATTTGAACCCTAATCTCCCGGTATCCTATCACTTGTGCCAGTTCACTATATTTTCTCTGTAAAGCTACTGAGAGCTAAAAATTAGGATTTATACCATAGTGTTTCTTCTAAAATCTTCCCATTTAATGGTGGGAAACTGCATTGTCTTCCCATTTTGAGCATATAACTCAAAAGCAAACCCAGAGATGTTGAAAGAATGAGTTGAGGTTTGCCTTAAATATTCCCATATCATTATCCTGTGTTGCTCCATAAATAAGGCAAAAGTCATATTTGGAGACAGATGTTTGAATCTCCGGCTGTTCTTGGCTGTGACTGGTATTTGCTGTGATAATAGAATAATATGAATTAAAGAAGTATTGGGGTGATAATCATCATTACAAAGATCTTAGCATTTAGATATTAATTTTCAATTTATGCATGTGGAGGTTTATCTTTGTAATGAACGCTATAATGAGAATTCATGTGAGTGGATTTTATATTTTTTTCATTCCAATCCTATTTCAGTCCCTTTATCCTGCCCTGAGAACAGCCACTACGAGGCCTGTGGAACTGCCTGCCCTGCAACCTGTTCTGACCGCACCGCTCCCTTGACATGCAATGATACCTGTGTTCCCACCTGCCAATGTAACAAGGACTACGTTCTTAGTTCTGGTGAATGTGTCCCAGTGGAGACCTGCAACTGCACTTATCAAGGTACAACTTACAAGGCAAAGGAGGAGTTCTGGGATGACGAAGACTGTCATACTCTCTGCAAGTGTGACCCCACATTAGGCAAGGTTGTGTGTCAAGAAGATTCCTGCAAAGGCAACAAGAAGTGTATGGTGGTCAATGGAGTCCGGGGCTGTCATGCCCTAATTCATTATACCTGTATAGGATCTGGAGATCCTCACTACACCACCTTCGATGGGAAGAAATATGATTTCATGGGAACATGTATTTACCAGATGGTGGGGCTCTGCTCAAAAGATCCTACCCTCACCCCGTTTTTGGTCAGCGTGGAGAATAACAACCGAGGGAACAAAGCAGTGTCCTTCACTAAAGTGGTGACTCTGGAGGTGTACAACATGACCATCAGTCTTAGCCAAGAGTACCCAAACAAGATTCAGGTAGGTTTGCTGGACAAAAGAGAAGATAGGAAATGTAGGAGTTCAAACTATGTGTTGGGTCTGTGAGTCTGCCACTTGACATCCTGTCACTGTCAATGCATGTGGGTCATTTCTTTATGTGGGGAAAATTGAGTAGTTTTAAGGTGGGGAACTTGTTAATACATTTTATCATACACTTACAGGGATAAGGGAGCAAGGCTTCTTTGAAATAGGAAACATAATGGATACACATAAAGACACAATCCCTTTTAATTAATTAAAATTAGGTGATTAATTAATTAAGTAGGTAATTAGGTAATTAGGTGATTAATTAATTAGGTAATTAGGTGTAGACTGCTGAGACTTGAGTCTGAACAGTTTTTCCTCGAAAACATCTGCCTAATAAAATTAGTCTGTCCTGAAGAAGACTCTTGGGGAAAATACAGAATTTAGTTTTATTATATAACTGGGTTGTTTGGGTGTAATGTTTTTAGCATTTGTTTTGAAATAAGATTGTAATTAAGCCATTAAATTTAAGAGAGGAGCTGAACCTGCCAGCTCTGTTGCACTGTTAAAAGAACTCATTGTAAAATGCTGCTATTCATTAAAAAATGCTATTCATTTTTGGATGTAAAAAAAAAAAAAGACACAATCCCTTTTCAGATGTTCAAAACGGACAATTCTAAATGTGTGAGAAAGAGAATGGGGGTGTTTCTGCCAAATAAACAAACAAAACCCCACCTTTTTATGTGCAAAACCACATTTTTGTGCATTTTTGCATTCAAAAACTATGTTGTTATCTATAAAGTATTTCTTCTGCAACACTTTGAGATGTTCACCTACAAAAAGTTCTATTCAAAATTCTCTATCAGGAAGTTCCCCTACCATGAGGATGCTCATTTCTTAACCTCAGAATAAATACTTCTGCTCATGTGATCCTTTTTTCTCCCCATGCTTCTGATGGTGCTACATGTAAACAATCATCTTCTCTAGCTTAGACCAAACACTTGGGGCTCTTAGTCCCTTGTTACACTTGGGAACGGGGTCTACCGAGTGCCATCATATGACACTGACTTGGCCATGTCCCATTCATCCCCAAAGTGGTGAGGAAGCATTGCAAGATGCTTCCTCATCAACGATGCAAGGTAAGTAGTGTTTAGGGTAGCTCCAATGGAGCTACCCGCATTGTTCTCCCTTTTCCCCATCTGATGGGGACAGGCATAGGACAGCAACTTGCCTTGCCCTGTTCTCTCCTTTTGATGGGGAAAGGAGGGAGGGTACGCAATGTGCCGCAAGGCATCCCGCGCACCTGCGGGTTTGGCAGCAATTGCTAGTGAAATAGAACAAGATGGGGTGGGGGGAGGTCATCTGTATGATGAGATCCCAAGAGAGGTAAGCCCACTCTATACAGCATTCATTGTTCATCTAGGACAGGGCTTCTTAAACTTTTCTACTTGCAACTTTTTTGGCCCAAGAAATTTTTCCATGATCCCAGGTATATAGTTGTATAAGCAGGTATAAAAGTAAAACATTTACTGAAACAAGGGACCCTATTTGGGGTTGGGATCCACAGTTTAAGAAGTAGCGATCTAGGGCATACCTAGACAGGTCAAATATGCTGGGGTGAATGAAAATCATCCCCATGGCATCCAAAAGACAAACTAAGTGGGACACAACTGCTTAACGCAATTGTGCCCCATGTCTGGGAAAGTCAAGGGATGCTCTAAAATGTCTCCAAAGATCCAGAATAGCCCCACAGTTCAGGATATGTGTGAACAATTGGTCCACTTTTGATCACGAAACAGTCCCTCTGTCCCGATGCCCATCTGGCTATCTGTTGGCCTAGTGGTGATCGGAGAGCTCCTAGCAATTGCTCATCACCTTTGCTGATGCTAATAAAGTCACTGTATGACTCAGAGAAGAAGGTTGGGAAAAGAGAGGGATCACCCCCTTCTTTGCTCCTTCCCTCTCCAAGATGCCTGGCACCTTTGATAGAGTTTGCATTTGTTAAAAGCAAGGCCTAGGAACTATTTGGAGCTTTCTGGCCACCAGCACAATAAACAGTAACAAAGGTAAAGGGGAACTGTCCAGCAAGGCTGAACTGGGTTCAGTCTGACTGGATAATATGGATTCTGCTCCCATCACTGACACAGTTCAGGAAGAGGGCCTAATGATAGAATCTGGTGCCTTTGGCATCTACTAGAGCAGTGTTTCTCAATCTGGGGGTCGGGACCCCTTGAGGGGTCGCGAGGGGGTGTCAGAGGGGTCGCCAAATACCATAAGAAAACACAGTATTTTAACTGGACATGGGGGTTCTGTGTGGGAAGTTTGGCCCAATTCTATTGTTGGTGGGGTTCAGAATGCTCTTTGATTGTAGGTGAACTATAAATCCCAGCAACTACAACTCCCAAATGTCAAGGTCTATTTCCCCCAAACTCCACCAGTGTTCAACTTTGAGCATATTGAGTATCCGTACCAAATTTGGTCCAGATTCATCATTTATTTGAGTCCACAGGGCTCTCTGGAAGCAGTGGTGAACTACAACTCCAAAACTCAAGGTCAATGCCCAAAACCCTTCCAGTATTTTCTGTTGGTCATGGATGTGTGTGCCAAAGTTTGGTTCAATTCCATCATTGTGGAGTTCAGAATGCTCTTTGATTGTAGGTGAACTATAAATCCCAGTGACTACAACTCCCAAATGACAAAATCAATCCCCTCCAACCTCCCCGCCAGTACTAAAATTTGGGTGTATTGGGTATTTGTGCTAAATTTGGTCTAATGAATGGAAATACATCCTGCATATCAGATATTTACAGTATAATTCATAATAATAGCAAAATTACAGTTGTGAAGTGGCAACGAAATTAATGTTATGATTGGGGGGTCACCAAAGCATGAGGAACTGTACTAAGGGGTCGTGGCATTAGGAAAGTTGAGAACCACTGTACTAGAGCTTCCTGCTCTTGTAGATTTGCTCTTAGTTCAAGAACTAATGCTAGTCAAAACAAATCCATCCCCTTCATAAATGCACTAAGAGTCTTCTTTATCTATTGCTGAAGGCTTTCATGGCCAGAGTCACTGGGTTGTTATAGGTTTTTTTTTCAGGCTATATGGCCATATTCTAGAGGCATTCTCTCCTGACATTTCACCTGCATCTATGGCAAGCATCTTCAAAGGTTGTGAGGTCTGTTGGAACTAGGAACATGGGTTTATATATCTGTGGAATGACCAGGGTGGGACAAAGAACTCTTGTCTGTTGGAACTAGGTGTGAATGTTTCAACTGACCACCTTGATTAGCATTTGATGGCCTGGCAGTTGTTTGGTGTGGCTTGTTAGTGCCCCGGGGCAATCTTTTGTTGAGAGGTGATTAGATGTCCCTGATTGTTTCCTCTCTGTTGTTCATGTTTTTCTTAATTTTTTTCAGGTCAATGGAATCTTTGTCAACCTACCTTTCTTCTATGAAAATAAAATCACAGTCTACACCAGTGGAGTCCATGGCTTCATCAAAACAGACTTTGATCTGAAAGTCAGCTTTGATTGGTACAGCTATGCCAGGGTCATTCTTCCCAGAACCTATGCCAATGCTGTCTGTGGGCTCTGTGGCAATGCCAATCAGGATTCCAGTGATGATTTTGCCATGAAGGATGGTACTGAAGCCAATGATGAAATCCAATTTGCAAACAGCTGGAAGCTGAAGGAGACCCCAGGGTGCTCAGGAGGATGTACAACTGATTGTCCGGTATGCCAGGAAACAGAAAAACAGATCTATAAGGAGGACGAGTTTTGTGGGATCCTTGTTAAAATGGATGGGCCATTCGGACCATGTCATGCAGCCATTGACCCAACATCCTACTTTGAAGATTGTGTCTTTGACACCTGTGCATACAAGGGTCACCGTGCCATACTCTGCATTGCCATCACTGCCTACGTGACAGCATGCCATAATCTTGGTATTCAGATTGGGCAGTGGAGATCAACTTCTTTCTGCAGTAAGTATTGTTGCTTACTGCATCATGGAGTTCAACTAGATGATTTGCTTTGAATGATTTTAGAGGAAGTGCTCCCTTAATTGATAAAATATATCTTTTTTTTTCTCACAGCATGTGATGATCCTTTATGACATGTTTTGCATGCATCTCTGAGGAAATATTGTTACAGGAAAGGATGGGTTAACTGCAGAAAAAGACATCCTTCTTTCTGTCTAAATTGAGCCTGTTTCATTATATGTTACAGTATTTTCTGAAGGAGAGGAGGGGAGGAGAAAAAGAAGCTAACGGGTGACCCAAGGCTCTCAGAGCCACCCAAATATTTTTAAAGAAAAGCACACCAAAAGCAAAGAAATGTTCTTTCTTTCTCCCAAGTCCCCAAATGCACATGTGCACGAACCCAACACACCCGTCCCACACTTTCCCAACTCGCTGTTCCACTAAATAAAAAGATCAAAAAAATAAAATAAAGGAAAATGAAAGGGAATTGAAAAGATTCAGTGCTAGAGAGAAGCCAAGCCAAAAAATTAAGTTGAGAGCGAGCGGCAAGGCAATTGGACTGAAGCACATCTCTAGAGCCAGGACGCAACTAAGATCAATGGAGGTGCTCACCCCATTAAATAGACATAGCATGTGTAAGATACATCACAATGTTCTTCTATTCTGATTGGCCCAACAGGCAGGGCTCATAGGGAAACCCTGCGCGAGCATGCGGCAACCTCTTTTCGCACTGCATGATGCTGAATAGAAGAGTAGGAGCCATGATCAGCTGCAGCGCAGCCCGTTTCGGCAAAAAATAAAATCACGGCTGCTAAGCCCTTACCGTTACGGCCGGCTGAACAAGATGGATTAGCCAAAGGGAACCAACCAAACTGAATCTGTACACAAACCAAATAATAAGCCTTGTTTATATTTGGATGGGGACAGGACAGGTAAAACTATAGGGAGACTGTGCAAGGTCCCTAACCATTCCCTTTGTTTTAACTCCTGTGATAGGAGCCCCCGGTGGCGCAGTGGGTTAAACCCTGTGCCAACAGGACTGAAGACAGACAGGTTGCAGGTTTGAATCCAGGGAGAGCTTGGATGAGCTTCCCCTATCAGCTCCAGCTCCTCATGAGGGGACATGAGAGAAGCCTCCCACAAGGATGGTAACACATCAAAACATCCAAGCATCCCCTGGGCAATGTCCTTGCAGATGGCCAATTCTCTCACACCAGAAGCGACTTGCAGTTTCCCAAATCACTCCTGACACACACAGAGAGAGAGAAAGAGAGAGAGAGAGACAAACTCCTGTGATAGGGACTTAAAAGGCCAAAAAAAAAAGCAAAAACACACTACAGCGCATGTGCAAAAACAACTCCCCCTGGAAAACAAAACACAATAGCATATTTACACACTCTTCCAGACTACAGCTCCCAGCATCCCCAAGACCAGGCCCTTTGGGAGCAAAGGATGATCCAAATGCACTGCTTCCAAGCTGCAAGCCTACTTCTCCTTGGATTTCTTTGAGAGCATTCCAATCCAAATTTCCAATTTCCTATTCCTGGACTGCAACTCCCAACAATCCACCAGATAGATAAGGGAAATAGATAGATAGAAAGATAAGATAAGATAAGATAAGATAAGATAAGATAAGATAAGATAAGATAAGATAAGATACACCAGATAGATAAGGGAAATAGATAGATAGAAAGATAAGATAAGATAAGATAAGATAAGATAAGATAAGATAAGATAAGATAAGATAAGATAGTTAGGTAGATAGATTGATCAGGGGGACTGCTGGGAGTTGCAGTCCAAGTATAGGTAGAAAAGGAAAAAAGGGGAGAAAGAAGAAGGGAAAGAAAAGGAGGGGGAGGAAGGGAAGAGGAAGAGAAGGAAGGAAGGAAGGAAGGAAGGAAGGAAGGAAGGAAGGAAGGAAGGAAGGAAGGAAGAGGAAGGAGAGAAGAAAAGAAAAAAGGAAGGAAGGAAAGAGGAGGGAAGGAAAGGAGAGAAAGAAGGAGGAAAAGAGGGAGGGAAGGTTGGCCACAGCAATGCATGGCAGGTACAGCTAGTTCTATATCATAAAAATGTAATGTTATTTGTGGGATTAACATACTCAAAAACCACTGGATGAATTGACATCAAATTTGGACACATACACCTATCAGGCCAATGAGTGACCATCACTCATAAAAACACAGAAAAACACAGCAGAAAGACTTTAAAAAACCAAAAAAACCCAAAAACACAAAATACATTACAATTTGCAAAACCATATATATATATATATATATATATATATATATATATGCAAACACACATATATTATACACATATACACACAAAACACATATATACACAGACTGGGCCACAGCAACGTGTGGAAGGGGACGGCTAGATTACTAATAAATTTGACTTAAGATAACTACAGAAAGTCAAGAAAAGAATTATGGGGAAAAGAAGAGGCAAAAAAAAATCTCTAAGGGCATCATTTTATATCACAGAGGGATCAGGATAGATAGACACGGAGGGAGGACACTTCAGGTCACGTAAACTATACAACCCTTACTACTGTCTACTGTGAGGCATGCTTCATTTTTCACTGCTAAGTGTTGTTGCATTTCCAACAATATCAAACTAGATGGACTGGTGGTCTGACTCGATATAAGACAGCTTCTGTGACATTTCAGATCAATCTCATTTATATTTCAAATAGCAACAAAATGATCCTCTTTCTGTCTTTCCAGGCCTTATCTGTCCCCAGCATTCTCACTATGAGCTCTGTGGAAATAGCTGCCCTGCTATGTGTCACAATGCCTCTTCAGAAACATGTGAGGCATGCGTAGAAGGATGCTTTTGTGATTCTGGATTCCTCCTCGGTGGGGATCAATGCATCCCTCAGGCAGAATGTGGCTGTGTGCATCAGGGCAGATACTACAAGAAGGGAGAAGAATTCTACTCTTCCACCTCCTGTGAGGAGAAGTGCCAATGCATGGATCATGGAACTGTCAACTGCCAGCAATTCTCCTGTGGATCTCATGAGGTCTGCATTCTGGAGAATGGCATTCTGGGTTGCCATCCCATTGGATATGGGACTATGGTAGCATTTGGAGGTGTTCATTATATATCCTTTGATGGGGTAATTGTTACATTTCATGGCACTTGCACCTATATCTTAGCCAAAGTCTGCAGCAAGGATCCACAGGTAGTGGATTTCTCTGTGTCAGTGGCGAACGAGAAGCTTGATGGTGACCCCTTGATACTCATAAAGGAGGTTGTGGTCTCTATTCATGGATATACCATTGTACTGGCGAGGACAGTGAAATGGAAGATTATGGTATGTATCTAACATTAATTAACAAGTAGGATCTTTTATACTCTTTCCACTGATAGAAATGTCAAGTGTACAGTGGAAGCATAGATTTGTGTGTGACCAGAAATGATCTCCCAAATAATATTGTTTATTATTTGTATAGGTTGGTAGAGTGGGTAGTGGCCTCCCAACTCCAGGGATTCTTGGATGACATCAATTATCTAGATCCATCGTAGTCTGATTTTAGACCTGGCCATGGCACTGAGACGGCTTTGGTCGCCTTGGTGGATGACCTCCGAAGAGAACTTGACAGGGGGAGTGTGTCCCTGTTGGTTCTCCTGGATATTTCAGCGGCTTTCGATACCATCAACCATGTTATCCTTATGGGGCAGCTCTCTGGAATGGGTCTTGGGGTCATTGCTCTGCAGTGGCTTTGCTCCTTCCTGGTTGGTGAAGCTGGGACCCATGGCCTTTGACCTGTTCCATTCTATCCCCCATGCTTTTTAATATCTACATGAAACTACTGGGTGAGTTTTGGAGTTTTGGAGTTGGGTGCCATCTGTATGCAGATGACACCCAACTCTACTACTCATTTCCACCAAACTCTAAGGAAGCCTCCCAGACCCTGAACCAGTGTCTGGCTGCTGTGATTGACTGGATGAGGGCTAACAGGTTGAAGCTTAATCCAGACAAGACAGAGGACATCCTGGTCAGTCGTGGGGCTATTGGGTGGCAACCTGTGCTCAACAGGGTTACACTCCCCCTGAGGGTGCAGGTCTGTAGCTTGGGAGTCCTACTGGACTCAATGCTGTCACTTGATGCTCAGGTGTCGGTGGTGGCTGGGAGGGCCTTTGCACAACTCAAACTCGTGTGCCAGCTGCAACCATACCTCGTGAAGTCTGACTTGGCCAGTGTGGTCTACAACTTGGTTACATCCAGATTGGACTATTGCAATGCGCTCTACATGGGGCTGCCCTTGAAGATGGCCCAGAAGCTCCAACTGGTACAATGGGCGGCAGCCAGGCTCCTTACTAGAGCAAACTATAGGGAGCATACAACACCCCTTTTAAAACAAATTCACTGGCTGCTGATAAGCTGCCAAGCTAAATTCAAGGTGCAGGTTATGACCTATAAAGCCCTAAACAATTTGGGCCCTGCATATCTTTGCAATCGCATCTCCCTCTATGAACCGACGCAAACTTTGAGATCTTCTGGGGAGGCCCTCCTTTCGCTCCCACCACCATCACAAGCACAGTTGGTGGGGGTGAGATAGAGGGCCTTCTCAGTGGTGGCCCCCCACCTCTGGAACACCCTTCCTAGAGAAATAAGACAGGCTCCATCCCTCCCCTCCTTTCATAAGAACCTGAAGACCTGGTGGTTTAAACAAGCCTTTGAGAATGACTAGTTCTAGCTCATCCTCAGATATTGCTGATTATGGCCATATCTTTTTCTACCAATTACCCAGGTTACCTCCTCCTATTAGGACCCGGAAATGAACAGCCATAGACTCTACCTAATTTCCCAGGCCCTCTACAAATTGCACTAGCCTCAGCCCGGCCTTTTAAATTGTCTTGAACAGGCAGTATTATTTTAAATATATATGTGCCATTCTGATTTTAATATTTATATTGTCTTGTTAATTTTATGTTTATGCTGTTTCTTTGTATGTATTGATGATGTTACTTGGAAACTGCTCTGAGTCCCCTCGGGGAGATTGAGCGATATATAAATAAAGTTTTGTTGTTGTTGTTGTAGGTTGATGGAGAGTCTTATACTCTGCCAGTGAACAAAGGGAATGGAAAACTCTGGATCACTCAGGAGGGGAATAACATCGTTGTCCAATCCTCCTTTGGCCTCACGGTCCTCTATGACACCTCTTCCTTCGTTCATGTGTCTGTGCCTAGCAATTACCAGGGACACATGTGTGGCTTGGGAGGCAACTTCAATGGAGACAAGAGGGATGATTTCATGCTGCCCAATGGAGAACACACTCCAGACATGGAAGAGTTTGGGGCCTCTTGGAAGGTCCCTGGAAATGGTACCATTTGCTCTGATGGCTGTGGGGAGAGATGCCCCACATGTATGGCAACCAAGACTGAACCATACAAGGCTGAGAGCTCCTGTGGAATGATCATGTCCAAATCAGGGCCATTCAGAGATTGTCATGCCTTTGTGAGCCCTGCTGAGTACTTTAAGCAGTGTATCTTTGACATGTGTAGGACTGATGGGAGAGAAGAATCTCTCTGTCGGAGTCTTCAGGCCTACGTGACTGCATGTCAAGCATCTGGAGCCAAGATTGGAGCCTGGAGAACAGCCTCTTTCTGCCGTAGGTTTTCAGAGAACCAAATTCTTTTCACACTTTTTGCTTTAAGGCACCTACCTGAGTTATATATGCACGGCCTGAATTGTTAGGGATTTTTTGTGTGTGTCAGGAGCGACTTGAGAAATTACAAGTCACTTCTGGTGTGAGAGAATTGGCCATCTGCAAGGACATTGCCCAGGGGACACCCAGATGTTTTGATGTTTTACCATCCTGTGGGAGGTTTCTCTCATGTCCCCACACGGGAAGCTAGAGCTGAGATGGGAGCTAACCCTGCTCTGTGAATTTGAACTGCTAACCTGTCGGTCAGCAGTCCTGCCACCACAAGGGTTTAACCCATTGCACCATCAAGGGCTCCCCATTGTTAGTTGAAGTTTAAAGCTTCATGTCCACTATTAATTTGCATCTCTTTTCTTCAACTCATTCTTCCCAAGTTCTTTTCTACCATGTTCCTAATTCCCTATCTGAGCTTCCTATCTCTTGCCTCTTGTATTTTTCCGAAGCTATATTTCTCCTATTCTATAGTAAAGGTAAAGGTTAAGGTTTTCCCCTGACATTAAGTCAAGTTGTGTCCAACTCTGGGGGTTGGTACTCATCTCGATTTCTAAGCTGAAGACCCGGCGTTGTCCGTAGACACCTCCAAGGTCATGTGGCCAGCATGACTGCCTGGGGCGCCTTTATCTTCCCACAGGAGCAGTACCTATTGATCTACCCACATTTGCATGTTTTCGAACTGCTAGGTTGGCAGAACTACAGTACCAACATAGTATTTTAAACATACTATTTTAAACACCAAAGCAAATTGATCATATTTCTATTCATCACAGAGGCTGGACTATGAAGATTCTGACATTACTATTCCCTAAAGAGTTTGAATGTGCGCACTTCAGCCCAGCCACTGTGTTTGAAAAGACCCCTTACCACACAGATACGTACTATACAATCCACATAGTACATGAGAGGTAAAGCAAAATGTCTGAAAGTAATTCCATTAAACTTTCATATTGGGCTGAATTCAGTTCTGCTCCCAATGAGAGTTGGTTCATTGACATCAAATGGGACATACAAGGTTTGAATAAAAAGTAATGCCTCCATCTTCGTAACTCCTCAACAGATGGCAGTACTGGTATGTGGTAGGTACTGGCTTTTTCAGTAGACTCTCCTCTACAGTTCCATTTTGATGGGAAGCCTTAGCATTGAATGGTTGTGTTGTTAAAGTGCGAAGTATGGAACCCGGTGCGGACGGTCGATCAAGTCGACTTGAGCAACGTGCAGTCATTGAATTTTTGACAGCAGAAGGTGTCACCTCAACATCTTTAAACTTACTCGCCCAACGACACACAGTACTCACACCAACACAATCACCATAAACAGCTTGCATTCTCTGAATCTTCTTTGGGGTGACCCTTTCTGCTGTCAAGAATTCAATGACTGCACGTTTCTTAAGTCGCATTGACCGAGCGTCTGTGCAGGGCTCCATACTTCGCACTTTAACAACAGAACTGTTCAATACTAAGGCTTCCCACCAAAATGGAACTGTAGAGGAGAGTCTACTGAACAAGCCATTACTTGCTGCATACCAGTACTGCCATCTGTTGAGGAGTTACGAAAGTGGCGGCATTACTTTTTAATCAACCCTCACATATATGTGAATAACACGTTTCACATATCTCAGTTCATCCACTGTAGTTGGGATTTTTTTTTCATATCAGGAACGACTTGAGAAACTGCAAGTTGCTTTTGGTGTGAGAGAATTGGCTGTCTGCAAGGATGTTGCCCAGGGGATTCCCAGATGTTTTGAAGTTTTACCACCCTTGTGGGAGGTTTCTCTCATGTCCCCACATGGGGAGCTGGAACTGACAGAGGGAGCTCATCCACGCTCTTCCCAGATTCGAACCTGTGACCTGTCAGTTTTCAGCCCTGCCTACAGACCTCACCACCAGGGGCTCCTGTAGTTGGGATGAAAGCTGGTTTTGCCTCATTGCCCTTCCTGATTCTTTCTGCAGCTCTCGCCTGCCCACCCAACAGCCATTACGAGATTTGCTCTTCACCCTGTGACACTAGCTGTGCCGGTTTGTCCACTCGAATCCAGTGCACAAGGAATTGCTTTGAAGGCTGTGAGTGTGATGAAGGCCATATGTCAGATGGGGAGGCCTGTGTGCCTATTGAGAGGTGTGGCTGTGTACATGAGGGACTCTATCTCAAGGTAAGTCTTTCTGTCCAATCTGATATCTCCATTCTTAGTTTGGAGGGGACAACTTGGCTCACGGCATACAGTGGATACACATTCATTTTTATATGGACTGCCTTGGAAATATTGAATCATTGGCACAAATCCACCAAGTGCATAAAAAATACAGTCTTACAAGGGGCTGTAATCAATACTGATCTGAAGTAAGCATTGGTAAAACCAGCCCTAGACTGAATTTCAGTGGTTAAACAATGTTTGTTATTTTATTACAAGGGTTGAATGAAAAGTAATGCCTCCACCTTCATAACTCCTCAACAGATGGCAGTACTGGTATGAGCAGGTACTGGCTTGTTCAATAGACTCTCCTCTGCAGTTCCATTTTGGCAGGAAGCCTTAGCATTGAATGGTTGAGTTGTTAAAGAGTGAAGTGTGGAACCCTGCACAGACGGTCGGTCAATGCGACTTAAGCAACGTGCAGTCATTGAATTCTTAACAGCAGAAAGTGTCACCCCAAAGGAACTTCATTAGAGAATGCAAGCTGTTTATGGTGATTGTGTTGATGCAAGTATTGTGCGTCATTGGGCAAGTAAGTTTAAAGATGTTGAAGTAGGAACATCTGACTTGCATGATAAACAAAGAGTTGGACGTCCTGTGACAGCAACCACCGAGTTTCACAAGCAAAAGGTTGACAGATTGATTCAGGATGATCGTCGTATCACTCAGAGATAAATTTAAGCATAATCGGCATTTCACAAAAATGTGTGTGTCACATTATTGCTTTGCTTGGTTATCGGAAGATCTGTGCACAATGGGTTGCGGAAACGGAGTGTTGACTTCTTCCGTGACGGCTTCAGAAAACTTGTTCATCGTTGGCAGAAATGTATTCAATTGTCTGGTAATTATGTGGAAAAATGAATAGTGGTAGTTAAAGAGAACATTCTAAGGATTATTTCTGCATTTGATTTATTCAAATATTCCCATCCAAACCCAAGTAACGAAGGTGGAGGCATTATTTTTCATTCAACCCTCGTACTTATTATTATAAGAATTATTTCTTGTGACTCATGACTCTCATTATTTATTTATTTATCATGTCAGAAGCAAATCGAAGGTACCATTATAATGTATTTTTAAAAAAACACAAAGTTAAAAACTTGGCATTATACCAAATTTCCTTTGACCAAAAGCTGGCCACTTGGAGTGCCTCTGGTGTGGTCGTAAGAAGGCCCTCCATTGTGTATATGGCTGCATTGTAGTAGGTGGTCTGTGGTTTGCTCTTCTCCACACTCGCATGTCGTGGACTCCACTTTGTAGCCCCATTTCTTAAGGTTGGCTTTGCATCTTGTGGTCCCAGAGCACAGCCTGTTCAGCACCTTCAAAGTCACCCATTCTTCTGTGTGCCCAGGGGGAAGTTTCTCATCCAAAATCAGCCATGGATTGAGGTTCTGGGTTTTAACCTGCCACTTTTGGACTCTTGCTTGCTGAGGTGTTCCCACAAGTATCTCTGTAGATCTTAGCAAGCTGTTTCTTGATTAAAGACATTTGCGTGCTGGCAGATATCCAAACAGACGATAGGCTGGAGATGTCACTGCCTTGATCCTTTCATTATTAGCTGCTACTTCCCGATGGATGTCACATGGTGCAATACTGGCTAAACAGTATAATTTCTCCAATGGTGTAGGGCGCATACATCCTGTGATAATACAGCATGTCTCATTAAGAGTCGCATCCACTGTTTTAATGTGGTGAGATGTATTCCACACTTGGCATACATACTCAGCAGCAGAGTAGCAAACGCAAGGGCAGATGTCTTCGCTGTGTCTGGTTGTGATCAGCACGGAAGGTTTTCTTTGCTGCAAGTATTACCACCTTATAGGAGCAAGGATGTCCTCTGTACTGTGTCTTGACACATAAAAGTCGGGTTTTGTGCCATCAGCACTCTGATTAGAGGTCACTAGGAAGACTTTTTCCAGCTGGATTACAATGCACATATACATGGCAAACATAGACGTACAACATGTATAGACAGACAAAGAGGCTATTTAACATTCCAGCTTTTCCGGCTTCATGAGGGTATGCTCGGTTCTGGCCACAGGAGGAGCTGCCACTTCACCGTGCACACCGAGTTGTTTGATGGAATACTTCCTCATTCTTCTGCACGCTGCTGGAAGGTTTTATGGTGTCTGAAATTAGTTAAATTAGCCTCCCTGCATAAAGCGGTACCTAAATTTCCCACTTGACAGGTGCAACTGTCTTTCGGGCTGCATAGCTCAACAGCAAGCTAGAGTATTAATGGTCAGGAGATTATTCCAACCCAGGCTGGCTTCAAACTCAAATATTATGTACTCCCCCTTCTTTGTCATTTTTTGGAACTGTTCTTTGAAAAGTTGTGTGTATATGTGTGTAAAATGTGTGTGTACACATACCTATACATAACATGGTATGATAGGCTGTAAACATTTTAATTAAATGCCTGTATACATAACAATATTTTATTCCATCTCTCAAAAGGACATTCTCTCTTTTTATACAATAGGCTGGAGAGAGCATCTTCTCAAACAACTGCACTGAGAAGTGCACCTGTAGCCGTATCTCTAGCCAGCTCACCTGTGAAAAAGTGAATTGCACATCTGGAGAGACCTGTATCTGTACAGATATGGTTGATGGATCTGGACAGGGAGAAGGCCACTGCAAGATCTCCTCAGAAGCCCAGCTCAATTCTTTCGATGGTGGCTCAGGACATTTCCTCTGCAGTGGGGTCTACGATTTGGCTCTTCTTTGCAATGACAGTGCCATCCCTTGGTTCAGGGTCTCAGTCCGCATTGGAAAGGACAGTGATGATGGACCAGTTGTTGGGGAGGCCATCTATGTTTTCTTCCAAGATACATTTATCACTGTGAGAAATAGCAAGATATGGGTAAGTGAGAATGGCAAATGTACAGCAATATTTAAGATGGAAGTCACAAGACAGCATGGGGCTCCATCCAGAAGACAGGGTGAAATAATAACAATAACAACAACAACAATAATAATAATAACAACACTTTATTTATATTCTGCCCTTCTCACCCCAAAGGGGACTCAGGGTGGATCATAGTACACATACATGGCAAACGTTCAATGCCGTTTTTTGGACGGAACAAAGACAGAACATAATGGAGGTATATTGTGTTGTGTTGACATCCAATTGAATGTCCAGCCTGTTGGCACCTTTGGAAGTTGCCAGCCACAGGGGGGGTGCTGTCACTCCATTCTCTATAACGAAGAGCCATCAGGACTTCCTCCTTTGTTTTGGTCATCAGCATTCTTTGATCTTTTTCTTTATGGTGTCATAAAATACCTCCCCCACATTAATGGTACCTCATTTCTCTAATCACAGCTGTAAGCTGTTTTCGAACTGCTTAGGTAAACAATGAGCGGGGCTGACAGTTAGGTGCTCATGCTGACCCGGGGCTTCAAATGTGCAACCTTTTGGTTGGTAGATCTGTCATCATTGCTGATGATTTACCAGCTGTGCTAAAGCCCTGGCCCTGAAAGAATCCTGGGATGCTAAATTTCCCCTGTCTGGGGAAGTCCTAAGTCTGCATTTATATTGACCTAAGTTTTTATTGTAGATTTTTGCCTTATTTCATTCAGATTAGGACATTCATAATGACTTTTCTTTTTACGGCATCTTTTTGTGTCTTGTACATAATCTTGTATCATCTCCAACCAAATCTATTTGTTTTCAGGTAAATGGACGCCCAGTATGGCTGCCATACAACAAGAATGCTGTATCTGTGAGACAGATTCAGGATGGGAGTATGGTTGACCTGGATTCACTGGTGCAAGTTCACCTTCATCACAATGGAGAAGTGAAGGTGAAGGTCAAGGAAATCCTTGCTGGGAAGCTGTGTGCCCTGTGTGGAAACTTCAATGGGGACAAGTCTGATGATTTGAAGCTGCCCACTGGGGAGTCAGAGAAGGATACTGCTGAATTCCTTCATGCTTGGAAAGCCAAGGACTTATAAAGTTTAAAAGGTCGTATATGGACACTTGCTCTGCAATTTCAGCTCAAGACCTGCCTGCACACTGGCTTCTCTTTCTTTGGCCTTCTTCTGGAAGTGACGTGTGGCACTGAGCTTTGGATTGACATCAAATAAATAGACATTAAGAACATGCATGTCCCATGAAAACATCATTGTTTCCCACCTCCATCATTCTGTAACCAGGAACAGAAAAAAATATGTTGAGCCTCTAAAGGGATTATTCTAGTCTTGGACATCTTCAGAAAGCAAAGCCTTTGCATTGGGATGACCTCGTTCCCAACTCGCTCAATTCCCAAAATAAAAACAAAGTGTATATCAGAGCCTTTTCATACTACTCAACAGCACTGTATTTTTATTTCAGTGGTAGCATTTCATAGGATCCTAGCTGTTGTAGTATATTGAGGCACCAGATCTCTGACTTAAAATTCTGAGTATCTCCCAACTCAAACTGTAAATTTATAACTCCATAGGAAATTAATATAGCAATTAGGCATGGTTAGGTACTGTCGGAATCTTCATAATTTGGAATAAAGTTGGAAAAAATACCTTTTTGAAGCAATTTTGAAGTTTTTAAGAAAACCAGAAGTCCCTTTTCCCTTCCGAAGCTTCTCTTGCCATTTTTCTTCCAACTCAGGATGTGAGTCGGAAGGGATTCAGTATTTAGAGGCAAGCAGCTTGCATGCTGGGATTCTTGCCTCCCAGCCAATGAGGGGAGAAGTTTTGGGGAGGGGAGGGGCGGGGTTTTGGCACGGCAGCCGTTGCACTATATATAGGGCAGCACATGACTCAGAGGCTCATTGTGAGCCCGGGAAGGGAAGGGGAAAGAGAAGGGAGGTTTTGAAGGAAGGTTGGAAGAAGATCAGGGCAAGTGGAGAAGGGCTGTGAGCAGGGCTGTTGCCTGCCTGCCTTGCAGCCGCTTGTGTGTTGTTGCTGTTGGTGGGGGTGGGGGGGGGGGAGGACGGAGGAGGGCAGGGCAGCAGAGAACCAGGGCAGGGAGAAGGGCTGTTGCCTGCCTGGCTGGCTTGCAGTTGCTTGTGTGTTTTTGCTGTTGGGGTGACGCGTAGTTGAATAATATTGGGGTGTGAGGGTGCAGTTTGTTTCCTCAGTTTGCCTTGCATTGCCAAATTCTCAAAATATTATCCTTCCGAAAGTTGTGAAATCAACTTCAAAAAGCCAAAAAGGCCTCTCCCTGCTCTTTGTGTCCTTAGTTGCTTTGTGTTGCTACTGAGGAGACACTAGCAGTCCTATATAGTCGAAATATTTTCCTTCCTAAAGGTGTGAAATCAGCTTCAAAGAGCCAAAAAGGCCTCTCCTTGCTGTTTGCATCACAGTGGCAAGTTTTGTCAGGATTGGTCTAAAAATGAGGGAGAGAGAATCCCCTGAAGTTTGCCCAGTGCCATTTGTTGTTTTTCACATATTGCGTAATCGCGTCCGCCATTAATGAAGCGAATTGGAAATTTCGGAAAGTTCTTACCGAAGAACTATTTGTTTTACACTTACAGTAAAAGAATAGTAATAATAATATGATATGAGGATTTAAAGATCAAATTGCAAAGACTCTGACTCAAGCCAGTCAAGATGGTCCCAGTAGTGATTGGTACACTGGGTGCAGTGCCTAAAGACCTTGGCCTGCACTTAAACACAATCGGCGTTGACAAATTACCATCTGTCAGCTGCAAAAAGCCACCCTACTGGGATCTGCATTATTCGCCGATACATCACATAGTCATAGACACTTGGGAAGTGTCCGATGTGTGATCCAATACAACAGCCAGCAGAGTGACCTTGTTTGCTGTGTACTAATATTTTTGTGTTTCAAATAGCAATAACAATAATACACTTTATTTATATTCCACCCTTTTTCCCTAGGGGACTCAGAACGGATTTCAACATTTTACATGCATAGGCAAACATTCAATGCCTTTACAATTATAAACAATGGGACGTAGAGGCAGAGGCTTCTCCTTTCATTCCGGTTTCTGGAGGTGGTGCTCATCTCTGGCTCTGGGAGGTGCTTTCCTCCATTTTCAAGCAGAGAAGCCTGCGTTGTCATCTCTTGATTGTGTGATCGATAAGATTTCTTGGAGCGTTTTTTTGCCTTTTCCTACTGAAGTGGTACCTATTTATCTACTCACACATTACATGTTTTCGAACTACTAGGTTGGCAGGAACTGGAGCTGACAAACGAGAGTTCACCCCATCTTGTAGACTGAACTGCCAACCTTCAGGTCAGCAGATCAGCCAACTTTCAGATCAGCAGTTCAGCAAAACAAAGGTTTAACCCATTGTGCCACCGCAGCTATTATTTTAAAAGAATAAAAGTAGTGATTTTTCAGTTTTCAAATGCTTGTTTGGTCTCCTGAAAGCCATTTTGATTTACCATAAGTGAAATGATAAAGGATGGACATGTACTTCCTCATGCAATATTCGAGTTCTCTGACATCAAGGCACACATACGGAGCCCCCGGTAGCACAGTGGATTAAACCCCTGTGCCGGCAGGACTGAAGACTGATTGGTCGCAGGTTCGAATCCAGGGAAAGCGCGGATGAGCTCCCTCTATCAGCTCCAGCTCCCCAAGCGGGGACATGAGAGAAGCCTCCCACAAGGATGGTAAAGCATCAAAACATCCTGGGTATCCCTTGGGCAACGTCCTTGCAGACGGCCAATTCTCTCACACCAGAAGCAACTTGCAGTTTCTCAAGTCGCTTCTGACACACACAAAAAGGCACACACAGTCACTATTTACTTGAAGCTGATGGGCCTTTGTTACCCCTGCCCACCCCAATTTTTACAAGAACAGTGGAAAAAATGAAAAGTGAGCCACTAAGGCTAATTGGCAATTATCTGTTGACTTGTAAACTCCTTGTTCCAGCTTTGCAAATACTCAAAGGAGGAATGAACGAACTTGGCAAAAAAGGGAATGGGACAAATTCAAAATGAAATTGACACATGAAAAAACACTACAATGTATGCCATTCATTCCAATGGAGAATTTGCTAGTGATTTTCTGCCCAACGAAAGACTATTTTGGGTTAAAAACCCCAGATGCTTCAGATTATTTAAAATAGATTAATTTGTTGTAAATAAAGAGAGGGGACTTTGCACAACCTAAAATGTCAGCACAGAGTTGTCAAATCATGAACCTTTTTTCAAGAAAGACATGCAGAAATGTGCTGCTTTAGATGGTGTTGGACTACTGTTTCCATCATCTCTCAGCAAAGACTATGTAGGTGATAGGAAATAGTCCAAAATAACCTGCAAGGACACAAAACACCCTAAGGCAGTGTTTCTCAACCTGGGGGGCGGGACCCCTGGGGTGTTGAAATTGTCTCACTGAAGACCATGAGAAAACACATATTTCTGATGGTCTTCGGAACCCCTTTGGCCTAATTGTTTGGGTTCACAGTGCTCTCCAGATCCCTAAATCACTGTCAATTCACCCCAAAACCCTCCTGTATTTTCCATTGGTTATGGGAGTTCTGTGTGGGAAGTTTGGCATAATTCTATCATTGGTGGGGTTCAGAAGGCTCTTTGATTGTAGGTGAACTATAAATCCCAGTAACTACAACTCCCAAATGTCAAGGTATATTTTCCCCAAGCTCCACCACTGTTCACATTTGGGCATATTGAGTACTCATGTCAAGTTTGGTCCAGATCCATCATTGTTTGAGTCCACAGTGCTCTCTGGAGGTATGTGAACTACAACTCCCAAACTCAAGGTCAATGCCCACCACACCCTTTCAGTATTTTCTGTTGGCCATGGGAGTTCTGTGTGCCAAGTTTGGATCAATTCCATCATTAGTGGAGTTCAGATTGCTCTTTGATTGTAGGTGAACTATAAATCCCAGTAACCACAACTCCCAAATGTCAAGGTCTGTTTTTCCCAAGCAGTATTCACATTTGGGCATATTGAATATTCATGCCAAGTTGGTCCAGATCCATCATTGTTAGAGTTCACAGTACTCTCTGGATGTAGGTGAACTACAACTCCCAAATGACAAAATGACTCCCCCTTCCCTGATCCCATCGGTATTCAAATTTCGGCATATTGGGTATTTGTGTCAAATTTGGTGTCAAATTTGGTCCAGTGAATGAAAATACATCCTACATATCAGGTATTTACATGATGATTCATGATGGGAGCAAAATGACAGTTATGAAGTAGTAATGAAAATAATGTTACGTTTGGGGGTCACCACAACATGAAGAACTGTACTAAGGGGTCGCAGCATTATGAAGGTTGAGAACCACTGCCCTAAGGCAGAGGCCTGTAGGACTGAGTTGATCCAGTTGTCCTGCTCAGACAAAACAGTCCATGGTGTGGTCAGTCACATATTCATCCACTTGGAATACCCAGCGACCTGGGTAATTCATATTGCTTATTTTTGTTATATTGAGAATATCAGAAGTCCGGGAACCAGGCATGATATAATAATTTGTCTTGTCTCCATTGTCGAATCCAGCCTAGGGCAGAGAACAAAGAAGAAATATATAATTACAACGTAGCAGAATATATTCAAGATAGCACATGCTCCTTTTGTCTGTGTAGATGTGCAGAATGTGTGACCTTTGGTCTCAATGGCAATTTATTTATTTTTTGTGTCAAATGCATTGCATACCAAAGTATAAAAATAGAGGGAACACAAGCGGTTAAATAATTTTTGACCAAAAATGGGCAACAGCAACAGCACTGTCTGTAGCTTTAAACAGTTCTTCCTCCGTGCATAAGGCAGGGCATTGTGGACAAGCATACAGATGTGAAGTTGTTTGTTCTGCTCCATAATCACACAAGGTGGAGGATTCTTCTAGGTAGAGCCATTTTGCCAGGTTGTCTTTTGATCTGCCCACTCCACTTCTGAGTCTATTCAGGGACTTCCAAGTTCCCTATTCTTGGTTTGCCCCTGGAGGAAGACCCTCATGGGGGGCCATCCATTTGGGATTTCCTTGTTCAGCTTCCCAGAGGGATGCTCTTGCTGTTGCTGGGGGAACATTAAAATGAGTGGTGGTTCTCATGAAGCTCACGAGTCTACTGGGAGGAGGCTGATGGCCATGGCAATAAGAAGCAGATTTGCATAGGCAAGCTTCTCACCTTGTGTTTTCTCTCCAATTGATTGAGTGATTCAATTGAGCGAGCCATCTATCTATCATCTATCTATCTATCCATCCATCCATCCATCCATCCGTCTCTCCATCCATCCATCCATCCATCCATCCATCCATCCATCTATGTATCCGTTAGTCCAGAGCTGGAAAGGAGTGAATCTAGTACAAATTTTGCTCAAAGCTACCTGTGCTGCGATTCCTCCAAGGCCTGTCTTAGCATCTCCACTGCTCGATGTCCCCGTCGTCCACTGAATATCTGCATAATTCAATGTGATGAAGGACAATTCCTCATTGGTAGTCAAGACAGCCTGAAATGTGTTGACCTGAAACAGGAAAGAAAGAAATGGGAAAGCAGGGATTGAATACAACTGGACTTTTCTTGCACATGGTATGGCACATCAGTTCTACAGTGACAAGAGTGAGAATGTGAGAACAACAGCAGTGCATTCGTCAGCAAATGAATTGATTTTTCTTCTTAAATCAAGTTGACTTCAACATACGGTAGCCTTATGACTGAAGGACTCCAAGAACACAACTGCCTTGTTCAGGGTTTTTGGACTGAGGTCTACAACTTTTTTGTAAGCATCGCTCCGTTTGAAACGTATACTTCTTTTCTCACTGCGTTCCACTTTACCAGGAATTTTTCTTTTCTTTTCCAGTGTCTCATGTTATGTGCAAACTACAAACAGTTTCAGTTTTGTTGTTTTGGCTTCTAGGTAAAGGTAAAGGTTTCCCCCTTACATTAAGGCCAGTTGTGTCTGACTCTGGGGGTTGATGCTCATCTCCATTTCTAACCCGAAGAGCCAGCTGCAACCATACCTCGTGAAGTCTGACTTAGCCAGAGTGGTCCACACCTTGGTTACATTCAGATTGGACTATTGCAATGCACTCTACGTGGGGCTGCCCTTGAAGACGACCGAGAAGCTCCAACTGGTACAATGGGTGGCAGCCAGGCTCCTTACCGGAGCAAACTATGGGAGCATACAACACCCCTTTTAAAACAGCTTCACTGGCTGCTGATAAGTTGCCGAGCCAAATTCAAGGTGCAGGTTATGACCTATAAAGCCCTAAATGGTTCGGGCCCCGCCTATCTTCACTATCGCATCTCCCGCAAACTTTAAGATCTTCCGGGGAGGCCCTCCTTTCGCTCCCACCACCGTCACAAGCATGGTTGGTGGGGACGAGAGAGAGGGCCTTCTCGGTGGTGGCCCCTCACCTCTGGAACGCCCTTCCTAGAGAAATAAGACAGGTCCCATCCCTCCCCTCCTTTCGTAAGAGCCTGAAGACCTGGTGGTTTAAACAAGCCTTTGAGAACGACTAGTTCTAGCTCAGCCCCACATACTGTTGATTATGGTCATATCTTTTTCTACCAATTACCCAGGTTACTTCCTCCTATTAGGCCCCAGAAATGAACAGCCATAGACTCTACCAAATTTCCCGGGCCCTCTACAAATTGCAGTAGCCTCTGTTCGGCCTTTTAAATTGCCTTGAACAGGAAGGATTATTTCAAATATGTATGTGCTATTGTGATTTTTTATGCTTATATTGTCTTGTTAATTTTATGTTTATGCTATTTTCTTTGAATGTATTGATGATGTTTCTTGGTAACCATTCTGAGACCCATTGGGGAGATAGAGTGGTATATAAATAAAGTTTTGTTGTTGTTGATATATATGGGAACAACTCCTTTACCTTGGCCATTGGAAGTTGTAGCCTCCAAAAGTAACTTATCTACATTTTGCTTAGTTTGATGGCTCCCATGCATTAAGGGGAAATCAGAGAAGGTACAACAGGGTCCAGGCAATCAGAGCCTTACTTTCTTTGATTTGGATCCAAAATAGGCCACTCGGTCCCATGTAGCAACAAAAGCCCACGTGGCTTTGAAAGACATCTCGGGGTAGTACTGATTGATTTCTTCAGTGCAGCGTTGAAGGAGCTTCGGGTCCTGGGTTTGCCTCCAGAAGACATCCCCACTGATAGGATTGTAGACATCACCCCAAAATGGAGCGACAACAGGTGGCCCCCCATTCAGAGGTAAAGCGTCAGGTGTCCCGGCAAACTCTGGAACTGTTGCACTAAAGGAGATCAGCCCATTGTTATCCACCTGAAGAAAGAAGACAAAAAAAGAAAGAAGAGAAAGTGGGAAACAATTAGGAAATGATAGCTTCATGAGATATACATGTTTTTAATGAATGTGTTTTCCTGGGTTGTTGTAGGTTTTTCCGAGCTATATTTATTTACTTTATTTATTTACTTTATTTGTATACCGCTCTTCTCAGCCCTTAGGCGACTCAGAGCGGTTTACAACAATTTAGGTATACACAATACAAAATCATTAAGCATTTAAAAGCAATAGCATCGCAAATCATTAAACATCAATATCAATACATCACTACATCAATATAACAAATCCATCAGGTCTCATCAATGAAATCAGAATCCAAACTCGTTATCCGATATTCCGTGTTCCGATAGTCAGTCCATCAATCACACTGCTTAGTCGAATGCCTGTTCAAACAGCTAGGTCTTTACTTTCCTCCAGAATGCAAGGAGGGGGTCGATCTAATATCTGCAGGAAGGGCGTTCCACAGCCGAGGGGCCACCACTGAGAAGGCCCTGTCTCTCGTCCCCGCCAGGCGTGCTTGTGAAGCCGGCGGGATCGAGAGCAGGGCCTCCCCAGACGATCTTAATGTCCTAACTGGTTCATAGGAGGAGACGCGTTCGGACAGGTAGGTCGGGCCAGAACCGTTTAGGGCTTTAAAGGCTAAAGCCAGCACTTTGAATTGTGCCCGGTAGCAAATTGGCAGCCAGTGGAGCTGGCGCAGCAGTGGAGTGGTATGCTCCCTGAGTGCCGCTCCTGTTAGCATCCTGGCTGCCGATCGTTGGACCATTTGAAGCTTCCGAGCAGTCTTCAGAGGCAACCCCACGTAGAGAGCATTGCAGTAGTCTAAATGGGATGTGACTAGAGCATGGACTACCGTGGCCAAGTCATGGCCATGTTCTAGAGGCATTCCCTCCTGACGTTTCACCTGAATCAACGGCAAGCATCCTCAGAGGTAGTGAGGTCTGTTGGAACTAGGAAAAAGGGTTTATATATCTGTGGAATGACCAGGGTGTTTTCCTTTGGTGTGAATGCAAAGTGGAGAAAAGAGAGAAATTTTAGTAGAATTGCAGTGAATTGCCAAGGAGAAAAAAATAATGAAGAAAAAGCAGCAATCTAAAAATGACCCCATAAAATTAAAATAAAAAAGAGAAAAGGGGGAAAGGAATGTAGCATCTCTAGAACTTTTTTTTAATTTCAGCATGAGTGTTCATAGACATAAGCCCATTTCTTCAGATGCAGTATAAAATGGTATCTACTACTCTTTCTTCTTGCCATAAGATACATGTTGTGCACAAGTCTGCAGTTTTTGTCAGTGTCATGAATAAATAAATTCATCAAGCACAAAGATAGTAGAGCAGGTGCTTCAGACTATATATCTGTAGTACTAAGAAAGAGAAGCAAACTGTTAGCTAACTACCGTATATACTCAAGTATAAGTCTAGTTTTTCCAGCTCTTTTTTTAGGCTGAGAAAGCACCCCTCGGCTTACACTTGAGTCAACGTTATTTATTATTTCACACTGTTATTGTTATTGTTGTTATTACATTTATTATTTTACTTTGATGTTATTATTATTATTATTATTTTACTCTATTTATTATTCTTATTATTATTACAATTATTATTTTACTTTATTATTGTTATTATTATATTTATTATTTTACTCTATTATAACTGTTGTGATTATATTTCCATTATTTTACTCTATTATTATTGTTTTTACATGTATTATTTTACTCTCTTTATTATTATTAGAAGGATATATAAGCACATTTACACTGAAGAAGGTTAGAATAATGGTTTAATCAGAGTTGAGCAGTCTCATCTTAAATTACAGTTTTATGTAAATATTCAAAAACATTTAACCTACTGATGCCTCAATTAATGTACTTTTATTGGTATTTATTTTTAGTTTTGAAGTGTAGCAGTAGCTCCTGCATTTCCCACCCTCAGCTTATACTCGAATCAATATATTTTTCCCAGTTTTTTGTGGTAAAATTAGGTGCCTCGGCTTATATTTGGGTTATACTCAAGTATATACGGTAGTTATTTTTATTGTGTTTTTACCATCCAAGATTGGGAGAAGTGCTTGAGAGCAGATAAATAGGAAATGTATATTATCACACCACATAAAATTTGGGGTCCTCTGATAGGTTCACATAAATCACAAAGGATAAAAAGACATATAAGAGCTTGAAATTAATTCCTATTAAATCTACTGAATCACAGAAATACGTGTTGATTTACCAAATTTCACTTAATTCAATGGATCTCTACCTCTACTGGAATAACAACTGGATTTAAGCTGAAGCAACCATCTATCTGATAAAGAAGCATGAGGTTGTGGTTTGTTCAGATTAGGGGTTACTTACATAGATAGAGTTGTATGCCTTGCCATAGAAGGGGAAAGGCACTGCTGTGGAAATCTCTGGAGACACCCCATCATCTGACTTGGGGTTCCTTGTGTCACCATGGTCCCTCCCATAAGGGTACAGAAGCGGTTCTAGAACAGGATAGAGTTTCTTCATTTTCTAAAAAAGTGCTGTTTCTTGGCCCTTACTATCAACATACTAATTGAGAACGCATCCACACCATAAAATTAATACAGTTTGATACCACTTATACTGATATGGAGCCCCCAGGGTGCAGTGGGTTAAACTGCTGAGCTGCTGAACTTGCTGACTGAAAAGTTGGTGGTTCGAATCCGGGGAGCAGGGTGAGCTCTCACTGTTAGGCCCAGCTTCTGCCAACCTAGCAGTTCAACAACATGCAAATGTGGGTAGATCAATAGGTTTGATATGACTTATACTAACATGGAGCCCCAGGGGTGCAGTGGGTTAAACTGCTGAGCTGCTGAACTTGCTGACTGAAAGGTTGGCAGTTTGAATCCGGGGAGCGGGTAAGCTCTCACTGTTAGGCCCAGCTTCTGCCAACCAGCAGTTTGAAAACATGCAAATGCGGGTAGATCAATAGATTTGATACGACTTATACTAATATGGAGCCCCCAGGGGTGCAGTGGGTTAAACTGCTGAGCTGCTGAACTTGCTGACTGAAAGGTTGGCAGTTTGAATCCAGGGAGCGGGGTGAGCTCTTGCTGTTAGGCCCAGCCTCTGCCAACCTAGCAGTTCAAAAATTATTATTATTATTATTATTATTATTATTATTATTATTATTATAACTTTATTTGTACCCCGCTAGCATCTCCCAAGGGATTCGATGCGGCTTACAAACAGGCCGAAGCCCACACAATACAGCAATACAGTACCTAGCAAATAAAACAGTTAAGCAAAACAATAACAATAGCAGTACAACAAGACATTATTAAAATTGAGCCGGCCAGAGTAGGGGTACAAGTGCTGATGTGTCGGAGGAATATGGGGTTATAATATAAGTGCGGTGTGCGGTGTGCAATGATCTTGGTTCTGATTAAAGTGCTTCTGGGATTTGGTACTGGGGATTCCTAGTCTGAGAAGGCACATTGGAACAGCCAGGTCTTCAAATTCTTTCTGAAGACTGCCAATGTAGGGGCTTGTCTGAGGTCTTTTGGGAGGGCATTCCAGAGGCGGGGGGCCACCACAGAGAAGGCCTGTCTCGTGTCCCCACCAAGCGCGCTTGTGACGCGGGCGGGATCACGAGCAGGGTCTCTCCAGATGACCGAAGTGAACGTGTGGGTTCGTAGACAACGATACGGTCACGCAGGTAGGGTGGTCCCAAACCGTTCAGGGCTTTGTAGGTAAGCACCTGCACCTTAAATTGGGCTTGGAAAATAAACAGCAGCCAGTGGAGCTCCTTAAACAGAAGGGTTGACCTCTCTCTGTAGTGGGCCCCAGTTAACATCCTGGCTGCTGCCCGTTGGACCAATTGGAGTTTCTGAGCCATTTTCAAGGGCAGCCCCACGTAGAGCGCATTGCAGTAATCCAGTCTGGAGGTGACTAAGGCGTGGACCACCCTGGCCAGATCAGCCTTAGCGAGGTACGGTCGTAGCTGGCGCACAAGTCTCAGTTGTGCAAAAGCCCTCCCGGCCACCGCCGACGCCTGAGCCTCAAGCGTGAGCGATGAATCCAGGAGGACTCCCAAGCTACGGACCTGTGGCTTCAGGGGGAGTGTAACCCCGTCCAACACAGGTTGCCACCCTATACCCCGATCTGGTTTACGATCGACCAGGAGGACCTCTGTCTTGTCGGGATTAATCTTCAGCTTGTTCGTCCTCATCCAGATAGCCACAGCGGCAGGCACTCGTCCAGCACCCGAGGGGCTTCCTTGGAGTTAGGTGGAAAAGAGTAGTAGAGTTGTGTGTCATCTGCGTAGAGATGGCACCCAACTCCAAAACTCCGGATGACCTCTCCCAGCGGTTTCATGTAGATGTTAAAAAGCATGGGAGATAGAATAGAGCCTTGCGGGACCCCACAGGTCAAGGGCCAGGGGTCCGAGCAGGCATCTCCCAGCTTCACCATCTGGGTTCGTCCCTCCAGGAAGGACCGGAGCCACGACAGAACCGTGCCCCCGAGACCCATCCCAGAGAGTCATCCCAGAAGGATACCATGATCGATGGTATCGAAAGCCGCTGAGATGTCCAAGAGAACCAGCAGAGTCACACTCCCCCTGTCCAGCTCTCTACGGAGGTCATCCACCAAGGCGACCAAGGCTGTCTCGGTGCCATGACCAGGCCTGAAACCAGACTGTGACTGATCTAGGTAGTTGATGTCATCTAGAAAGCCCTGGAGCTGGGAGGCGACCACCCGCTCCAGCACCTTACCCAAAAAAGGGAGGTTGGAGATCGGCCTGTAATTGTTCAGCACCGTGGAGTCAAGGGAAGCCTTTTTGAGGAGTGGACGAACCACAGCCTGTTTCAAGTTAGATGGAAAAATCCCTTGCTCCAAAATGCATTAATGATCAACACAAACCAATCAACCAACCCCTCCTTGGCAGATTTAATAAGCCAGGATGGGCAAGGGTCTAGGGCCGAAGTGGTCGCCCTCACAGCCCCAAGAACATGCAAATGTGGGTAGATCAATAGGTTTGATACCACTTATACTAATATGGAGCCCCCAGGGGTTCAGTGGGTTAAACTGCTGAGCTGCTGAACTTGCTGACTGAAAGGTTGGCGGTTTGAATCCGGGGAGCAGGGTGAGCTCTCGCTGTTAGGCCCAGCTTCTGCCAACCTAGCAGTTCGAAAACATGCAAATGTGCGGGAAGGTAACGATGTTCCATGTAGTCATGCCAGCCACATGACCTTGGAGGTGTCTATGGACAATGCTGGCTCTTCGGCTTAAAAATGGAGATGAGCACCAGCGTTGGACACAACTGCACAGGGGAAAACCTTTACCTTTACCTTATTTTGTCTACATCGTTCAATTTACAATTAGTTATTTCCACATTTAACATATTTACTACTATATAATTATAGCAATTTGCCAGAGTCCACTTTGTTTTATCTTTCCAACCCTTCACTAAAACTATTTGCGCACACACTATTAATTTGTTAACCATGCTTTCCTTTTGCACATTATACACTCCTGGTATCCTTGCATGTGATACATTTCTATTGACTATTATTATTTGAAGATTTTACATTCTATTAATTTCTCCTTTGATCATTCTCCAGTGTGGCTGTACTCTATTACATTCCCATATCATATAATTAAACACACCTCTTTGTTTACAACCAAGTAATATAGTAAAGGAAAATATAATGTACCGAGGGAAACAAGGAGGAAAAGGTTACAAAAATGATATAGGACCTCTGCACAACTTTCACATTTTTTTTACCAGGGGTAAATGACAGGTGTGGAAAAACTCAAACAATTTAAAAGTCGTTGTAAAAAGAGGGATGCCAACTGGGACTGTATTTGCCAAATTGAGACACTTATGGGTATGCTAGCCTTTTATCTCCTACCTGAATTCCCAAAATCTCTCTGAAACTAATATTGACCCCTGGTTGAAAGGGGTTCCAAACTCATGCTAAACAGATTGAATATAAACATACGAGGGTTGAATGAAAAGTAATGCCTCCACCTTCGTTACTTGGGTTTGGATGGGAATATTTTAATAAATCAAAAGCAGAAATAATCCTTAGAATGTGCTCTTTAACTACCACTATTCACTTTTCCACATAATCACCAGACAACTTGGATACATTTCTGCCAACGATGAACAAGTTTTCTGAAGCCGTCACAGAAGAAGTCGACACTCTGTTTCCGCAACCAGCATCTCACAGTTCTCTCATCCTGGGTACCCATCGTGCACAGATCTTCCAATAGCCAAGCAAAGCAATAATGTGACCCACACGTTCTTGTGAAATGCCGATTATGCTTGAAATTTCTCTCTGAGTGATACGACGATCATCCTGAATCAATCTGTCAACCTTTTGCTTGTGAAACTCGGTGGTTGCTGTCACAGGACGTCCAACTCTTTGTCATGCAAGTCAGATGTTCCCACCTCAACATCTTTAAACTTACTCGCCCAACGACACACAGTACTCACATCAACACAATCACCATAAACAGCTTGCATTCTCTGATGAATCTCCTTTGGGGTGATACCTTCTGCTGTCAAGAATTCAATGACTGCACGTTGCTTAAGTCTTATTGACTGACCATTTGCGCAGCATCCCATACTTCGCACTTTAACAACACAACCATTCAATGCTAAGGCTTTCTGCCAAAATGGAACTGTAGAAGAGTTTACTGAACAAGCCAGTATCTGCCGCATACCAGTACTGCCATCTGTTGAGGAGTTATGAAGGTGCAGGCATTACTTTTCATTCAGCCCTCGTAGTTTGATGGAATTATTCACTCCAACGGCAAGTCTTCAATCCCAACCCAACCATCTTACCTTTGATCTTTGGGACAGAAGAGGTTAATGCCGACCCTAAAAACAACAACAACAACAACAAAGTGTCCCATCAGAGCTTTGACAGATTTCACAGAATCATAAAACTGGAAGAGACCATAAGGGCCATCCAGTCCAACCCCCTGCCACACAGGAATGCACAGTTAAAGCACTCCTTGGCGGATGTCCATCCAGCCTCTGTTTCAAAATCTCCCAAGGAAACCCCTCCATACTTCAGGGCAGTGTATTTCACTGACAAACACATCCTAGGATTTTAAGATCTATGAAGGGGGAAGGATTATGCTATGTCATAATTAGTATGTTTTTAATAAATTGTCTTTGAATTAGTAATTGTATATTTTTCTAGACATTCTTTATTGTTAGGAGCTGCAGTGGCGCAATGGGTTAAACCCTTGTACTGGCTGAACTGCTGACCTGAAGGTCAGCAGTTCGAATCCACGAGACGGGGTGAGCTCCTGTGTGTCATCTCCAGCTTCCCATGCAGGAACATGAGAGAAGCCTCCTACAGTATGGTAAAACATCTGAGAGTCCCCCGGGCAACGTTCTTGCAGTTGGCCAACTCTCTCACACCAGAAGCGACTTGCAGTTTCTCAAGTCACTTCTGACATTAAAAAAAATTGTTTAGGAGAAGAAGACTTAGGAACTTGTTTTCATTCCTGGTCATAGCTTAGTTGCAGTTTACCTTTTGGCTTTTTGGCCGAAGACTCTGGCACTGATTCTAAAAGGGAAAAAGAAAAAGATTGTGAAATCTGTACCTGATCTGTTCATTTTAATAGATTTCCTGTATATACTTGAGTATAAACTACCCAAATATAAGCCGAAGCACCTAATTTTACCACAAAAAACTGGGAAAACATATTGACTTGAGTATAAGCCAAGTGAAATGTTGGATAATAAGGAAGGATTAAGGAAAAGCCTATTAAATGTCAAATTACGTTATGATTTTACAGATTAAACACTAAAACATCATGTTTTACAACAAATCAACAGAAAAAGCAGTTCAATACACAGTAATGTTATGTAGTAATTACTGTATTTACAAATTTACCACCAAAACATTGCAATGTATTGAAACAGCTGTAATTCTGGAGGCAGATTGTGTTGGATAATACAGAACACTACATGGGTGAAGGTTGGATAAGTGAGACTCTTTTGTAACTATAGCTGGTCCTGCTTAGTTTCCACAATCAGATGGGATCTGGTGCCTTTAGGGCAGGGGTCCTCAAACTACGGCCCGGGGGCTGAATACAGCCCTCCAAGGTCATTTACCTGGCCCTCGCTCAGGGTCAAACTAAGTGTGAAACGACTTGAAAGCACACAACAACAACAACAACAATCCTATCTCATCACCCAAAAGCAGGCCCACACTTCCCATTGAAATACTCATAAGTTTATATTTGTTAAAATTGTTCGTCATTTTAATTATTGTATTGTTTTTAAGTGTTTTTTGTACTACGAATAAGATATGTGCAATGTGCATAGGAATACATTCATGCTTTTATCACATTATAATCCGACCCTCCAACAGTTTGAGGGACTGTGACCTGGCCCTCTTTTTAAAACGTTTGAGGACGTCTGCTTTAGGGTATTTAAGACACATTTTATAAACAGAATACTTACTGCAGGAGCAAAGGGCCCCAGAGCCATAGCCATTGCGGTACAAGCCTCCAAGGATGATGAGCCCAAAAGGAGAAGTGGGGTGCTCTGCAGAGAGGGCATTTGTTTCTGAACCTATAAGATATTCAGCCCAAGAATATTCTGTGCCAGGAATTGGCCTCCAGTGTATATTTTCAATGGCCCTTTTTGCTAGTTTAATCTGGCTGGATTCTGAAGTATTGGCTATGAGGACAGCATAGTTATCATTCTGCCTCATCCCATCAATGTGGAACAGTCTACAATAATTTGTTAAATCTGGTATATTGACAAGGAATGGATCGTAGAGTCTACTTTCCTTAGGTGCATCAGCTAGCAAGGGTATTAGTTGCTCATAAGATGTATTTCCAGTTGCCACTCCAGTGAAGAAAAGCACAACCTGGAGTCCAGCATTGGCAGAGATATGAAACGGTTGCAAACTTTGCATTTCCAATTGAATAACTTGCCCAGCTACCATGTCATGAGAACCTTCTGTGAGCGTAGACTGGTACTTCATCAAAGTGTTTTGAGAAGCAACAACATATACAATGTCAGTTTTGGTTTGGAACGACAGAGGAGGGACGATGAAGGTGGTTCCCCAGCTGGAAACAGGAAGAAGCTGTTCCACAACATGGTCGCAGGCTGTGTTTTTCTGAGCACAACTGTGCCCAGTGAAGACGGCCACAGCTTCCTTGGAGTCAACCCTGGTGCCAGATAAATCTTCTGAGCTTTGGATCTGGATTGCTTGGAAGGCCTGGAGATTAGCAACAAGTGTGCTTCCCCTCGGATAAATGTGTCCTTTGTATTCAACAGCTCCAGTTAGGTGAATGTCAACCCTGGTGGGAGTTTGATAGGATACAACTGCAAATTCCTTGAAAGTGTTAGGCAGATTACCGCTTGGTGTCACGACATAATACACTGTGCCGAGCTGCTCAACTGGATACACAATAGTGGCACCAATGGAATAGTCCTTGTAGTTGCGAGCCAATACTGAGATGTCTTTGTTAGCTTCAATCAATGCAGTTTTATTATAGATGCCGGTTTGCAGCATCTCTAAAGTGCTTGGGAGTTTAACAGAGACTGTTTGTCCTGCACTGACAGAAATGGTTTTCTCAAAACTGGGCCTTTTTGTTGTCACTGTGACAGTGGTTGCAGGACGATATCCAGTGATAAGCAGCTCAAACTGAGCATTGGGTTGGCTTTCCCAGAGGTTAAGTAGGAAAGCTGTGACGAATTTCTTTCCACGAGACCTTGCTACACAACGGCCTAGAAGAAAGACAGAGAGAATAAAGAAAGAGTTGTTGGAACTGATATTAAAGGAGGCTCAAGCCTGTCGTAGATTTGCTTTGGTACTCCTCCTTGCAGAAAAGAAGCAACACGTCAACATCAGGGTGGAGAAATTGTGTGTTCTGCAATAGATGAGCTAGTTGTGAAGGTAGGGCTTGCTGAACATGGGCTGAACATGGGCTGGGACTTGAGTGGCAACAGATATTTGGCTGAAATTTGCCCAAGAAAACATTCTCAAAATTGAACCTAGGCTGCTGCTACTGATAAAAACCTTATACACAAACACCTGCTTGAGAGTACGGTTTGGGGTAAATGGAGCTATGACAAGCAGGATCAACACATACAAAGGGGTAAGACAAGGGTGTATTTTAGCACCAATATTATTTAATCTTTATATCAATGACCTACCTGGAGTAATGAAAGACCCTGTAACTCATATGCCTAAAGTCCTAAACACATATTGTAATACTCTGCTGTATGCTGATGATATGATATTACTATCACACTCGCAAGTTGGACTTCGTAGGTTGTTAAGAAGACTCAGTTCCTATTGCCAGAATAACTCTCTAATCATCAACAAGACAAAATAAAAAATAATGGTATTTGGAAAAAGGCAGCAGAGACACAGATGGCAATTGGATGGTGAGGTAATAGAACAAGTAAACACCTTCCCTTACCTTGGAGTAACTTTCTCTGAGACTGGTTCTTGGACTTCTCATCATCAAAGGTGTGTTCTCAGGGCAAAGGCTAGCCTGAATCTAATACTTAAGCTAAAAACACATAGCTACCCAGGTACCCTAATCCCAATAATTAAAGTGTATAAAGCTAAGGTTACACCTATGCTTTTGTATGCAGCAGAAGTATGGGGTTTAAATTCCATCTCAGTAATAGAACAAGCACAATCCCAGCACTTGAGAAGTATACTGGGAGTCGATAAAAGGACCTCTGCTGCTGCAGTGAGAGCAGAACTGGAAATCTACACAATCAATGCACAGTCTAAACTTAGAGCGTACAATTACTGGTGTAAAATCAATGTAATGGAGCCTGATAGACTCCCAAAATTGTGCCTACTAGAACAGATAAAATCCCAACTACCGACCTCCTGGATTACACAACTGACAAATTATATAAGAAGTTGTGGGCTTCCTGTCTCCTGCGCCTCAAATGACCAAGTAAGAAAGGGTGCTATACAAAGAATTTTGGATATAGAAGCACAAAAAGATATAGCCACCCTCAGTAAGACTGCTAACCTAAAATGGCTGAGTCAATATAAACGTACCTTTCAAACTGCTAACTACCTAAAAATGCAAATACCAAAACATCTCAGGGAGGTATTCACTCGAGCCAGATTTGATCAGCTCGAGACAATGGTTAGATATGGGAGATTTAACAGCATCCCTTATAATGAACGGAGTTGTATCTGCGGGGCACCTGAAATTGAGGATATAGCACACATATTGTTTGATTGCAAATTGTATCAAAAGGTGAGAGACTTCCACCTTGGTCCATATATCAAACGAATGTATTGGGAATCTCACATCAGAACAACATATTTTATGTGTGGCCAAGACCCAAAAATAACATAAAACAGCTCTGTACTTAAGCAAAACAATAGGTCTGAGAACCACATATATAGGGCTGATTGGGGTAAATTGTAGGGGTGATAAGGAAATATGATGTATATACTCAGCTTGATCAGTTTATCAGTTTTATCATGTCTTATCATATTTATTTGCTGTATTATTATAAGTGTCTTATTTTAACTTTCCACATGGAGTGTGATCAGGTCTTGTCAGGCCTTGTTGTTCTGTTTCTTATTTTGATATGGCCTAAGGGCTAATCAATAATAAAATTACTATTACCCAAGAAAACATGTGCAGTAGAAACTTCATGGATAAGAAAAACCTATATAATGTGTGGTCAAGGTTGTGGGAGACGGCAGCCTTTTTCAAGTACTGTGACTTGTGTGTGCGGTATGGCTGATCTGTCTCCTTATGGCCATAATGGAATAAAACTTGATTTTGATCAACTCCTGAGACTGGACATTTTGCCTGTTTGCCTACCGCGACTGCACCTTCAATAGGCGCCCAAATTTGGAGTCTCCTACATATTCAAGGCAGCAAATCTACTCTGGGTTTTAGTCTAAACTTTAAAGTAGCTGTTCTAGGTCAACCTGTTTTTCATCTCAGACAGTAGCCCTGAACTTTAAAAGATGGGAAAGTTAGTAGCTGGCTGCATTAAATCATTACCGACCAAGAGGTCATGAGTTCGAAGCCAGCCTGGGTCGGAGTGAGCTTCCGGCCATTAATAGTCTAGCTTGTTGTTGACCTATGCAGCCTGAAATACAGTTGCATCTGTCAAGTAAGAAATTTAGGTACTGCTTTATGCGAGGAGGCTAATTTAAATAATTTATGATGCCATAAACCCTCCCAGCAGTGTGCTGAAGAATGAGGAAGTACTCCATCAAAGGACTCCATCACAAGTGGACGGTGAAGCGGCAGCTCCCCCTGTGGCCAGAATCGAGCATATCCTTATGAAGTCAGAAAAAGCTGGAATGTTACATTGACTTTGTGTCTGTCTATATATGTTGTATGTCTAAATGGCATTGAATGTTTGCCATGTATATGTTCACTGTAATTCACCCTGAATCCCCTGCCGGGTGAGAAGTGCGGAATATAAATATTGTAAATAAATAAATAAATAAATAAAAATTTAGACTAAAACCCAAACTGAATTCACTGCCCTGCTTCAAGGAGTTGCCAGCCTCTACTGAGCATATATTCGAATTGTTACATCTCACAAAGATTTCATAAAAATGAGAAATAAACACAACAGCAACTGGTCTAGAAGGTGTTATTATACTTAGTTTGAATATTATTATTGCATGTTTGGAGATAGGGCCCTCTGGTGGCACAGCTGGTTAAACTGCTGAGCTGCCAAACTTGCTGACCAAAATGTTGGTGGTTCGAATCCAGGGAGTAGGATGAGCTCCCGCTGTTAGACCCAGCTTCTGCCAACTTAGCAGTTTGAAAACATGCAAATGTGAATAGACCAATAGGTACCGCTCCTGTGGGAAGATAACAGCACGCCATGCAGTCATGGTGGCCACATGACCTTGGAGGTGTCTATAGACAACGCCTGCTCTTCGGCTTAGAAATGGAGATGAGCACCACCCTTCAGAGTCGGACATGACTAGACTTAATGCCAGGGGAAACCTTCACCTTTACCTATACTTTGGAGTTAAGCACAGTGACAACTGAAACCGTGTTATGAAAATAACACACTGCCATATACAATCCAGATTATTCACTTTGAACGAGATTATATGGCAGTGTAGACTCATATAATCCAGTTTAAAGCAGATAATGTGGATTGGCTTTGATTATCTGGATTATATGACAGTGTAGGCCAAAGTTAAGCAGGGCCCATAGGGTAGAGAAAGAATGGCATTTATCCAAGGCAAGGAATAAGAGTAGGAAAATCTGTAGGCAGGCCCGTAGCCAGGATTTCGTTTCGGGGGGGGGGGCTGAATTTTTTTTCAGGGGGGGTTTCGGGGGGGCTGAGTTTCGGGGGGGGCTGAGTCTGAGTGAAAGAGGGTCTAGCCTAGCAAACCTTTTGTATCATTACCCCAATACCCATGCATATGGGATATATTGAGTATGGTGATCAAATCATGATATGAATAAACATAACAGTTTAAATAATGCACCAGTAAGGCCTTTTCTCGAACCACCATGAGAATTTCGGGGGGGGGGGGCTGAAGCCCCCCAAGCCCCCCCCCCCCCCCCACCCAGCTACATGTCCTGTCTGGTGTTCCCTTCTATCGTTTTTTCCCTGTTAGTTTTTGTTAAAGTCTCACGTCTTCTATTTCCATCCTAACATGATGACCTTTCTTGCTATTTTGGGAATCGTCTTTCTAAAAATGACCCGTGAACTAAAATTTCATCTCCATCTGCATCTTTCATATCAAGTTGGCACAGCTGTCCCTGGCATGGAAAAGATCAAATTCAACCTTGGTTAAATGTGTGTGTGGAGGGGTTTTTTTTAGAGTTGCTACAGGTCAGAAAAAAATTGAAGACTCACAAAAAGAATAACTGCAACAATAAGGGTCTCTCCAAGTGCAGCCAGTGCTGTACCACTTGTTAGTCAGTCTGAAAATGAAGGTGCGAGTGAAGGTAAGTAAGGCCAGGAAACTTACCACTCAGTACCATCAAACCAGCCAAGAGGAAGAAGATCCATCTCATTATCATGGCTGTAAAAAAAGAAATAAATAATGAAAAAGCAATCCCTTATTTGTTCTTTCATTTTGAGCTAAATCCAATAATTACTTCCAAATTGAGAATTAGTAGGAACACGATGAGTCAATACTTGCGTAACTTCTATTGATTCACTGGATTTATTCCAATTGGGACTAATGTTGGATCCAAGCCTTTGCGTGCAAGAAGAAATAGAACCTGGTAGCATTATTATTATTATTATTATTATTATTATTATTAAACTTTATTTGTACCCCGCTAGCATCTCCCAGAGGATTCGATGCGGCTTACAACAGGCCGAGGCCACAACAATACAACATAACAATACAATCAAGCAAATCAAACAATTAAAACAAATTAAAGCAAAATAAACAACAAGCACAGTACATTAAAACACAATAAAACTGGGCCGGGCCAAAAGGTGGGTACAAGGATTAAAAGTGCTGATTTGACAGGAGGTGTATAGAGGGTTACTAGGACAAGTGCGATGTGCGATGTGCAGCAATCATTGGTTCTGGTAAAGTGCTTATGGGACTTGGTAGTGGAGATTTCCTAATCTGGGAAGGCGCATCGGAAAAGCCAGGTTTTCAAGTTCTTTCTGAAGACAGCCAATGAAGGGGCCTGTCTAAGGTCTTTGGGGAGGGTGTTCCAGAGTTGGGGGGCCACTACGGAGAAGGCCCTGTCCCGTGTCCCCACCAAGCGCGCCTGCGACGCTGGTGGGATCACGAGCAGGGCCTCTCCAGATGACCGAAGAGAACGCGTGGGTTCATAGATGGAAATGCGGTCACGCAGGTAGGCTGGTCCCAAACCGTTCAGGGCTTTGTAGGTAAGCACCTGCACCTTAAATTGGGCTCAGAATATAAATCCTTGAACAGGAGGGTTGACCTCTCTCTGTAAGGGGCCCCAGTTAACATCCTGGCTGCTGATCGTTGGACCAGTTGGAACTTCTGAGCTGTCTTCAAGGGCAGCCCCACGTAGAGCGCATTGCAGTAATCCAATCTGCAGGTGGCCAAGGCATGGACCACTCCGGCCAGATCCACCTTCGCGAGGTACGGTCGCAATTGGTGCGCAAGTCTCAGTTGTGCAAAAGCCCTCCCAGACGCCGCCGACGCCTGAGCCTCAAGCGAGAGCGTAGAATCCAAGAGGACTCCCAAACTGCGGACCTGTGACTTCAGGGGGAGTGTAACCCCGTCCAGCACAGGTTGACACCCTATACCCCGGTCAGGTTTGCGATCGACCAGCATAGCATACAAATCCTTCATTCATTTTCCCCCTGTGAATACACTCAGTGGTTCCATGTAGATTTTTTAAAATGAGACACAAATTGTAACCTGCAACACTCTAAAGCAGGTCTGCACAACATGCAGCCCAGGGACTGGATGTGGCCTTCTAAAGAACTTCGTGTGGCCCACAGAGGCTCTGAGCCCAAGCCTTAGAAAGGTATGTCACATACAGTGCTACAGATGAGTACGAGCAATTGGAATCCACCAATCCTACCTCTGAGTGTTTTACCTCTATACGTTTCTTTTCTGTATGCACCAAAGTTACCAAACCAACCTGTGATAAAGGCAGCACAACTGATAGATCTGGTCAAGATGCTGAAAGTGCTGGTCTTGATTGGTTGTTGGACTCAGGTTGGAGTAGGGGGAGTGGGGATGATATGGAGGTTGGAATCTTGGGCTCCAGATTAATCCAAAATTTAGCATTAGATTGGCTATTTTAGAGGGAGAAGGTGGCCTCAGAAGAAGAGCCTCAGTTCTTGCCACTGTAGCTCTTCCTTTCTCTGCCTCTGTCGTCTCCTTCTTATCTGTGGCAAAACTACTGTTTGCTTGTGCAGAAGAAACCTGGCTATGCCACTCTTCTTTTTTGTTTGCCTCAGGGTTGCCTTGGTCATCTCCTCCTCTTCCAGTGGGAAAAACCATCAATTACCCATTGTTCATTTCCCTCACTTGTGAAGAAGAAACATCTTCACTATGTTGTGGGATCTTCATAGCATAGCTACGTTGATGAAGGCATGATGAAAATACATGATACATGTATTGGAAAATATATAGTGAATGTAACCATATTAGAAACAGGAGTTAGAAAATATATGAAATCATAAAGGGAAATGTATGTATACATGAACTTCACTTGGAAGATATTCTCTTCTTAAAAAGCTGCAAAATTAGATGCCTCGAGAGTGGCCAGGGTCTAGGAAAGGAATGTCAAGAGGCCTCTGGCAAATTTCAAGAGACTCTTTCCATTTTGGTACCAGGCGAAGCTTATCATAAGGCCATCAAGAGGCTTCAGGAAGAACTTATCTTAAAATGGATGGATGCTCTTGCTATCAGTAGCTTAGTAGACACTGCACGATGATCCTCATTAATAGCAGCTCCTTAGATAAAGGCGCTTAAATGAAGATTGACAGCTATTGAAGTTAAAATATGCAATTGAAGTCAATGTAAAAGTAGAATTTTGTGGTGCACATTGTGATGCCTGTATGATGCATGCATATTATTTTAAAGGGTATATAAACCAAGGTGTTTCTTTTGTTCAGTATCCTGTCTTCTGGACTACCAGCAGGGTTTATATCCAGTTGGCGCCAACCGAGAATAAACCGTGCTTTTACAGACCTTAGGAACTCTCTTTGTCTCTTTTCCTCAAACATTCTTTCTGCCATTTCAATGTAAGTTTGCCCCTCACTGATTAAGGAAATTAGTCACAGTTTTTCTTCCGTAGGAGAACGAGATGACAGAGGCAATCCACAAAAGGACTGCAACTTGCCACAATGCTGAGGGGAGGCAGGGAAATCGAGACTATAGACCTCTTTGCATGGGGTTAAATTCAATGGCATGTGCTGGCTTAGCCTAGGTCACCCATTGAGCCCACCGACTCTCATCAGACAATGCTGGCACGGTTCCGTGGGTGAAGGAGGGCAGAGTTGGTGCATACCACCACCAGGGCAACATGGGAGAGCTCCCATGTTGCCATTGGAATCCATGGAGGGAAGCCGCATGCTTCAAGTGTGCTCCATCATCTTCAGCTGCAGCCAGGCAATGCAGGATGTGGGGCACCAGGTTCCCCACGCCCCTTGACAAAGTGAAGCACCTCTGGCAGCCACGTGTCAAGGTCATATTTCGCTTTGCAGCTTGCTCTGAGGGAAATGCAATAAGAAATTCAATATGCAGATTTGATAAATGTGAATTTAACATGATGTGTGGGAATGAATGGAAGAATGGAAGATGAATGTATGGATGGAGCTAATAATTTTGGAAACATCAGTAAAAGACCCAGGCCCACAATGACTAACTACCTGCTTGCTGAACTTCACTTTAAAAGTAAGCTGTGATAAGAACTGTGACAGTGATAACAGAAATGTTTGCAACATTCCTTATGTTAAGAAGGAAGTCAACACAAGCCTTGTGTTTGTCAACACCAATCAAGAAGATCAACATCTGGCCAGGAAACTGAGCTGGATCCAAGATGGAAGACGTCCATCATTAATTTACAACTTTGGGACTACATCAGCAGAATATTTCTATAAAAGACTCAGTGTAATAATGGTCAAAGTGTGGCAGATAGAGACGCTGTTCACCCGCTATGCTCTGCTTCATGGGAAGGAGAGAGATAATGTACCTATGGAGAGTGTCAGATATGCTATGGGAAAGCATGATTCTGGTCACTTTGGGGCTTCTTTCTCAAGGGAAGAATTGTGCTTTTGGAGTCTTAGATTTTGTCAGGGAGTCAGGTTCTGCTGTATGGAAAACAGATCAGGTCCTTGGCATTGTTCTTAGGGAAGAAGTTTTGGCATTTTGAAGTTATAGCGTTAATGAAGTTTTGGAACTGTATGTTGACAGGCTGCAGGAAAGCAGGGTCTGGCCTAGCAGGTGCTTCTTCGAGGAGGGAGAAAATGATATGGTAATATTGAATGCCTGAGGATGAATGCGTGTACATGTGGTGTGAATCCTGAGTGAAAATGTAATTCCTCTTTGTTTGCTTGTTAACCAATGTAATTGTAAATCCAATGTATTTGCATATAATTTGTATGTATATATGTTCAATGTCATTCTTTGTCTGAATGTTTTTCTGTAATCTGAAATACTCTCTCACACTGGAAATTGCAATAAAAAGAACGTATGCTTCAAAGTTATTGAAAAGTCATTCATGCGCACCCTCTTGCAAACCCTGAGTGAGGTGCTAAAAGCATATCTGCAGACCAAAGATGTTTACCCTTCTTAATTTTGGTTCCTTACTACTGCCAAGTTGTGCAGGTCTGCTCTTAAAGGATAGAGCAGCAGCTTCCTATATGTTTTGAATAGCAGTTTAGATCAAAATCATTATAACACTTTGCTATTCTGGCTGACACAAAGGTTGTGCTCTACTATTGTGCCAGATTAAGAACTTCTTCACAAAGGGCATTTCAGCCCCTGATCTGTTTTGCCGCTTTTATTCACTGCAAGGAGGGGGCCTGCCGTGCGCCATCACATAACACATGGCAGGCCCCACCCACCTTCCTCTAAAAGTGGAGGCATTTCCTCCATCTCTATGGGGAGGAAAGTGTATTTTGGGTAGCTCCATCAGAGCTACCCGTACTTTCCTCCCATTTTTCCTGTATGATGGGATAAAGGGCAGCAGGGCAACACGCGTTGCATCATTTTGTCCCCCTTTCTCCCATTTGATGGGAACAGGGACAGGGTGCCAACGCACCATGCCCTGTCCCTACTGTATGATGGGGGAAGGAGGGAGGGCACACAGGGTGCCACGAGCCACCCCAAACACCTTCTCTTTCGCCTGCAACTGCCGGTGAAACGGCATGGCACAGTCATTAGTTTCAGCCAGTATTCTGAAATTAAATCACCTGCTGCCATGGTTTAATGATGCAGCATCTTTGGTCTCTTCTGAAGAACAAGAGAAAGAAGTACAGTAGTTGCAGCTTAGCAGTGTTTTTCATCAGACTATGAAATAATTAAAGTATATTATTTGTAACTTCCAAGACCCCACAACTAACATGGCAAAGGGATTTGGAGGTATTATAACAACAACAACAACAACAACAACAACAACAACAACAACATTTTGACAAATTTTGTCCAGAGGAGACTCTTACCTTCAGATCTTCTTGGCTTGAAAAAGAAGAAAGTCCTTTGGTCAGCCTTCTCTTTATCAGTCACTCTCTTTTTCTCTTTTTATAAGGAAAAGGACATGAATCAAATCCCCCCATGAGTTTCCATGGAAGTTCCCAGGGCACCAAAGTTTGAGGTTATTGTTTGGACAAAAGCAAGAGCCAAATAACACAATCAATCAACTGACTTGGCTCTTTGAAAAGCCTAAGGGAGGGGTGGGGATGCTCTCTGCCTCTAGAGAAATGCAATTGTAGCCTGGGTGAAGTGCCAAAAGTCATCATGGCACTCCACTCATGACAAAAACTCACCAATTTGCAAGATTTGTGGTATGCTTCTGGGTGAGATAGAATTAACACACACGAATTTAAAATATACATATTTTAAAAATCCACATCAATATAGTTTTAATATTGTCGAAGGCTTTCATGGTTTAGTTAGTTTGGAGAAATGGATACATGAGCTAAAATGTATAAATAAACTTGCACATTGCAGAAATGCATTAAAAAAACACATGAATTTCACTACAGGAAGGAAACACCAATGAATCACAAGCTGATATTAAACAAGAACAAAAAGCAAACACAGGCCAACACATTTTTTCTTGGTGTCTTGCTTTTGGGGTCTTTCTGGAGCTATTTTGAATGCTGGTTCAGAAAATTGCATTGGATCGACCACATTGGCTCTAGTTTCTTAGGTTATCATGGTTTTCTATGGGTGAGTGTCATTACTATTTTTTTGAACCTTAAAAATGTCCTTTAATCCATTTTCAGTGGGACAGGGTGTATTAGGCACTTTCAGAGAAAGAAGCAGACACACAGACTCCAGTACTGGATTTGCCCCCGGCGGCGCAGTGGGTTAAACCATTGAGCTGCTAAACTTGCTGACTTAGGTTCAAATCTGGGGAGCGGCGCAAGCTCCCGCTGTTAGCCCCAGCTTCTGCCAACCTAGCAGTTCGAAAACATGCAAATGTGAGTATGAAGTCGAACATGACCCCCCCCCCCCAATAAAAGATAGTAACTTATAGTTTTGGTAAGGACAAGGACACCAGACTGGATAATAAGGGTTAACCCTTGGTCAGTTTGCCAAGACATTAGCAACAACAAGGACCCTTCCCATGTTAGATAGTGTATACATTTAATAAAGGTTTTATTTATTTATTTATTTCGGGTACTTCTACCCCGCCCTTCTCAACCCCCTAAGGGGGACTCAGGGCGGCTTCCAACCAGCATACATTGGTGCCTACAATTCACACAATAAAATACATAGTAACAATAGTTATAACAATTAAAACATTACATTAATACAATAAAAATACAATAAAAAGCCAGCCTGGTGGCCATCGTTTTGCCAAGTCCATAATTAATAAATTCATTCTGCTTATCATAGTCTGTTTCCAAAGCTTTAGTCGTCATTGTCCATTGTCAGTCTGCCAGATTACCCAAAGGCTTGGTCCAATATCCTTGTTTTTAATTTCCTTCTGAAAGAGAGGAAGGATGATGATGATCTAATTTCCCCGGGGAGTGAATTTCACAGGCGGGAGGCCACCACTGAGAAGGCCCTGTCCCTTGTCCCCGCCAATCTCATTTGTGACAAGGGTGGGGCCGAGAGCAGGGCCCCTCCAGAAGATCTTAAATTCCTAGGCGGGATATAGAAGGAGATACATTCGGACAGGTACGCTGGGCCGGTGCCATATAGGGTTTTATAGGTCAAGACCAGCACTTTGAATTGTGCTCGGAACTGAATCGGCACAGTATATAACAGAAGGTAACACATTTATTACTGAGAAACCACCTCCCTTTACACTTATGTACTATCTTGAACTTCTATTGAACTCTGGTGGGAGGGATAAGTGGGTATATTTAACATGATTTCTATATTTTCATATTTTCTCCCTGTGTGTCTGACCTTTTCCTGACCCCTTTGCCGCATTCCCCTGTTGGGGAAAATGTATAAAAAATATAAGGAAGCCACCCTGACCATGGAAAGGAAGAAATTAACAATTGAAAGAACCCTTATCAAAAGACACTCTTTGCATGGACTATAATAAAGGATCGTGTCCTCTGGCATTGGAGGTTTTGGCCACCAGAGGAAATGGCTGCTTGGCAATTTTGATTATATCACAATGGGACAGAGGGGAGCCTTCGGAAAGCTGCACCTCACCCTGATCTGTCAACCATTTAATCTCTCTACCAAAACATCCACTCATAGTTTCCCCCATTGTTCCTCTGTCTTGGCATGGAAGAAAATCCGGATTATGGCAGTATCACCAACATCAATGTTTATTAGAACCACTCAAAGGACAATAGAAGGTTAGCTTGCAGGCCTTTAGGGCTCACCAGCCCCTTGGACCTTTCCTGAATTTCCATAATCCACTCAAGAATGCATTGTATTCCTTTGTCCCACTTCCCTCTCTCCTGATTCGCTGAAGCGCTGAGGCGGCCAAAGCCCTGTGATTGGCCCAGGCACGCAGCAGAAGCCTTGTGATTGGTCTAGGCACTCGAGAGGTGGCCGAGCCTCCTCCCAGCTGTTGAAGCGCCAGCCAATTACCTTCAAGCCAGGCGGAGGGCAGGGAGTGGGTGATTCAAACCAGACAACTCTGATTTTCTATAAAAATTGCTTTTATTTGTACTCATGCATGCTTAGCTTGGCGAATGATTGCTGCTCTGCATCCTTTTCAGCTGAATCGCTAATAAATCATCTCGATGGTGCTTCCTTCAACCTTGGTGAGATTCTTTTTTGGAACCTAGGGAAAAACAATTATTTTAAAATTGGGCTTCTCTTTGCTCACCATTGTAGTGATCCCTCTTTGGTGGGGCCACAGGATCTCTCCTTCTGGATCAGACTTTTTAAAATTCCCTATCGACTTCAAGTAGATTAATAGATACTGCTCCAGCAGGAAGGTAACGGCGCTCCATGTAGTCATGCTGGCCACATGACCTTGGAAGTGTCTACAGACACTTTTGGAGAATGGCCACTCAACCCATCTGGTTGTCTTGGCCTACAGCTGCCCTCAGAATAAAGCATCTTCCCACCCCTAAAATGGCTAAATCCCATGGTTCCTCCCTGTTGGGCTCCTTTCCTACAAATGCACTTTTATCCCTATCTCACCCAGGGTTATAACTTTTTAACATTTTATCTCATACTTTTGGCCCGCCCTCTGTGTCTGGTTTTACTATGCTGTTTTATATTGTTGATTTTGTTATTTTATATTTTGTTATGATGTATTTTGTTATTGTGTGTTTATTATGTTGTATTATTTTGAGCTTGGCCTCATGTTAGCCGCCCTGAGTCCCTTTTGGGGAGATGGTGGCGGGTTATAAATAAAGTGTATTATTATATATATTATTATTATAGACAACACCGGCTCTTCGGCTTAGAAATGGAGATGAGCACCAACCCACAGAGTTGGACATGACTAGACTTAATGTTATGGGAAAACCTTTACCTTTACCTTATATTGATTACACAGCCAAAAGGGGAAACATTCACATGTACTCTAACATTCATTCATAATCCATTCATTCATCATTCATGCTTACCATCCTTCTTCATTAACTTGATCTGCTTCTTGAGAGGAGGCAGCTGTTCATCATGGTGTTTAGAATGGTGGTCCTGCAGGTCCAACACACTTTTTCTTAGTGGAAAGGGTCTCTTTTATGTAGCATTTTTTCCTGTTGTTGTTCTACATTAATTATCAACATTATTCAGCTAAAACGTGATGAAACTCCATAAATTTTGGACAGATGTTTTTCTTACAGCATTCTGAGAACCTTCAAAGGCACTTTGCAGTGTCTGCGAGTTTTTGGTATAAGGAGTAAGAGTAACATAGTGTGTTGGATGCTGTTAGCACTAGAGTTGGACATAACTCAAGTAGCTGTCAGAATTAAGAATAATTTGCAGAAGAGAAATGTAAAGTTAGTTGCCCTGAAGACTTTTGAAGGAAAAAATATCCCCAAAACCTTAATATTCTTCTTATCCAGAATGTGTGATTATCTCTCCACAAACAGCAGCTCCTTGGAGACACATATTTAAGTAATAACTATTGTGTTAAGCCTATGTTTATCTTCTAATCACCAATCACAAAATAAAGGACACTAATAAATGCAAAGTGAGGCAAATTACAGTATTTACCATGGAAAAGCAAGCTAAAACTATTTGATTCACTCTTTGCCAGTTGTTATCCTGTCACAATTCTCGAAATGCAAGGATTCCAGCAATCCCACCTGCAAACTCCCCCTTTCTGTTTGGCAAGCAATTTGGCAGAAACCTCCTGTCCTTGGCACTCTTCCTCCTGTAAACAAATGGGCTTCCCTATCAGACCTTTTCCTAGGAAGGACAGTGACCTCTAAAAAAAATCCCTAAACTTCCACAGAAATCATGTGTTTCTTTGGAAGTAAAATTGATTTGGACCTTTTGGACTTGTGGTGCAGCTATACTGTAGAATTAATGTGGCCTGATACCCCTTTCATGGGAATTGCGATTTTACAATGACTTTAGCTTTCTTTGTCACAGTCTGGTACCTCACCGAACTACAACTCCCAGGATTCCATAGCATTTTAGGCATGGCAGTTAAAGTGATGTCAAACTGCATTAATTATGCAATGTAGATGCACCCCTAGTATTCTTACTTGCAGAGTCTGTAGCTCCATTACAGAGTATACGCTTTCCAACCTTCAAACCCGAGCTTCTTCAAGTATGGCAGATGTTCTCAACCTGAAATCCAGAAAACGACTGTCTATAAATGCTAGGAATACTAAAGGAAATGGTTAATTATAAGCCAGTTGCCTATGTAGTTATGCAAGACAATTTTAATCACAGACCCTATTGTCTGTGTCAGACTCATAAGAATGATTAGACTAATAGGTACTGAAAACAAGACGCTTCTGTTGTAGCAACATAACTGTGAAAATCCTCTCTCGTCGAAAGTTGTATTGACTGCAGTCTTATTCCATTCTATTCTTATTGAGAGAGAGAGAATAAATTCCATACTCATTTGCTGGGTCTTCAGTGAAATGAGGACTATTGGAGAAGATATTTTCTTTCTTTTTTAAAATAATTTTTATTAAAGGTATTTTTATAGATGCAGTAAAAGAAAGAGGAAAGGGGGAAGGGAAAATGGGATGAAAGAGAAAAAGAAAAAAGAAATTAAAAAGAAAAAATTGATATAAAAATAAAATATTGAGTTTTCTGTACTTCCGGTCTTCTTCCTTGCTTGTTATATCGTTCATTTAATTTTCCTTAAGAAAAAAGAAATGAAAAGAAGAGAGAGAAAAATATCAAGTACATATATTTATATATTTTTCTCCCTGCATGCTGATTTCTCAGGCGTGTGATTACCGTTGTTCTTTTGTGTTTATATAATTAATGCTTTCGTCTCCTGTTCCATGTATTTCTTAAATAGTTGCCAGTTTGTTTTTTTCCTTGGTGTTCCTTGATGTCTTATTAGGAGTTTGGTCAGTTCATCCATATTCATTACATCTATTGTTTTTATTTGCCATTGATCTTTTGAAGGGGTTTCTTCCAATCTCCAAGTCTTTGCGTATACTAATCTTGCAGCTGTAGTTAAATAATGTAAAAGTATTTCTTTATTCAATTCCAATTTCAGATCCGTAATGCCTAATAAAAAGTATTTGGGTTTCTTCTGTATTTTATTCTAATTTTTTTTTAATTTCTTCATTGATTATTTTCCAATATTTTGTGGTCTTCTCACACGACCACCACATGTGGTAGAAGGTTCCCTCTACCGTCTTACATTTCCAACATGCGGTTTTTGTGTTCTTATATATTTTGCCTAATTTATATGGAGTGAGGTACCATCTGTACATCATTTTTAATAGATTTTCTTTTAGATCATAGGCATATATTTGCTTCATTCTGATATTCCACAGGTGTTCCCATTCGTCCATTCTAATAGGTCTTCCATTATTTTTCGTCCATGATATGCACTCTTATTATTTCTCTTTCTGTATGTTTTGGGGCAAGATAATAAACTCGAAGACCAAAACAATAACAAAAACTCTACAAAAAATTATTGGAATGGAGAAGATATTTTCAATAAGCTCCTTTCGTCACCACTTTGTCGTTGTCTTTGTCATTAGCACTAACTCTTGCTACATTTCCTCACTCTCATCATTGCTAAAACATCCTCACTTGGCAGGTTGAAAGCAGACGGTGACATCTACATATCCTCTATCACAGTGGTTCTCAACCTGGGGTCCCCAGATGTTTTTGGCCTACAATTCCCAGAAATCCTAACAGCTGGTAAACTGGCTGGGATTTCTGGGAATTCTAGGCCAAAAACATCTAGGGACCCAAGGTTGAGAAGCACTGCTCTATCACTACACAGGTAAACACTGGGACATATGTGGCCAAGCACATGTATCCAAAGACCAAAGAGATATATTCCCTTGGAATTTTGTAGATCCTTTATGGTAACCTCTAGGAAAACATATATAATTGCCTGTCGATTGTTAAAAAATTCCTCGAGAAACTATTTTCTGAAGGACATGGATGTGCCCTCGTCTCCTAGGTTACCTGGCTATTCAAGTGGATTAGCAGTGGCTATGTTCATGGTTTTTATAGAAGGCATTTGATATTTCTTTGCATCTGGATTTAAACAGCAAGCTTTTGGATCTTTGATATTATTCCTATGTTTGGACACTGTCTTTGTTACTGCTTATTTGGTTTTTTTGCTTTTGGACTTTTATCAGCTTTATATTAATCTCTTTTATTGGCTCCAATTCTTCTTCTTCAAATAAAGATGACTCTTTTTTTATCCAAGGTGTGGTGTAATTAATGATTAGAGGGTCCTGTTCCTACTCTGGGGTGCAACAGTTGTGCTCAACTTCGGTTATAGGGAGGTGCTGTTGTTCCATTTTCCATGCCAAGGAGCCTGTTGTCCGTGGACGCCTTCCTGATTAAATTGTCGGCATGTCTTCATGGGTGCTCTCTCTATGAACCTCCATGGAGATTAAGATCTTCCAGGGAGGCCCTGCTCTCGGCCCCACCACTGTCACAGGTGCAATTGGCGGGGATGAGAGAGAGGACCTTCTCAGTGATTGCCCCTCAGCTATGGAACTCCTTCCCTCAGGAGATTAGATCAGCCCCCTCCCTCCTGCCCTTCAGAAAGATGCTAAAGACTTGGCTGTGGGACCAAGCCTTTGGGACAGTGAAATAAGGCAGAAATTGGAAACTTTACCCTGCTGACTGGAGTCAATATGGATGATTTGAGATTATTTTAATGTGGGATAATTGATTTTACTGTTTATATTTGTTCAGAGTTTATGTATGTTCCAGCATTGAATGTTTGCCGTATATATGTTGTACTCCACCCTGAGTCCCCTTCAAGGTGAGAATAAATGATTTGAACTGGATTATATAAGTCTACTAGGGCTGGGCGGTTTCGTTTTGTTAATTCATAATTCGTTAATAATTCGTTATTTTTTCCAATTACAAAATGATAACGAACCATTCTGGAGCAATTTTTTAAAAAACGAATTTTTAAACACGTTTTGTAAATGCTTCGTATTTCGTTATTGTATTCGTTTCGTTATTGTTCTGAGGTCGTTTCGTTATTATTTCCGCATGTCTGGGGCAAGTTTTTTGTTTAATTAGTGAAAAAAATTATAATATCACACCAACAGTCAACAACAGAGGGAGAGGGAAGCTTCAGAAGTTTTTGGAGGTTTTTTAGCGTATTTCGCGGTCGCGTCCGCCATTAACGAATCGATTCGTTATTGTTTCGGAAATCGATTCGTTAATGTTTTGTAATTTTTTTTCACATTTACGAAATTTCGTAAATATCGAACTTTTTAAAAGGAAAATTTTGTAATTATTTTAAATATCGAAACAAAAAAAACCCAAATACAAATCGATTTTAGAAACAAATTTTTCCGTTGTTACCCAGGCCTAAGCTAAACGGCAATGTAAACCATGCTCCTGGGAATTGATTTTGTGTAAGTGTAACATGCACAGATATCTATAACAACAAATACAAAAACTTCAGATTGCAAATCACAATTTCTATATTACAGGAAATTCTTCATTAAACATAATATGGGAACATTAACACGATCAATTAGTAACTGTTTATAAATGAAAGATTATTTATCAATATTTTGTCAACACAATGAAACTTAAGCTTCCAGAATAACAATTACTATATACCAGGAGATTCTTCATAAGTACATGACGTCAGAAATAGTAATTCAAATATTGTTAAATGCAATATAATGAGATTTCAGCTGCGAAAATAACAATTTCTATGTTGTAGAAGGTTCTTTATCAATAGATAACATCAGGAACAGTAACACAACAAGGTCTCTCGGGTTGTTTCCCGTGTTTCGTAGTATCTTCTTCGGGTGTTATTCTTATCTATGATGCTTGAATTCACTAAAGAAGAAATAAAGCAACATACAGACAATAGATATACTAAAATCCCCAAATTGACATGGTTTTGAAAAGGTTATTGATGAACACGCTTGACTACTTACATTCTAATGAGTAGCTATTGGCTCTGTTGTAAGTTCCTATCTGCATGTATAGCCTTTGGATCCACTAGATAGGAAATAAGACAAGATATAAAACAAAAAGGGTATATTAAAATGCCCAAACACCCCAATGTTTAAGGGGATTTTTAAAACCCATGTAAGCAGGAATGTAAGTAGACGTTACATTTAATGAAGAATTTCCTGTAGTGTAGACGGGGGCCCTAACAAATGCAAATTGACACGGTTTCAGTTAGCGTGTCTGTTCTTCCTCCTTGATACCTTTTGCCATTTTGTCCCCACTCTGATGGTGCTTGGCCACATGTGTTCAGATTTTTTTTATTTGTCAAATGTTGGAGGACATACTGCACTCCTCAAATTCCAATGTAAAAGCCAGAGAACAATTTGTATAACTTGTTTTTTCTTGCAGCTGCCCTGCAAATAAACCTAACCTTTGGAATTGTAGAAATTTCATTGGAAATAAGGCTTTGACCTTTTTGCTAACAAAAAGGGAGAGGGCAACTGAAAGGAGAGAAGGAGCACAGACTGAATCTTCTCAGTCATTCTGTTTTGTCCGTACATGGCACTTCTACTAGACTAAAGGTAAGGGACTTCTCTGGGTTGTGTCTTGTGAAGCCAATCAGCTGCTGCACTGCGAGCTCTTGCAAAGTAGCATAGAGTAGTTGTCAGAGTGCTCACATGGGACAAGAGCAGTCCAGGTCCTTGTAACTGTTGAAACAGATACAGTGTGATATCATTCTAAGTCAGACACGGGCAAACCTCACCTCTCCAGGTGTTTTAGACTTCAACTCCCCAAAATCCCAGCCAGCTTACCAACTGTTACAAATTATGGGAGTTGAAATCCAAAACATCTGAAGGGCCGCAGTTTGGCCATGCCTGCTCTAACTGATATGGCTCAATGCTATGGAATTCCAGGGGTTGTAGGTTTAAAATATCTTTAGCTTTCTCTGCCAAAGAGTGCTGTTGCCTCACCAAACTACAGTTCCTAGGATTCTTTAGCAATGGGCCATAGCAATAAAAATGATGTCACACTCTAAAATGATAAAGGGTCTAGAGAACAAACCCTATGAGGAGTGGCTTAAAGAGCTGGGCATGTTTAGCCTGATGAAGAGAAGGCTGAGAGGAAACATGATAGCCATGTATAAATATGTGAGAGGAAGTCATTGGGAAGAGGGAGCAAGCTTGTTTTCTGCTGCCCTGGAGACTAGGACGTGGAGCAATGGTTTCAAACTACAGGAAAGGAGATTCCACCTGAACATTAGGAAGAACTTTCTGACTTAAGAGCTGTTCGGCAGTGGCTCTCTCTGCCCTGGAGTGTGATGGAGGCTCCTTCTTCCAGAGACTGGAAGGCCATCTGTCGGGGGAGCTTTGAATGTGATTTTCCTGCTTCTTGGCAGGGGGTTGGACCGGATGGCCCATGAGATCTCTTCCAACTCTATGCTTCTATGATTTATTCTACAGTGTAGATTCATCTAATGTGATTGTTATTGGTTTTTCAAGTCAAGGCTAACCAGACTCAAGAGATCCAGGAGAGGCATCTCTCTCAGGATCTCATCACACACACACACAACGGTGTCATTTCGCCAAGCATGTCTGTGCCACCCTGGTGTGGGTACACTTCCCGGATCCCATGGAGAGTCACCTAATCGGGGCAGAAGTGTGTTGACTCCATTGGAATCAGCACAGGACAGCATGGGAGCCTTCCTGTGTTGGTGAGGATGCTTCCATGCCAGTTGGGTTTGGGGACTCCGCCGGAAGTTTAAGGACATCATGTGATGGGCTACATGCCCATCCGTCCCTCAACTGGCTGACAGGCATCCTAGGATGCTTACATTGGTAAGCGTGATGAGGTCCACAGTCCCACCACCTTCACGTTTATAGTCAGTAGGAACATAGCAGAGCGGTTTCTCATGTCCCTCAGAAGGCTAGAAGGCCCTCTACTTGATGCCGTTCCTTAAATAATCTTAAAAACAATCTTGCCACAAGTCTGATAAAAATCAGGTTTCTACAGATAAATAAGATGAATATTTGTCCTTTCTCTGTACCATTTAGCAGTAGGAGGCAGAAGCTGGAAAAGGAAGATTAAATCAGTGTATATGTCTATGTATACATACTGATTTGTTGTTTCTGTGGAGTCAGGCAACAATTTCTCTGACAGTTAAAAGTTAGAAGCTAAAACTCAAGTTGTAGTTGAAAAGTTGCTTCCTTTGCATCCAGCTTAATATTTGAGGCTTCTCCTCGTGCTTTGTAAATCAAATGAGTAAATAAGCATAGTAGACTAGAACACAAGCAGGAAAATTTTGAGGTAGAAGCCACAGTGGGATACATACATATGAAAATCAAGATGTGTGTCACAGCACAGAATCTCTCTATTTCAACAGCCTCATTTCCAGTTCTCTTAGTTGAATGACCTTCTTCTTTTGTTCTAATAGACACTACAGGTCTAAAGAGTTGAGGCAAAATAAGTGCATAACCCTTAATATGTTGTTTTCTTTCTTTGTTTTGATGTGCAGCCATGGCTACGAAGATTATTGTGTTCCTCTTGGTTGGTTTGATGCAGTTATGTGGTAAGTAAATTGGGCTAGGAGGTTCTATTTTGTTTTCAAAATGACTATCCAGCAAGTATATCTCTTTTCAAATGTGTATTGTCTATGCACAAAAATTCTGTATGTACATAGAATTCACCCGTATTTACATCTATATAAATAAAAATGTAATGTTTGTTTGTGGGATTAACATTACTCAAAAACCACTGGACGAATTGACACCAAATTTGGCCACAAGACACCTACTAACCCAAGGAGTGACCATCACTAAAAAAATTGATTTTGTCATTTGGGAGTTGTAGTTGCTAGGATTTATAGTTACATGCAATCAAAGAGCATTCTGAACTCCACCAATGATGGAATTGAACCAAGCTTGGCACACAGAACTCCCATGACCAACAGAAAATACTGGAAGGTTTTGGTGGGCATTGACCTTGAGTTTGGGAGTTGTAGTTCACCTCCATTCAGAGAGTACTGTGGGCTCAAACAATGATGGATCTGGACCAAACTTGGCACGAATACTCAATATGGCCAAAGTGAACACTGGTGGAGTTTGGGGAAAATAGACCTTGTCATTTGGGAGTTGTAGTTGCTGGGATTTATAGTTCATCTACAATCAAAGAGAATTCTGAACTCCACCAATGATGGAATTGAACCAAACGTGGCACACAGGACTCCCATGACCAACAGAAAACACAAGGGTTTGGTGGGCATTGACCTTGAGTTTGGGAGTTGTAGTTCACCTACATCCAGAGAACACTGTGGACTCAAGCAATGAAGGATCTGGACCAAACTTGGCATGAATACTCCATATGCCCAATTACGAACACAGATGAAGTTTGAAGGAAATAGACCTTGATATTTGGGAATTGTACAGTAGTTGCTGATATTTATAGTTCACCAACATTCAAAGAGCATTCTGAACCCCACCAACAATAGACTTGGGCCAAACTTCCCACATTGAACCCATCATGATCAACAGAAAATACTGTGTTTTCTGGTGGTCTTAGGCGGCCCTTCTGACACCCCTTCACGACCTCCCAGGAGTTCCAACCCACAGCACATGCCCAAATGTTTCTAAAGTTAATGTTCTCTGGACTTGTTATCCTTTTTCACCATTGGAATCTTCTTCATCTGCCTTCAGTAAATATAATTGTTGTTTTGCTCATTTAGTATCTGGCAAGAGACTAAGTTGTTTCAATGATGGATAGGAGGTCGAGGAGGAGGAGGAGCTGGTGACAATAATAGGCAGACTATGGGACTAATTTGGCATCATTCCACTACATCTCTGGAGGAACACACTTACTATGATACCACAGCTGCAGATGACAGCTAGTTCCACAAAATGAGGGGACAATAATAAATAAATAAATAAATAAATAAATAAATAAATAAACTTATACCCCACCAACAATATGTAGTCCATGTGCCACATGTTGCTCACCCCTGAAGTAAGCTCACTAGATAAAGTGTCCATGGATGTTATCTCCTTCAAAAAGCTGTAGGTATGTGTATGCACACAAGTATACACACTCATTAATTCTCACATTCCCAGTATATATCCATTTTCTCTGTCCACATTCTGTTAAATTGGGGTAAGGGAAATGTTGGCCTTTTGGCTATCAGTTTGAATATCCATTTTCTCTGTCCACATTCTGTTAAATTGGGGTAAGGGAAATGTTGGCCTTTTGGCTATCAGTTTGAAGAAGTCCTACTGAGCATGATCAGTGATGCAGAACTATGGGAACTTCTGAGTGATAGGGATTTCTCATCTTGAAATCTAGTACCGTATATACGAGAGTATAAGCTGAGTTTTTCAGCCCCCCTTTTAAGCTGTTGTTGTTACTGTTATTATTTTATATTTATTTATTGTTATTATTACATGTATTATTTTACCCTATTATTATTAAATTTATTATTAAGGTAATTTTATTGGTATCTATTTTTTATTTTGAAATTTATTTATTTATTTATTTCGAGGTTTTATATACCGACCCTCTCACATTCAAAGAGGGATTCGGACCGGTTCACAACATGTGTTAACATAAAAAAATATACAATAACAACACAATGCCACATCATTACACGATTAAAATATAAGCACCATAAACATTAAAACATTATCATCACAGTTAAAAAAGCCAAATCGTCCACACAATCACAATCCCATTCATCATCCTCCTTTCATGTGGGCAAAGAATTAAATCAGTTGTCAAATGCCACGTTCCACAACCAGGTCTTTGTTAATTTCCTGAACGTCATGAGGGAGGGGGCAGTTCTGATCTCTAATGGGAGGGAGTTCCAAAGCCGAGGGGCCACCATCGAGAAGGCCCTGTCCCTCGTCCCCACCAGTCGTGCTTGTGCAGGCGGTGGGACCGAGAGCAGGGCCCCTCCAGACGATCTTAATGGTCTTGATGGTTCATAGGGGAGAATACGTTCGGAGAGGTAAACAGGGCCGGAGTCGTTTAGGGCTTTATAGGTTAACACCAGCACTTATAGGTTAACACCAGCAATTTACAAGTAGCTGCTGCATTTCCCACCCTCAGCTTATGTTGTTCATTCGTTCAGTCATTTCCGACTCTTAGTGACCTCATGGCAGATGCTTCTGGGATAAAAGGCTGTCTTGTCTTGATCTCCCCCGAAGAAACTTCTGATCCCATGACAGCTTGGCTAGGGTAAAATGTCCTACTGTAACCCCCCCCCCCCCCATCTACACTGGATCCAGATTATCTGTTTTGAACTGGATTATATGGCAGTGGAGACTCATATAATCCAGTTCACAGTAGATAATCTGGATTCTGAAACTGGATTGTATGACTGTGTATATCCAGCCACAGATTATAATTCCTTTTCAGAGGAGACCATAGCTATATCATTCCTGAAAGTGTGATCTCACTGTCATTTGCTTTCTGAAAGATCTTTTTGTTCTTTCTCACAGGGTCCCAGGTAGCAGGTTCTCGTGGGAAGAAATTTGTCACGGCTTTCATGCAAAACAATCAGAAAAACCACCCTATGGATCCCAGTGCTAAGCATGAGCTTGTTATTACTGGTTATTCTCCTAAAACCATGGTGAGAGTAACAATAGGAAAATCCATGTACAGAAGAACTTTCCCTCTCAATGAAGGACAAACAGTGACAATTAAGCTTCCAAATACCATTGAGTTAGTGGGGACCGATAGCTTTGATGGGACTGTGCTCATAGAAGCTGACAAGGATATCTCCATCTTGTCTCGCAGCCATGACGGGACTTCTGTTGGTACTACAGTCCTGTATCCAGTCCAACAATTGGGCACACTGCATTATGTGGTAACTCCAATGGGAAACAAGGAAAACACCTTCAAGGAATTTGTGATTATAGCCTATGAAACTCCCACTAAAATCAATATTTCCCTGACGGGGACTGTGGCTTACAAAGGCAAGGTTTATCCTTCTGGAAGCAAGCTTGTTGCTGATCTTGAAGCCTTCCAAGCAATCCAGTTCCAAAGCTCAGATGATTTGACTGGCACCAAAGTTGAATCAAGTGAACCAGTGGCTGTTTTGACAGGACACAGCTGTGCTCAGAACAACATAGCATGTGACCATGTTGTTGAACAGATCTTGCCAGTTTCCAGTTGGGGTTCCTTCTTCATTGTCCCTCTGATGTCCTTTCCAAATAGACATGGCACTCTGTATGTAGTCGCCGCCCAAAAGACTTCCATCAAATACCAGCATGGTGATATAGAGAAGTCTTTGGACATGGAGGCTGGGCAAGTTCTCAAGTTTGACCAGCAGTCTTCAGAACCAATGCACATTTCTGCCAACAATGGGATTCAGGTCCTTTTCTCCCCTACTGGTGCTGAAGATCGAGACTATGGGCCTTCTCTCATAAACATTCCAGCAGTTCCAGGCTACTGCATTTCCTATAGCACAGGTGAAATGAGTCAGTATGACAGAATTTCTGTCATCATAGCCAAAACTTCAGAATCCAGTGGGATCACAGTAGAGAGGAAAGGCATTGAAGCCCTCCAGTGGAGACCAATCCCAGGAACAGAATATTCTTGGGCTGAACACAGTTTCAACAAAACAGCAGGTGTGCTTTCATTAGAACATCCCAGCACTCCTTTTGCCATCTTCATCCTTGGAGTCTCACAAAATGATGGCTCTGGTTCAATGGCTGCTTGCACCACTGGTAAGTCTTCTACATAGAAAACATTGTGACTTTTGTTTTGTCGAAGGCTTTCATGGCCAGAATCATTGGGTTGATGTGAGTTTTTCAGGCTGTATGGCCATGTCCCACAGCATTGAAATCCACAAGCATGTGGACAATTTCAGCTGAAAGGAGGAAACCATGAAAATGAACATAATCTGGCTGCCAGTATTAAAAGCTCTAAAATCAGGACAGTAAATAAAGAGCAACACTCAAACAACAGGGGAATTCCTGACATAAAACAATTGGGAATAAACAATTCAAAAACAATTTTAATTCTCACTACAGTGTTAAAGTGATTCTAGAGCAGGGGTCCTCAAACTAAGGCCCGGGGGACGGATACGGCCCTCTAAGGTTATTTACCTGGCCCGCGCTCAGGGTCACCCTAAGTCTGAAATGACTTGAAAGCACACAATAACAACAACAACCCTATCTCAAAAGCAGGCCCACACTTCCCATTGAAATACTAATAAGTTTATATTTGTTAAAATTGCTCTTCATTTTAATTATTGTATTGTTTTAAGTGTTTTTTGCACTACAAATAAGATATGTGCCGTGTGCATAGGAATTCATTTTTTTTTTCAAATTATAATCCAGTCCTCCAACAGTTTGAGGGACTGTGACCCAGCCCTCTGTTTAAAACGTTGAGGACCTCTGTTCTAGAGTGTAAATGTTCTCATTTTATTTATGTTGTGTCAGGAGCGACTTGAGAAACTGCAAGTCGCTTCTGGTGTAAGAGAATTGGCCGTTTGCAAGGACGATGCCCAGAGGATGCCTGGATGTTTTGAAGTTTTACCATCCTTGTGGGAGGCTTCTCTCATGTCCTCGCATGACGAGCTGGAGCTGATAGAGGGAGCTCATCTGCACTCTACCCGGATTTGAACCTGCAACATGTCGTTCTTCAGTCCTACTGGCACAGGGATTTAACCAGGGGCTCATGCAAACTTTTTCTAACAGCCCCCACTGGGTACTAACTTATTAATATACTGTATAATATGGAACAATGTCCTTGTACCCGGGATTACTTGTTGTTGTGTTATGTATAGTGTTCCCTCGCTACCTCGCGGTTCGCTTCCCGCAGACTCGCTGTTTTGTGGTTTTTTAACAAAAAAAATAAATATAAGTAGCAAGGGAACACTGTACATGCTGCCACTGTACATGCTGTACATGCTGCCACAGACCTGAGTTGCAGAGTTACTCACAGACAGGTGTGTGTGTAGCTGGTGAAGAGCCCCAAAGTGGCACCAGCGTGGGATGTGGAGAGGGCGGCCAAAACAGCTTCTGCCAGTGCTTCTTCCTCGGAAGCGAGGTGCGTCGTCCTGGCTGGAGGAGGTGGCAGACTGGAAAGGAGTGTGTGTGTGGATGGCAAAGAGCCTGGAGAGGGCTGCCAAGGCAGCTTCCACCATTGCCAGAGAGGGCCGCCAAGGCAGCTTCCACCGGTGCTTCTTCCTGGTCGCTCTTCCTTGGGCAAACAGATTAGAGCCCCATACCAGTGGGAAAGCAGGGAGGGAGGGGGAAGGGTGGCTCCAGGAAGGGGAGTGGGGAGGAATGGAGAAGGGAAAGGAAAGAGAGAGGAAGATAGAGGGGGGAGAGAGGAGGAGAGTGGCAGAGCTATACTGTACATATACAGTATAGCATCCCTACATCGTGGATTTTCACTTATCACGGGTGGTCCTGGAACGTAACCCCCGCGATAAGTGAGGGAACACTGTATATACCAGATATTTGGACTGTTTTCCTTTTGAGATTTATGTATGTTATGTTTCATGTGGTACAGTATATGAATAAGTTAGTACCCAGTGGGGGCTGTAATGAATGATAGAATAACACATCCTAGAAATATACTTAACAATACAGACATACTGTATTATGAATACACATTTTTAAGTTTGCATGAGAAAATATATTAAAGTTTGTTTGAGAACACTGACACTCTAGAATCAGTTTAACACAGTAGTGAGAACTAAAAATTGTTTTTGAATTGTTTATTTCTATTGAAATAAGTAGAGCCCCCGGTGGCGCAGTGTGTTAAAGCGCTGAGCTGTTGAGCTTGTTGACCGAAAGGTCGCACTTTGATTCCAGGGAGCGGCGTGAGCTTCCACTTTCAGCCCTAGCTTCTGCCAACCTAGCAGTTCGAAAACATGCAAATGTGAGTAGATCAATAGGTACCACTCCGGCGGGAAGGTAACTGCGCTCCATGCAGTCATGCTGGCCACATGACCTTGGAGGTGTCTATAGACAATGCCGGCTCTTCGGCTTAGAAATGGAGATGAGCACCAACCCCCAGAGTCGGACATGACTGGACTTAATGTCAGGGGACAACTTTTACCTATTTCTATTGATACCATTTTCATAGCATTTTGATATAGATGCCTGTGCCTTATTGATAAAACAATCAGGGCCAGCTATCACCTGCCAACAAAGAATCCCCCAGGCAGGAATCAGCCAGTCTTTGAAGCTGCAAGGCCATTAAATGCTAATCAAGGTGGCCAATTGCAACATTCACACTTGCCTCAAGCAGACAGAGTTTTTTCTCCCACCCTCGACATTCACAGATATATAAACCTCACTTGCATAGTTTTCAACAGACTTCACAACTTCTGAGGATGTCGGCCATAGATGTGGGTGAAACGTCAGGAGAAAATGCTTCTAGAACATGGCCTTACAGCCCAGAAAACTCACAGTAACCGAATTCTCTCCTAACTACCATAAAAGTTTCTCCAGAGGTGTCTTTAACTTCACTGAGTATTTTTTTTAAGTGAATGACACTATAATTTACTGCAATTGCTCCATTCTAGGTGCGCCAGTTGCGTCGTGCAGCTTGATCCAATGCAAGAAGGAGGAGATGTGTGAGATTCAAGAGGAGCACCCAGTGTGTTTGGCAGGGTCTGAATCCACTTGCTGGGCACAAGGAAATCGCCATTATCATACCTTTGATGGGAGGAACTATGACTTCAGAGGCAGCTGTACCTACACCATTGCCAAGACTTGCAGCCTGGATGCGACCGTGCCTTTCTTCAGCATTGAGGCCAAGAATGAAAACAAGAGGGATGTCCGTGCTTCTAATGTCGGTTTAGTGACTATAACTGTCTATAATATCACCATCTCTGTCAACAGAAACGAGAATGGATTTGTCAGGGTAAGAGAGGAAGACAAAGATATTTCTGTTTGTTATGACTTCCCAATGTTTAAAGAGTAACTGCATCAAAATGACTTCTTTCCCATTCTTTAAAAGTAATGGAATCACTGGTAGCTCAAATGGCATGCATGTTCTATTGAACTTGCAAACATATCTCTTTCTTCTGCTTTAGGATAAAACTGTCATCCAATATTCCTTCAGTGTGAAACTAGGCATATTTCTATTTTATCATCCTAAATTTCCTATTTATGTCTTCATCTAATATTTATTACCCCTGAATCAAATGCATTTACTTCTGTTTTGTTTTTTTACGGCAATAACAACTGAAACTCTGTCTCTGCAATCATTCTCCCTTTCGTTAAATTAAAATTCTGATATAATGTCAGAAAAGTTTTAAACTCACATGCTGATTTATTTACAGCATTTATATTCTCCCCTTCTTACCTCACAGGGGACTCAGAGCGGATTACTATGCGCATATACATGGCAAACATTAAATGCCAATTAGATATATAACATATATTGACAGTCACAGAGGCAATTTAACATTCCAGCTTTTTCCAGCTTCATGAGGGTATGCTCGATTCAGGCCACAGGGGGAGCTGCCACTTCACCATCCATTTGTGACACCAAGTCCTTTGATGGAGTGCTTCCTCATTCTTCTGCACGCTGCTGGAAGGTTTTATGGTGTCTTAAATTAGTTAAATCCACATGCATTTGACTGTTTAGTTTTTGGTTGGTGGTTTTTTTTGCTTTGTTTTGCCTTGGTTTAGTTTTCTGGTTTTGCAGACTGAAAATCCTTCTACAACTCTATGTTTTACCATTGTTCCTCTCTCCTGGAATTGCCCATCATTCCAATGATGTTATCATAACCCAACTATTTATGCTCAGAGGAATAACAATTGGCATTCTGATTTTAACAGTGACATTGGAAATTGCTTTGGCTGTCGGTTTTTCCAGTACTTACCAGCAAAAATATAATCCTTGTGAACTGTGATGATGAATGACCCCCTTTAGAAAGTTCTAGAAGGGAAGTTGTGTTGTTTATTGTTTCCCTACTCTGATTGTGGTTGAATTAGAAGAGTAGAATAAAAAATAGGAGTTCTGGACAGTTGCTGGCACAATTTTTGAACTGGGAATTCAGTCATGATTACAAAGGTCCTTGAATTTCTGGAACTCCGTCGTTTGTAGTTCTCTGAGTAAATACATTTGCCTAAACTTCAAATTGCAGTATTCCATAAGATGTCGCTATGGCATAGTAGAATAATATAATGTGAAAGTGTCCCAAGTCTGGTCAACCTTTTTGATGTTAAATTAATGTTCTCCTGAACTTTGTGTTCCTAAATAAACAATTACATGCATATTTGTTTCATATATTTAGAGCAGTGGTTCTCAACCTTTAGTCCTCCAGGTGTTTTGGACTTCAGCTCCTAACACCTGGTAACTCCTAACACCTGGTAATTCCTAACAGCTGGTAACAATTTCAACAGAAAGGAAGAAACCATGAAAATGAACACAATCTGGCTACCAGTATTAAAAAAATCTAAAATTATAACAGCAAATAAAGAACAACATGCAAACACAGGGGAACTCCAGATCAGGGACAGCTAATCACCTCTCAACAAAGGCAGTAACAAGCCACACCTAAAAAATGTCAGGTCATCAAATAGTTGCTAAAAACTCTGAGCTAATTGGGAGACGCTCTAGCTCAGTGGTTCTCAACCTGGAGTCCCCAGATGTTTTTGGCCTTCAACTCCCAGAAATCTTAACAGCTGGTAAACTGGCTGGGATTTCTGGGAGTTGTAGGCCAAAAACATCTGGGGACCCCAGGTTGAGAACCACAGCTCTAGCTCCTCCTGCATGGGGAATTCAGGGCTCTAAATCAGAGCAGAAGTAGTCAGCTTTTGCTGGTAACGACAACTCTGATACTGAAGTTTTCACTCCAATGGAATCTGCTTTGTGCTTGCTGCTAAGGACTTAGTTCATTGCCTGTTGTCTGATGGAAGACTGGTGTTTCATTTGGGACTTTGTTAGAGACTTTAATTTGTGTCTGGATTAAGACTTCCTTGCTTCCTTTTGCACTTTTCAATTGCATTTCCTTATCCTTTGTGTTTCCTGAAGTAAAGCATTTTTCTTTTACTTTCAACAATTGTCTAAAGGCTGTTTTTGAAGGGCAATTCAGGGCACACACACCTAGTTCCAATAGGCAAGGGTTCTTTCTCCCACCCTGGACATTCCACAGATATATAAACTCAATTTTCCTAGTTTCCAACAGACGCCACAACCTCTGAGGATGCCTGCCATAGATGCATGTGAAACATCAGGAGAGAATGGTTCTAGAACATGACTTCTAGAACACGTACAACAACCCAACAACCCAGCTGTTAAGATAGCTGGGAGTTGTGGGAGTTGAATTCCAAAACACTTGGGGGATCAAAGGTTGGCAACTACTGATTTGGAGGGTGGCAAATACATTGTCTAATGTTATATTTTCAATGTTATTTTCACTATTCATGTGGTCTTTCCCTCTGATATATGCCTTTCTATGGTTGACTGGAAACATACATAGCAAAAGTAGGAAGCAGCTATTTTGATAGCGGAATGAGTATGATTTTATCTATTAGTTTTAAACTGCAGAATTAGAATTGTTCATAGTAAAATTGATCAAAATTTTATTTATTCCACTTTTTTATCTCTAAATGTCTCCTCTTCAAGTAAACATATATAAATTTGAAGCAAAGAGAAGGTTGCTCTTAAAAACACCACTACTTCAAATCTATCATTAGGATATATCAAAAAACCTCATCCACTGTCTTTTATTGTATGTGATCTCTCCTGCAGATAGACAACCAACTGTCCCACCTGCCCATTTCCTTGAATGAAGGGAAGCTATATCTCTACCAGAATGGAGCCTCCATCCTTATTGAGACTGAATTCTCCCTGAAAGTCTCCTATGACTGGGATGATTTTTTGCTGATCAAGATCCCCAGGAGGTTTTCGGAGAGTGTGTGCGGCCTTTGTGGGAACTACAACAATGACCCCACAGATGATTTCACCACCCCCAGTGGGGCCTTGGCGTCCAGTCCCGTGGAGTTTGGGAGCAGCTGGAAGGTGGAGGACGAGGACAGATTCTGCTGGGATGACTGTCCAGGGGGTTGCAAAAGCTGCTCTTCAGCACAGACCAAAAATTATAAAGTAGAACCTTTCTGTGGTTGGATCACCAAAGGAGGGAATGGCCCATTCAGCCAATGCCATTCTGTGATCAACCCTGAAATCTTTCTGGAAAACTGTGCCTACGATGTATGTTTGAGTGACGGGCTGAAGGAAGTGCTGTGTGAATCCCTGAAGAACTATGCAGAAACATGCCAAAAAGAAGGAATTGCTGTTTCTGACTGGAGAACATCCACTGGTTGCTGTGAGTATCCCAGGGAGATGCTGGGAAGCGGGATTCAGAACAAATGGAAATGCTAGGAATAGAGATTGCCCATGAAAGGCATTCCCTTATTTATTTATTTATTTATTTATTTATTTATTTATAGTATTTATATTCTGCCCTTCTCAGCCCGCAGGGGACTCGGGGCAGATTATAATGCACACATACAGGGAAACATTCAATGCTATTAAACATACAACATATATAGACAGACACAGATTTAACATTCCAGCTTTCCGGCTTCATGAGAGTATGCTTGATTCCAGCCACAGGGGGAGCTGTCGCTTCACCGTCCATTTGTGACACCAAGTCGTTGATGGAGTACTTCCTCATTCTTATACAGGCTACTGGAAGGTTTTATGCTGTCATAAATTAGATAAAATAGCCTCACCACATAAAGCGGAATATAACTTTCCTACTTGACAGATGCTACTGTCGTTGGGATTGCATACGTCAACAGAAATCTAGACTATTGGTTGGGAGCTCACTCCAACATGGGCTGGCTTCAAACTCATGACTTCTTGGTCAGCATTGATTTAATGCAGCTGGCTACTAACTAGCTGTGCCATACAGCCTGGTCTTATGGCAGTGGTTCTCAACCTGTGGCTCTCCAGATGTTTTGGCCTTCAGCTCCCAGAAATCTTAACAGCTGGTAAACTGGCTGGGATTTCTTGAAGATTTAAACCAAAACACCTGGGGACCCACAGGTTGAGGACCATTGCCTTATGGACTGGATTAAAGCAAAATCTGTTCAYCTTTGTAACATTGTCTCCATTAGATCTTTTATGTTTTTAACTCGTGTCTTCTTCCTTCCACAGCCTCCTTAGTTTGCCCCGCAAACAGCCAATACAAGGCCTGTGGACCTGCGTGTCCCATTACCTGCAACAAYGAAGCTCTTCCCAGCAGCTGTGCCTCATTGCCTTGCATTGAGACCTGCCAGTGYAATGAAGGYTTTGTGTGGGRYGCTGGGAAATGCATTCCCAAGAGTGACTGTGGCTGYSTCTTTGAAGGAAAGCTCTTCTCTCCAGGAGAGCAATTCTGGGGAGATTCCAGCTGCACAAGWCGCTGYACCTGTGACCCAGRGACCAAGSGTGTGATCTGCMAGACRAGAGGCTGYAGGAGYGGAGAGCASTGYAGGGTGGARGRTGGCATCCAGAATTGCTATCCCACCAGTTACGCCACCTGTTCTGCTTCAAGGGGCACTCATTACAGTAGCTTTGATGGTCAGAAGTTTGACTTCCAGGGCACTTGTGTGTATCAGTTGACAGGGCTCTGTGAGAAGAGAAGAGATTTGGTGGATTTCCAGGTTCATGTCCAAAATGACCATCCAATCGGCTCCTCTGCCATCCTCCCCAAAGTGGTGGAGATCAGGGTGGAAGGAACAGTGATTGTGATTAGTAGAGAACACCTTGGAAAAGTCATGGTGAGTTACTCCCTTTTCAACAGTGATTTAATTTTGTACAATCTTTTTTCCATATTGTCAAAAACCACACATTGCAATCTATATAATAAAGCTGATCACTATTCTAAGCTTGAGTGAGATGCCTTCTAAACAGGGGAGCAGGATCCTCTAGTGCAGTGGTTCTCAATCTGTGGGTCCCCAGGTGTTTTGGCCTACAACTCCCAGAAATCCCAGCCAGTTTTCCAGCTGTTAGGATTTCTGGGAGTTGAAGGCCAAAACATCTGGGAACCAACAGGTTGAGAACCACTGCTCTAGTACATGGTTAGGGAAACATTCCCCAAATGTTGGACCTTAATTTTTGTGAGTCTTGACAGACTGAATGTGGCCATGTGAAGATAAACATGCCAGAAATGTCAGATGACCTGTCATTGATCCACTGGCTTGGTATCATACATAAATAAGCCCCAAAAATAAAGGAAAGTAAAATCAAGAGTAAAATTGCTCTAATGTCCTTTCCATGGACAGATTTGGGGTCAACCAAACCATAGAAAACTGTACCCCACTTTAAAAAGACAACAGTAAAATTGCTCTTTGAACCATAGAACAAAACAGAGCAGAAAGTTATCAGATATTACCTGCTTACCATTACCCATAATTAAAAGTCAAGAAATAATTTATTACAGCTTTATGGCATTATTCAATTTAAAACTCTACCATCCTTTCCATAGAAAACTGTTTGTTGTTGTTTATTTGTTCAGCCACTTCCGACTCTTCGTGACCTCATAGACCAGCCCACGCCAGAGCTCCCTGTCAGCCATGGCCACCCCCAGTTCTTTCAAAGTCAAGCCATCCATCTTGCCCTTGGTCAGCCCCTCTTCCTTTTTAATTCCATTTTCCCAAGCATTATTCTCTTCTCCAACCTTTCCTGTCTTCTCACTATGTAACCAAAGTGCTTCATCTTTGCCTCTAATATCCTTCCCTTCAATGAGCAGTCGGGCTTTATTTCCTGAAGTATGGACTGGTTCGATCTGCTATGTCCAAGGCACTCTCAGAACTTTCCTCCAACACCGCAGTTCAAAAGCATCTATCTACCTTCGCTCAGCCTTCCTTATGGTCCAGCTCTCATATCCGTAGGTTACTATGGGGAATACTTTTGCTTTTACTATGCAGATCTTCGTTGCCAGTGTAATGTCTCTACTCTTCACTATTTTGTTGAGTTTGGACATTGTTTTACTCCCAAGAAATAAACATCTTCTGATTTCCTGGCTACAGTTTGCATCTGTAGTCATCTTTGCACCTAGAAATATACACTCTGTCACTGCCTCCACGTTTTCTCCCTTTAATTGCCAGTTATCCACCAGTCTTGTGGCCATCATCTTGGTTTTTTATGTTTAACTGCAACTCAGCTTTTGCACTTTCTTCTTTCACCTTAGTTATAAGACTCCTCAGCTCTTTTTGCTTTTGGCCATCAAAGTGGTATCATCTGCATATCAAAGGTTGTTAATTTTTCTTCCAGCAAATTTAACTCCAGTTTTGGATTTGTCAAGCTCTGCCCATTGCATGATGTGTTCTGCATACAAGTTGAATAGAGTATACAGCCTTGCTGTACTCCTTTCCCAATCTTGAACCAGTCGGTTGTTCCATGGTCTGTTCTTACCGTTGCTACTTGGTCATTATACAGATTCCTCAGGAGACAGATAAGGTGTACCCCACTTTAAAAAAACATTCTTCTGTGTGTGGAAATTTGATTTCATACTAAGCAAAAACATTATATGCCCAGGGGGTGAAGTGAAATATTATTTGTTTCTCTGCATCCAGAATTATTTTCCTGTTGCTCTCCTTTTCAATGTTCCCAGGTGAATGGCTTGTTGACACGTCTCCCTTACAACATCAGAAGCAATGAGATTCTCCTCTACCGGAAAGGGAAAGAGGCAGTGGTCCAGACTGATTTCCACCTGACTGTTACCTTCGACTGGCAAAACCGGGTTACTGTGACAGTGCCCAGTACTTATGCCAATGCCCTTTGTGGTCTCTGTGGGAACTTCAATGGCAACAAACTTGATGAGATGACCATGAAAGATGGGAAAGTGGCTCTGAGTCCATCCTCCTTTGGTGAGAGCTGGAAAATGCAGGAGGTACCAGGCTGCACTGAGATGGACAAAGAAGAATGTCCTGGGCTGTCAGCCATTGAGAGCCACCAACGCTACCTTGGGAGGGAATGCGGGCTCATCCTAGCCAAGAGGGGCCCTTTTCAACGGTGTCACAGCACAATTGAACCTGAGGAATACTTCCAGGATTGTGTCTATGATTCTTGCTTTTTTGAAGGCCAAGAAGCTGTGATTTGCCAAGCCATCACCAATTATGCAGAAGCCTGTCAGGCAGCTGGCGCAAGCCTTGAGGCATGGAGAACCAAAACCTTCTGCAGTAAGTGCAAACCCTCCTTAGTAGATTGTTTGGGTGAAAGAAAACATTTGTATAATGTGTGTGTGTAAAAGAAAGGGAATACTATGTGTTTTGTGTTCCATTGCTTCCCATGGAAGAAAACTTGTTTCTTTAAACAGTCTTGAGCAGACCTGCGCAACATTTGCCCCATGGGCAGAAAGCTTTGGTGTGATACACTGAGGCTTTGAGCCTAGGGACCTCATCAAATTGAAGTCCTGATGTGAGGGACAGGGGGGAGGGGGGTTGGCATACTAGGGGAGCCGGGCAAATAGTGCAGCAGCAGAGCAAATATTTTGCCTGGTGCCCTGGGTCACCCTCACCATCCATTTGCCCATCACATGCTGAAAAGTATAGCTTTCCGGCATGCATCCACGTTAGCCCTATGATTCTTAACGTGAACACAGGGAGTCTCCAATTTTTAGGTTTTCCCCTTCTGCCACGCTTCCTTGAGGCAGCTGGCACAGAGCCTCACCAGAAATAGATGTATGTCGTGGATGAGAT